AAACCAATTCATTAATAGATGAAACTTTTTGGAAGATTACTGCAGACTCAGTTCCTGATAAGTATGCTTAAATTTTCAATTAATATTAGCTATCAAAAACTTGTTAATTTCGCCTTTTCGGACATAGGATTTATGTTCCTTAACGGGAAACTGTAATGCTCTTTTGGTTTGACCAATGTACACTCATGTCCATAAATTAAGGATAATGCAAAATCAGGCAAAGGAAGAGTTAGAAGCAAAAACAAATTTGACTTATTTGTAAAGCTTATTTATTAAACAAAAGGTAAAGAGCAAAAACGTTGCTATATGTTTGATATTATTAAAAAAATTAACGATTTTTTCTCCCTGGAGCAAATTACAAAAAAAAAAAAAAAAAAAAATAACACCTATTTACAAAAAACCAATATTACATGGTTGGTATGATTGTTAATACACTGTATGTCACCCAGATGATGCAATACAGTCCGTACAACGCCTAGGCATGCTGAGTATCAAATTATCGATCTAATCTTGGGGGATATTACACCAATCAAAACGCAATGCTCTTCGAAGTTCCGGTAGACATGTAGGAGGAGGTTGACGGGCTGCAACTCGTCGCCCAAGCATGTCCCACACATACTCTACTGGATTCAAGTCCGGTGAGAATGCTGGCCAGTCCATACGGGTGATATCCTCCGATTGAAGGCATTCGCTTACGATGTTTACACGGTGAGGACGGGCGTTGTCATCCATAAACACAAATTGTGCACCCATTGGCGCCCCGAAACAAACGTACATGTTGTTCCAGAATGACGTCCCGATAGATTTGGCTTGTCATGGTTCCAATTTGAACATGCAGGTGAGTTCTGGCACCTAGAATAATTTCACCCGAAACGAGCACTCCTACACCACCGTAACGCTGTCGTTCAATGATGTTTTCTTGGTGGTAACGGGTACCTGGAGTTCTCCATATGAAAGTCCGGCGAGAATCAGACTGCAAGCTAAACCTGGACTCGTCGGAAAACATCACACAAACCCACTGTTGTGATGTCCACAATGCATGCTCTCTACTCCAGGCTAACCGCAGCTGACAGTGAGTTGCAGTAAGTGGAACGCATCTCACAGGTCTACGAGCATATAGACCAATCTGCCCGAAGCATCTGTAGACGGTCTGCTTTGAAATTGTCGTACCAGTGGCTGAAGAGAGCTGACGAGACAGGTCTGAGGCTGTGCTCCGCCTGTTTCTTTTGGCAGTAACTGCCAAATACCGGTCCTCATTCGGCGTTGTAACTCTGGGGCGACTGTGTTCTGTAACGTCTACTCACATTACCATCATTTTGGAATCGTTGCCAAAGCCTGGAGATGACACTCTGGGCAATTCCAAGTTCGTCTGATACTTCCAGTTGGGTACGCCCACATTCCAGACGGCCGATAATTCTACCATGTAAAAAATCATCCAAATGCGTCCTTTGTGTCATAACTATTCGGTTATTGCACTGAAATGCTTATAAAGCGCCTGCGAACAATTTTACTTCTTTGCCTGTAATCCTTATATATCACTGTTACACTCTCGTCATTGTGACGTACCACCGGTGCCATCTGGTTACTTCCTGAAATTTACATATGATTCTTGAAGATGTGCGTAGTGATTTTACAGGTGATATATTTATTTTAGAGTTCAATTTCCGCGTGACTCCGAATTATCCTTAATTTATGGACATGAGTGTATTTCAAGCCACACTGACAAGATATGATATAAATTCTTTAGGAATTAAAGTCAGAAATTGAATCTTTAATGATCGAACCGTGGATTTTTTTGATAGACAAGAAAACGACTTGAAAATGAACTTCTGAAGAATCCGCGCAATCTTGTAGCTAACAGAGGGATGAAATGGAAGCACGACAAGGTTATTAATGTTATTTTTAACGGAGGAATGTTTTCTTTGATGTCAAGATTTTTCATCTTGCCATCATCTTTCCAGGTTAAGCCTGAATAGGAATGACAGTTAGCCTGAATAGTAGTTTCTTCCAGGTTTTCGTTTCAAGTGAATTAGCTCTCTGTATGAAATTTCATGATTTTCCTTATCAATAATGTGAATACGAGAATGTTTCAATTATAAACACCTCCTTGAACATATCCCTTCTCTTAAAGCTCATAATCCTCGCATACTTTGCAGTAATTATTTAACAAAGCACTTTTTTTTTACTTAAATTTACAAATGGAGGTACCATTATCAAATGAAAATCTGCTTATTGAAAATTGCTTAACTGTTAATGAAATCCTTAAAAAATTATAAGTCCTATTGTTAAACTAAAGAAATAATCATCTTTTACAAAAAAACAAAAAGTCGTTTTGCTGTTAAAGCATTAATTTAAATGATAAGAAGATAATCTATGATTAACGGAGGGCTAATACTAAGTAAACAAGGAATGCTTATAAGTTGCTTAGTTTTATTATCCGGATACAAAAAGCGATCAAAAAGTTTAAGTCACTTCTACGGAATAAATGTCTAAAGTTATATATTTTATTGTATTTCTGTACATTTTCTTTTGATTTCAGTATATTAGTATTTTGATCATTTAGGCTTCAAATCCCAACAGAAAAATGTCTTTTCATATTTTAACAATAAAAACCTTAAAGCCGTATCTAAATGGGATCTCTGACATTATCATTCCTTCTTTAACGTGAAGTTTACACAGCACAGTTCCTTCAGTTTTTTGAAAAGCCAACAAACAAACAAAAAGGTGGGGAGGGGGAGTATAAGTTGAATCAAGCCCAGTGCTTTTGATGAGGAAGAAGTTGAAGTCTACACAACTGAAAACAGTTTGGTGAAGTTTGATTCTTATGGGTGGGTGTGCTGCCATGCGAAAACAAATACCAAACAAAAGTTATAGAAGCTGCTTTTTCCTATTTTGGCCTACTGGAGTTCGGTCAACAAGTTGACATAAAATTGGCAAGTTTCATCATCCCGAAAGTGCAAGGTTTATAAATTTCTCGGGTTAGTTCTGTTGATAAAAAGAACATTAGTTATCTACGTTTGAATACAATTTCTTCCAAAATAGTCACTTTATGCAGCATTGTTCTGGCACTAGCCTTCCTGCCACTGTTGGAATATGACCTCGAAGACAATTTGTATAATAAGTAAGTCAATGACCTTTATGGATTTGCGCTGGATATCGGCACCTAGGTCTAACTGAGGAATTTTATGATACAGCCATGTATATTAACGTCATAGGCTGGCTTAGAAATTATTGAAGACCTTCTGTAAATCCTCGCCCTCTCTTACCCCCCAAATAAAAGAGGTAGCATTTTAACTTTTTTGGTTTGTTTCGTAAGAAACGCTTGAAAAATGTACAATATAATGTTGAGATCTTTGCAATGAAAAAAAGCCTTACGTCCTGTAGCAGCGGATAGTAGCATAGGTTTACTAAACAAGTCAGTGCACAATACTGCATGCTCATTGGACAAACTCTTCAATCTGCCAAGCCCATTAGCGGCTGAGTGGAAAAGTGGTAATGTGACTCGAGTTCGATGCTAGGCGAACGAGCTAGCTGCATGGCGTTTTCCTCATGTATAATGTGGATACGAACCGATTTCCCTTAGAAAAGTCTCCATGAAGGCAGCTTTTTCCTTAGGCAGATAGCCCTAGCGTGCTTAGCCATAATATAATAAACCAGAACCAAACCTTTAATCTACTTCTTAACTTCATAAAAATAGGCTCTACATATGCCAGAGCTCATCACAGGATAGTCTAATGCAGGGGTTCCCAACCTTTTTGTCTCTAGGAGCACATTCTAGAATATCTGTTGAACAGTGGGCACCATTTACTTTTTCAAGATGAATTTATAGTTGGATAGAGTTAATGACACATACACATAAATAAAGAGATCCATCGCATTTCACTTTGTGCTGTTCTCCGTGTTAGACGCAATTTTTATTTCATTAAAAATGAGAAAACTTTCACATAGAATTTTGTTCAAAATTAAAACATTTTTATTGTGATCGCACAGCGGTGGGCACACGTTAAACGATCGGCGGGCGCCATGGCTCCCGTGGGGATAAGTTTGGGAACCTCTATAGTCTAGTGGTTCTTAACCTTTATTGCTGCACTCCTTCGACCAAGAATCAGAATATCATCCCTTCTCTCTATACTTTAAGTCACGCATTACACATAATACGCAAAACTGAAAATTTTTATTAAATATTTTATAGACACAAAGAAATTTGAGTTTTATTATATTTAAATAGGAATTGCTTATTTATTTTATTGTTATATATATATATATATAAATGTAAATGCAAATAAAGACCCGCTATTTATTCGCCGCGTTTTCATGATCCTGAAATTAAACTCTTTTCGATAATGTGATTTTAAGCACAGTATTTTATGTCTTGAAATTTATGTTGCGTTTTGCGTCGATCAACCTGAGGTGCAACAGTTTTCTCCGAAGACTGAGGAATTCCATATCCGTGCCGGGGCAGCAAATGATAGGATTTTCTTGTTGCTAATCTTCAATGCCCTTTAACTCGTAAACCAGACGTTTCCGGTTACATGTTCGCGTTGTTTTGTAACATTGTTCTGGAAGATAGCCACATTTTTAAACCATTGTGACGTCGTGACTACCCTAACCAGAAGAAAGATAGTCGAAGTGGTACTTTAATCTTTTATTCACATCACTATCACAACGCATAGAAGCAAATTGTAATTGACGCACATTTAAATATATTAATAAATTTCCGTATTCGTGACGCATACAAAGAAGACAAAAACGGGCCATAATGGCATCCGTCACATCTGCCCTCGGCAGGCAAAGTCTCTACCTCTTTAGCTCCTTGACCAACATTCCAAACTCTCTGACACAGACACAACGTAGAACACTTTTCCGTTCTCATGAGTCTGGCTGCCATCTAGGGTTACGGAATACGGTCTAAAGTTTATTACACTATTTAGTTAATGCGAAGGGATAAGTATTTTTATAAATTCTTTTTACTTCTTTGTCATTAGTAATTTTATCTTCAGCTTTGCAGGTTTTGAAAACTCAGTTTGGAAAAATGGTGGAGCTTCCAAAGGGATTTATCACAAGTGACCTCGATCATAAAGGAAGTATAATTCTCGAGAAAGGGTACGACAGTAACTTAAAACCGGAATTAGGAAATATCTCTGTTCTCTTCACTCTTTACCCGGATATGAGCACCATACTGTCACCAGTACATCAAGAATCGGAGTAAGCATGCATTTTTTATCGTTGCACTCTTTTTACATGCAGTTACATTCCTAGTACACGGTACACACGGGACTTGGCGACATCAAGAAGAGCAGTAAACGTGGCATTTATAATGAGCAGTAAACGACTCATTTTGATGTTGGCGACAGTTTTCAAAATCGCGCCAAGACCATACCGTATACTAGGATTTTGTCCATTTTTAGTTCCTTATTAGATTTATGTGGCGTTCAGGCAGCGTCATATTTATATGCAACGTCATGGATTTTGTTGCCGCTTTTCCACACTCTCAATTCTATGCAGATAATTTTTATTTTTATTATTATTACTTAAAAGCACCAAATTGAGATCTTTCACTTCATTGTTTACAATTTATTTAAATGAAATCAGTCACAAAAGCTCTATAAAATATATATTCGTAATTCATAATTCGATATAGCAGATTTGAATTCATAACATAGTTTTTTGTATGCTTTAAGTTTTGTGTAGGTATCTTTAAAAATCATTATTAAATAATATATTATTTAAAGTGTTCTACTAACTCGTAAGCATTGACCTTTTTTAGTTTGTCCTAGCGAAGTTGTCCAAGGCAACCGGAATTAATGACTACTATCTTATACCAACTTGCTTTCTTTAAATCAATATAATCTGTTAGGAATATCTGCTGTAATGAATTCCTTGCCTAATCAATGACAGGCGGGCAAATTTTTCCAAGCAATTTATTGCAGATGAAAATCTAACTTTTTAGTCGTGTTTCTTATTGATTAGATTTAGGACCTACGGATTGCTTTCTTTTCCATTAAGAAGTCTTCATCGAAAGAGATTTTGAACAGATTACAAATTCAGAAAAAGTACTGAGGGAACTGTAAAGAATCACAATTATTAACTTCTAAAATGACGTACACTGCAAGGGAAAAAAAGACAGTTCTATAGCTCCCGTTCTACTGGGCCGATTGACAAAGTTCCAATTGCGTTTTTCATGTCTCAAAATCTCGACTTAGGATATATACTAGGCAACTAAGGATTAGCGCAATTAATTTTATAGCGCGAATCAGGATTATATATACCATTGTTTTACTATAGGTATTTTGACACAAATCGGACTTTTCTGAAATAACATACCAATGTTTTTCCCTATTTCGATTCTACAACTCAAATTATGCCTAGATATTAAATTTTGTAAAATTTGATGCGAAATTTACGGCGAAATTCAAAAATTTATCTTGGCGAATTTTTTTTTCAGTTTGCGCCAAGAATAATTCATTTGGCGAACTGTTTAATGTATGGTAAGCTGTTTTCCTTTCCCTTCCATTATGCCGGAACAGAAAAAAAAGTCACCTCGTTCCTACGTTTTTACATTGTGCATGAGCGGGAAAAAAAGTTCACATCTTTCCTACTTTCAAATAATTTTAACAAGTGTTTGAACCGCATTTGATGTTTTATCGCTTTCAACAAATATGCCAAATTTCGAAACGCGCCAATATATAAATTCACGTATATCTTCGGAAATTTTGAATAAAAAATTGTAATTTTTTTGCAGGTATGCTTAGAAATACATCTACTTTAAAATGATGGTAAAAATGTTATAGTTTATAATTCAAAATTTTTTGAAAAAAATTATAAAAATTATTTAAAAATACAAATTAAAAAATAAATCGTAAAAAATGGGTAAATTTAAAAAATAAATCATAAAAAATAGGTGAATTTTATTTGGAATGAACTTGAATTTCGAATTGCGAAAGGAAGAACCGAATTAGTTTAATAAAAAAAAAGAGAGATTAATAAATGTATACCAAACTCTATTAACATTGAGGAGCTAAAATTTTGCGAACTAATTTTTTAAAAACTACTCGTGCAATTTTTACCAAACTTGGTAGTTTGGCGTGATTTCAGTCTTAGAATGGAAATATGGAAAAACATTGGCATGCCATTTCAGAAAAAGTCCGATTTTGTGTCAAAATACCTAGATTGAAACAATGGTATATATAAATCTAATACATATCCTAAGTCGCGCTTTCGAGACATGAAAAACGCAAGCTGAATTTCGCCAATTGGCTCAGTAGAACGGGATATATAGAACTGTCCCAATTTTTTTTTTAGTGTAAATTTATTTCTATAAAGTGTTAAACCATACATTGTAGTAGAAGCAATGCATGTAAAGGCTGTCTTCTTCAATCTGTTTCCCTCCTTCTTTTCTAAGACTGTCTTGAGTTTTCTAGATTTTGGTGTATACACGAAACAGCTGATTTTGGGGTTTCGTTTTTTCTATCACTTGTATAAACTGGAATAACGTTCCTTAGTCGTTTCTCATGAATATGATCCATTTGCAGTAGAAAATCATTCATGAAATCTCCAGGTAAACAGTCCCAGTTGCATCTTTACTTGAATAATTTAATAGGATGATATAGTATTATGTAAAAAAATTTGCTAAAAAATAATATATTCTCGTTCTTATGAATCGATTACGCAAAATTTCAATTCTTGGATACCTGAAGAACTATACATAATCCGTTCAAAGAATTCTTCTGGATCCTGTTCTTTTCTTGCAACCTTCACAATGAGCTTGTTTTACTTTTCGTGTCGCTATTTCACACTTTTGAATAAATAACATCTACAGGAAGCTAAAGACAAAATAGTTGTTTTTCGCCCCCCCCCATCTAAGATTACTAAAATTTCGAAGTTTATTATCAGATATCCAGGTACAATTGCCCTAAAAATCCTGTTATTTTCATAATTGCCTGATTAGGCTTAAGCAAACGAGATAACATATCAAGTTATTTAATTTTTGAATCAAAATTTAGTTTTTTTTTTTTTTTTTTTTAAATATTCTTTCCTCCATTGAATTAGTTGGACAGTTTAAGAGAATTACAAAGAAGATATATTCTGAAGAGCATTTTGTCAAAGAACAGTTTGTTGATAAAATCTTTGTCAAAAACCAATACCCAAAATCGAAAGAATTTTGATAATATTCAGTTGATCGTATATCATATTTCTGCCCTTAAAATAATCTGAAAGGGCTTACATTTTAAGCGTCTTCTAAAAGGGCTTTTTTTTAAATTTTAATATAGTTTGTCAGTAGAGATTATGAATAGAGATGCCCAGCGGAAATAATGAAGCATTCTATAAGATAACTAGATAAATATACGTTCAGATTAACATAGGAACATTTAATTAAAATTTGTCTTAATTTCATATGGTCTATTTTTTATAGCAAATGAAATGTTTTTCAATTTTGTGTATGTACATTTTAAAAAGTGTCCGCTTTAAAAACTGAAATACACTTTGGTTAAAGTTGGCTAACTAAAATTATGACAGGCAAATAGGTGGATCCATATTATGTATGTGGTTTAAAACTTCCTCTTTCTAAGCAGACTTAGTCAGAATAGTGTGTTGTACTCTGAAAAGACAAATTATCATATACACCGTTCAATATCGCGTGGTTTTAACTTTGCGCGGGGAACAGCTGCAATAGTCCTAGAAAATGATTCGATGAGGTGCTTAAAGCGAGATGATGGTACTGTGCAGATTCCATCATAAATCCATCACAGAGTATGGTGTTGAGTCCAGAGAGTGGAACAGATCATTGTCGATTGTATCCCAGATTCTGGAAAGGATTGATATCTGAGGATCTTCGAGGTGAGTATTCCAACTTCATTGCTATGTTCGTTGAATCCCTCCTGTGCTACATATGACCGATGGGATAGCGCATTATCTCCTTAAAAGGAGTGCAACTGTCTGTGGGAACAACAACTTCATGAAGTAGTGTGGACAAATTCTTCAGGGTTCCATTTAGCATAAGAGAAACCTAATGAGAACATTGCGAAGGTGATTCCACACATTATAACGCCGCTATCGACTAGTATTACACCTATCTGATACAAGGTATGCAATTCCTTGAGCAATTTACACCATGTATGAGCTCTGTCATTTATCTTCAGCAGCTGGAATCTCGATTCATTGGAGGAAATGCATATTTCCAGTCTTCCACCATTGAAGGGTTGTTAAATTTGACAAATTCCAGCGGTATCAGCCAATATCTTCCCGTTAACAGTGAATCCTGAGATGACCATCAGCTATAATAACCAAATTGCACCAGTTGTCGATAAATAGATCTTGTGCAGAGGCTGAATGAAGCAAATGAATTTGAATCTGTCGTAAGATTTCCCTACTTGCCTTCGATATGAAATGATTGAGTCTCCTAGCATCTCGTACATCAATCACTGCTTTATGGCCACATTTGGTACAATTTGCACTATTTTTTCCAGCTTTTGAGATACTACTGGTACCTTTGGTTTAAGTACTGCACAACATGCTTAGCAGTCGCTAGTTGCTGATATCGAATGTTCAGCCGTGATCAAACTCGCTTAGTTAGCTTCCTTTACCCATGGAATCAATCTTTTGCAAGCCTAATTATTTATATTCTGTGGCACCGGCAATAGCCATCGGCTCGCACGTCATTGATTACCATTGTTGTTATATACATGGTCGCATCACAGGTATGTATTATAATTTCTTTTATCAGTGCATTATATAATTATAAAATGCAGTAACTTCTGTTTACTTTTAATTTATTAAACACGAAGCTCTTAAGTTCTTCTGTTCCTATCATACACTGGTGTGCAAAAATTAAGGACGAGACGGTTTTTTCAATTTAACTTTGTACAAAAGCTTTCCAAATCAACACATTTAATACCGTAAGATCCCCAATACGTAAGGACATGAGTAATGTAAGCAACACTTACTAAAAGAGAAATCATAGGGATAAAAAGAAGCTTTATTGAAAACGTAGCATGGAGCGCAATGCGACTGAAGGCCGAACATCCCTGTGATGGGTGTCCAGCAAGAAACATCCAGTTTTTAATAGGGGATATGATTTCCCCTGATTGCTAGGCAGGTTTCACAGCGTCTGCCCATGCTAAGAATGAGGGTGTCAACGAGTTGTTGAGGCATTATTGCCCATTCGTCTTGCAGCGCCAATCGAAGCTCCGGAATCGTTACTGGTGGTAAGGTACGAACTGCCAAGCGTCTGCCTAGAAAATCCCATACATGCTCGATGGGATTGAGATCCGGAGATCGTGCCGGCCAATCCATACGTTCAATATCCTCACTCTCTAAGAGCTGTTCGGCAGCTACTGTGCGATGACATGGTGCATTGTCGTCCATGAAAAGGAACTGCGGACCCATAGCGCCTCTAAAAAGACGCACATATGGAAGAAGAATCTCTTTACAATAACGGGTCCCGTTGACTGAACCTGCGTCGAAGATGTGAAGGTCTTACGACTACCAATCATGATGCCTCCCCAAACGAGAACACCAACTCCATACCTGTCCCTTTCAATGATGTTCGAGGGATGATTGCGGCTTCCCCGCTCTCTCCAGATGAGTATGCGATGAGAATAGCTACTCAGACTGAATCTGCTCTCATCTGTAAAGAGTACTCGTCCCCATTCATTGTCTCTCCAATTCCGGTGTTCCCAGCACCACAGAGAACGCCTTCTCCGATGGGCAGGCGTTAGAGGTACACACCGCACAGGGCGTCGTGCAAACAGACCACCACCGTGCAGTCTTCTGGCCACGGTAAAACGCGATATCGGTCGTCCAGTCGCCTGTGTCGTGTGTCTAGCGGTTTCTCCCGCTGTCTGCCGCCTGTTTCTTCTGGCCTGTAGGACAATATACCGGTCATCTGCGGATGTGGTTCCTCGTGGACGACCACTACTAAACCCCCGGATAGCTGTTCCTGTAGTTTGAAATTGTCTCCAAATTCGTGAAACGATGCTGTGAGCAATTCCGAACTCTGCAGCCACACTTGTCACACTGCGGCCTTCCTCCAACTTCCCAATGATTCGACCTCGGGTAAAAGCATCCAGATGTCGTCTAACAGATTGATTATTCGCCATTTCTCGCTGAGGCAGCAACTCGGTGTGATTTTAACCGCTATACGGCGTGCAATCTCTTTGCCAGAAATACTGATCTTACACCGACAACATGCTTTATACTACTCAGACACTCCCCCATTACGTCTACCTGCATACATGCGCATGTGCTACCGTACATCCCCTTACTTAATCTCCTGATTGGTCTTTCTGTCCGCTCTGCCTCTTCGTTCAGCTGATATGCTAATTTTTCGACTTCGTCCTTAATTTTTGCACACCAGTGTAGTTAAAATAAATTTAAATCTCATTCTTTTACTCTGTTTTAACAATAACTTTCTGAATATAAAATAAAGGCGGAAAGTTTTTATAAGGTTGTGTTTCTTATTATTGTTTGAAAAAAAAAAAAAAAAGCTTTTCCAGTAAAAATTATTTAATCCAGTGGCCGAATATATGCTCTTATGCATGCGTCGGAAGTAGGCAAATCCATAGATCATTTAGCTGCTCATCATTAAAAATGTTGCACAGGGTGCATCAAAAGAAGCAATTAATATTACATCCTCAAAATAGAAGTGAAAGAACGATACGTACGTACCAAGCCTTAATGGGAAGACGAGACCTATATCTTAAGTTTTGTAATAGTAGTCAGCCTTCTCTAACAGTTATTCCGTCCTATTCAAAGTTTCTCATAAATGAATCTCTATTTTACATAAAACTATTGCAATATAAAATAACGATTCATTTATATGAAGCCAGTAATCGAGTTAATGTTTCTATATCTTTAAATTAAATTCATCTACTCTACAAATATCTGAAATTTTGAAAATTTCTTCAAAACGGAAATAAAAGAAGGGCTATAGTATTAGAAAAGTAAACTGCTCAATATCGTTTATAACTTCATTTTTAAATTAGAATAGCCGTCGCGTACGAAATAGCGTTTGACAATTTTAAACCAAAACAACCTAACAATTGAAGCAGAAAGTATTGCACAAAAATTATCCATTTCATACTCTCTAAAAAGAGATTTTAATGATGTTTGCATTTCGAGTTGAACATTACTATCTAATTAAGACTTTTAAAGTGGAACAGTCAGCGAAAATGAGTAGTGCCACTATCATTTCTGAAGATATCTGTTACAAGCAGAATAATTCACATCCCTTCTCACGATAATGGATAACGAATACTTTCTGAAAACTGTATTCAAAGAATACTCAAGAGAACCAGAATAACAAGATTTACACAATAAAATGTAATTATTTTAATAAATACACCTACTTATACTTTTACAACCATGAAGTTAGAAAGACAACGCACCTCATAGCAATTTATAATTGTTATTTTGGCTGCTTAAAATTGTATTTTCGTTATACCTTTGTCTTCCCAGTCTGGAACAAAGCAAAATAAGATGGTCATATTATGTTTCCTACTGAATACGGTCATCAATTTTCAGCAATTACTTCAAAGATAAAATTACAATATTATTCTTTTTACAGGTCTAAAACAGTGCGCAATTCCTTGAATTCCCCTGTCGTAAGTGCAACAGTTTCTCAGGGCAGGAAACCTGTGACAATCAGCAGCAACATTAGAATCGTGATGGAACATCTTGTGACTGAACCGAATGACACAGCTTGTGTATTTTGGAATTTGAACAGGTTCATGTATTTTTCAGTAAACTTAGTGCTTAAGCATAAATTATATTTTAATAAACTTTCTTAATACTAGTTGCCTAGAGCGTGCGTAGGGATTCGTAAAGGCTGCTATCATACACAAGGAGGTTAGAATAGAAGGAGGGAGGGTTCGCAGTTTCCTCCACTATCGGGGAATGAAACTCTACGGAACAAGCGGCTTCCATGTTTGTTACTTCAAAACATTGCAATACGGTAGTGAAACGTACGTGTGTTTCTAAGCTGTTCCGTGCATGAATTTTCCAGTAAAAATATGTTAACATTTAGAACGAAATGCTTCGCTATTGTTAGTTTTTTGTTTTAAAGTTATAAAGATGATATCTGTAATTTACTAAGTACAGAAAATCATTAAGAAATATTTCGAAATCTAAATTGCATGTGCATAACATTAAAGCCTTTAAAAATTATGTTTCTGCATAATTTCAAGAATTTTTTTTAGGTTTTATTAGCAACTTCTCGGGTATACTTTCAATTTTTTCTTTAAGAAGTGATATTTCTGATTTATTCGCAATATTATTATAATTTATTAAAGAATCATTTTTACCTGAAATTAATAGCAGATAATTACCTAAAAAAATGGTAACATGTTGCTTTTTTTTTAAATGAAAGTTTTAAATAAATTCTTTTCACAACCAACAACCTTATGTCAACAAGAAAATAAATATTAATAAAATAAAACAGATTTATGTGAATTCAATGATTTCAGTTTATGCGCGTTTCATATTTATGAACCTCAAAGAAATTACCTTGAATTAAGCTGAATTACAGAAATATACCTATATAAATTTTTGGATATATCTTTTCCACATGTTCAGTTGTGTAACTAGTATTTTACTTATGTTTATCGCTATACTGCCCAGAAATTTGTAAGCTTATGCAAAAACATTTTAACATAACAGTTTATCTTGATCAAATGCAAAAATTATATATTCGTAGCAGTTCACAAAACTTAAGAATGAATAATAATTAATACATAAAGAAAAGCGTTGCTTTATTTAACACCTTTACAATTCATAAAAATAGTAACAATTGATTTCTTACTTTTCATGAAAATTATAAAACGAATTATCTAAGCGTTCAAATTATACAGTTTAAATTCTAGCATATATCATTGTATGTTAAGGAACGAAGATACCAGGTGTAAGCAAAAACATTAAAATTTATTTAACATGTTTCGAAGTCTTTTTTTGTCACATCTGGAAAGAAAACAACATGTCATTGTGACATTTTTTTAACATATTTATGAAATTACATAAAAAAAAAGAAAATCAATACTTACGAGTGAACAGTAATTCCAGGAATATTTTTCAAAAATCTATTTGTGCCTCCATATGCAATATAAGCTGATATGCTTCAAAAAGAAAAGGAAAAAAAACTTTACAATTACAGACTTCCTTGCACAAGTCACAGCGATAACAGTAACATGGCCGCCTTCTATTCCCTCCTTCTATTCTAACCTCCTTGATCATACATCCGTTTGTTTCGGAAGAACAACTGTTTGGGACGCTTTTTCACAACAGCCAATCGCCACAGATCGCTTTCGGGTTAATACAGGGGAAACTGGTTTTCCATTACAAACAAGTTGATAGATTCGAAGCTGATAGCTGATTGTTTGAAAACTAACAACTTGCAACTTTTTTTCGAAAGGAAGGGAAAATGACTTCCTTTCGAAAACGTCTTTCTTTCAATAGTAAGCCAGGCAGAAAAATTGTCCGAAACAGTTGTGCGTGTGAAACAAATTCGTGTGTGATAGGGGGCTAATGGATTGAACGCACATAAAACCGATGATATGTGGATAAAATTTATTTTCCCAAAAGAAACACGTTCTGGAAGTTCTGGAACTTTTCACAACTGTAGTGTTCTTCTCAGTATGATAGAGTACACTTAGTAGTTACACTTCCGACTGCTTAGAACGCTAAACACAGCACATCCAAAGCGCATATAAAAGGCGAAGTTCGAACAGTGATCTCTCAATACTCCGAACTCAGCTCTGAACTAAAAACTGAGAACTAACGTTCTCTCCGAGTTTGTATAGTCCCCCGCCCAGGCTGCAAAAAAATTTTTAGTACCACCCGTTTATCGAAATTACTGAAAGGTATGGTAAAAGTTTTCAATTGGGTGCCCCTTGTTTATTGGCGATTCTTTTTTGACGCCAAGATCGGCGCCAGGAAGGCGCAATTTCAAGATGGCCGCTACACAAAACGAAAATAGAAGTCAAAGAATTGCACAAGATCTGTGTCCATGTACACATCGACCTGTTTTTACTTTAAAAAACATCCTAGAATTGCACAAACTAGGCATTGCGCACTGCCTTAAATATGTCCATGTACACATCAATTTATTTTCATTTAAATAAAATCGAGAAGCTAAAACAAAGTTAAAACTATCGTGGTAACCAGAAGTGAGGTTTCATCGCCAAAATTTTAAAAAAATTGTCGCCTATCGAAGGGGCACCCAATTCTACACTAGAGCTAAAGGTATTTATAGTGAGTTACATACAAGGGCCGGGTATGGTTATAGTTACATATATGAATCAATTACAGTTACACAGGGACCGGGCCAAAATGTAGCCGAGTGATCGCCGAGTTTGGCAACTTTTGGCGATTTCTCACCAAACTGGCGAGATATCGGTTTACATTAATGTTTAATTAACTTGCCCTCTAAACTTATTTTCTAGCAGAACTTCCAGAATTCTATCAGTTTTCCAATTAAAAACTTACATACAAAGTGCTGTTTTCTTAGTAGTCATTTGCGACCACAGAACGGCTTAATTCATCTCACATTAAAATACTACGGGAAAAATTGTTTCGGTTTACGAGTATTTCGTGTGACGAACTACCTTCAGAACCAAATTAAGTTAATGATCCAAAGTTTCACTGTATTACATTGAGGACAAAAGGCAAAACTATAAGCAAAACAAGAGAATTAATAATGGAAACTATGTCAACATAGCACAGATTTCCAAATTTATTGGGTTTGGATTTAGTAACCTTTGAAGCCATTATACAAGCATTTTCTATTGTTTCTTTATTATATAAAATATAAAAAATTCTGATATGGACATTACGTGTTTTCCTTGTACCAGCTATTAAATTAAATACATTTTCTGCTGCACTTCACTTTTCAATTCCCTCGAATTATTCTAACTTAATAAACCGATCTCTCAATGCAAATTCCAAATGAAATAAAAATTGCAAAATTTGAAATTATATAACCCTGTCAATTTTTGACGTACGGGAGTTAAACTACTTCTAATGCTATTTTTTCATAATTAGTATTAAACTTTCCCAAATATATGTAGAGAAATCGGGAGACCGCATTAAAAGTTAGATTTCGTTATTTGTCCAAAATTAATTCTTTTTTTTTTTAAATTTGTTATTTCCAAAACATGAATAATGTTTAAAACATTTAAAACACTTTTATAATTGAAAGTATATGACTACGACCAATGATTGCGAAACTAAAGGTCGGGTAAGGACTTTTAAGCAGGATAAGAGATGAGTATATATATATATATATATAATTTAAAACAAATTAAAATTTAATTTTTAACAAACACGTATAAAGTAAAAAAGCAAATTTAAATCCTAAAAATATATATATATATATATATATATATATATATATATAATACATTTTTCTAATAATAATATATACACACACATATATACACATTATTATTATTATTAGAAAAAGCTGTTTATATATTATCTCCAAGGAATAGAAATTCAACTAATTCAACTAAAGCCATGAATTACTATAGATTTTTTAAGTCAGTATTAGCTAGTCCTGTATTGCAGTAAAAATCATTTAAAATCTGTAAAGAAAAGTCCTGAATCGCAAAAATACCAAATTCAAAAGTAAAAGTCTTAAGTACTAAAAAAGTAGTTAATGTCATTGATCGCAGATTAATTGTCTTATCATAAGGAACAAACTCTTATCAAAAGGAACAAACTATCAATCAACAATAACCATATGCATACATAAATAAACTGCCAATAGCAATAGAAACGGGAAGTGCACAACTAAATGTTATGGTAGTTCTATATGCAAAATTTCAGCGTTATATGGTTAATCATTTTTGAATTATGCGAGATACGTACACTCATATATATGTGTGCATTTACGTGCGTACAGATGCCACGAAAAAACCCCATTTGAAGCCATTTACAATCCAATTTGGAAATCGAAGTCCTTTATTCCCTTTATTCTGTCCTTACGTACAGGCAGGGTCGGATTTAGACTTGATAAAGCCCTAAACTATTTGAGATATGGGGGCCCTTTATAAGTCCAGATATTATATGTCAGTGCCAAATATATTTTAAGATACCTAGACGGTTTTTTGAAGGGCCCCCAGGAAAGCGGGGGTTGTGTAGCTTATAAGTAAATCCTGCACTGCGTATAGGTATCCAGCAAAAAAAATCAACCAAATGGATTCAGGAACGGTAAAGATGGGTACTTTCGTTGAAATATGATATCCGAAATTTTTGCGCAATTGCAGTACTGCCTTTATTTCGTACGAGGAAGTAAAAATAACCGAAAGAACAAGGTAATTGTACAAATCGTAGCTGATAATTTCAAATCTTTTCCGAACAAAGTGAAAAAGATTTGCTTAATTTATGACAAAACAACTATAGAACGGCGTTTTAAATAGTATATCCTTTTTTCTAAATTTCTAGTAAAAAATTTTCTTTGTTTCTAAACAAGGGGAGAACTTGCCACTCCGAAATTTTTAAATGTATATACTTCTAAAAGAGAATTCTAGCTAGTATTACTCAGGACTAGCTAGAATTACTCGGGACTAAGCTAGTATTACTCACTATTACTATTTAGCCAGTATTACTCACTATTACTATTTAGCTAGTATTACTCACTATTACTATTTAGCTAGTATTACTCAGGACAGCTCCTAAATCACAGTCGTCGAAAACTACGACAAACACACTAAAACAATCATCAACACAGCCTTCAGGCTATCAGGCTATAATGGTGAAGATAGCTTCACGGCAAAACACTAAAGTACAGCTCCCGACTCGGTCGATCGCTTTCGGAGCTCAACACACTCAAGATGAAACTCGACGATTCACTCTCCGTAAAACTCAACGACGCACTCCGCGTTCAGGCAGGGCTTATATAGCTTTTGGCCTGCCTTCAAGAACAACATTCTAGGCCAAAGCGGTAAGAATTTGTTTTAGATATTCTCCATCCGTCTATGGCATATCGGCTATTTATGTCGCCAAATGAGCGATTTCACACCAAATCTGGTAACCCTGCCTTCCCTCTCCATTTTCTGGCAAACCTGAACCCGCTTTGTGGGGAAGCTATCTCACCTCAGCCGGACATTTCGTAACAATATTAAAGTTTAGAAGTATCAGTTAGAGGCATAGATGTTAATTGTTATTGCATATTATGATATATATTTTTTTAAATTATTTGATTTTTCTTCAGAAATATGTGGGATACCAAAGGCTGCAGACTGGAAAGCAGTAATGCAAGTTACAGCCAATGTGTGTGTGATCACTTGACAAATTTTGCCATCCTTATGGACTATCAAGGTGTTATGGACGAAATGAATCAACTCCCATTCTTTTACATTACTGTTATTGGCTGCACTATCTCCATCTTATGCCTCGCACTGTGTGTTGTTATCTTCACTCTTTACAGGTAAGAAATTTAAATCATAATCTACGCTGTACGCTTTCTGGCAAAGAATAAAAAATCGTGATCTAAATTTGAACGCACAATTATTGAAACGGAAATAGCTGGTCAAAACCTTTTGAAAATTCCGATGAAATTAAATTGCAATATAATTTTTAAATAATGCTGATTCAAGGCAGCTGATTATTTCAAAGCAATCAGGGCTAAAGACGTAACACGAGGTCGTGGAAAAGATATTATTATATTAAAAAGAGATAAAGTCAGAATATCTGCAAGGGGATTTGACATTACTGGACTGAGATTGCATAATGCCAGAATAATTATTAAGTCTTGGGAAAAGGATGGTAAATCATAGATTTCGTGTAAAATTTGTAATCGAAAATCAGTCGCTATTGACTGTGATCTCAGATCGGTAAAACAGTTGACACAATCAATTCACAAAAGACGTGCGCTAGGTTACACAGATGCTTCAATACTGGGAAAAAGGTGATTTCCGATTCCACGACGGAACGAGAAATCACATGATTTGGCTCAAAGATCAGGGAGGGTGGAAAAAGAAATTCTTAGTGAAACTAATTAGTAGGGAAGGGGAAACTTCAGTTTGTCAAGGAACATTGGAAAAAGAATATGTGGTCCGATGAGTTCAAGTTAGCATGAAGAACATATCAGGATCAAAAGAGAACTATACTCATGTCCATAAATTAAGGATAATTCGGAGTCACGCGGAAATCGAACTCTAAAATAAATATATCACGTGTAAAATCACTACACACATCTTCAAGAATCATATGCAAATTTCAGGAAGTAACCAGATGACACCGATGGTACGTCACAATGACGAGAGTGTAAGACAGTGATATATAAGGAATACAGGCAAAGAAGTAAAATTGTTCGCAGGAGCTTTATAAGCAATTCAGTGCAATAACCGGATAGTTATGACACAAAGGACGCATTTGGATGATTTTTTACGTGGTAGAATTATCGGCCGTCTGGAATGTGGGCGTACCCAACTGGAAGTATCAGACGAACTTGGAATTTCCCAGAGTGTCATCTCCAGGCTTTGGCAACGATTCCAAGATGATGGTAATGTGAGTAGACGTTACAGCACAGGTCGCCCCAGAGTTACAACGCCGAATGAAGACCGGTATTTGGCAGTTACTGCCAAAAGAAACAGGCGGAGCATAGCCTCAGACCTGTCTCGTCAGGTCTGTTCAGCCACTGGTACGACAATTTCAAGGCAGACCGTGTACAGACGCTTAGGGCAGATTGGTCTATATGCTCGTAGACCTGTCAGATGCGTTCCACTTACTGCAACTCACTGTCGCCTGCGGTTAGCCTGGAGTAGAGAGCATGCATTGTGGACATCACAACAGTGGGTTTGTGTGATGTTTTCCGACGAGTCCAGGTTTAGCTTGCAGTCTGATTCTCGCCGGACTTTCATATGGATGGAAGCTCCAGGTACCCGTTACCACCAAGAAAACATCATTGAACGACACCGTTACGGTGGTCCAGGAGTGATCGTTTGGGGTGGAATTATTCTGAGTTCCAGAACTCACCTGCATGTTCAAATGGAATCATGACAAGCCAAATCTATCGGGACGTCATTCTAGAAAAACATGTACGTTTGTTTCGGGGCGCCATGGGCGCACAATTTGTGTTTATGGATGACTACGCCCGTCCTCACCGTGCAAACATCGTAACCGAATGCTTTCAATCGGAGGATATCACCCGTATGGACTGGCTAGCATTTCACCGGACTTGAATCCAGTAGAGTATGTGTGGGACATGCTTGGGCGACGAGTTGCAGCCCGTCAACCTCCTCCTACATGTCTACCGGAACTTCGAAGAGCATTGCGTTTTGATTGGTGTATATCCCCCAAGATTATATCGATAATTTGATACTCAGCATGCCTAGGCGTTTGTACGGACTGTATTGCATCATCTGGTGACATACGTGTATTAACAATCAACCAACCATGGTAATATTGGTTTTTTGTAAAATAGGTGTTTTTTTTTTTTTTTTTTTTTGTAATTTGCTCCAGGGAGAAAAAATCGCTATTTTTTTTATAATATCAAACATCTTTTTTTGCTCTTTACCTTGTTTATAATAATTTTACACAAAGTCAAATTTGTTTCTTCTACCCTTCCTTTGCCTGATTTTGCATTATCTTAATTTGGACATGAGTGTGCCTAGCGTGTACGGACTGATTCATCTGGGTGACATACAGTGTATTAACAATCATACCAACCATGTAATATTGGTTTTTGTAATAGGTTTTTTTTTTTTTTTTTTTTTTTGTAATTGCTCCAGGGAGAAAAAATCGCTATTTTTTTTAATAATATCAAACATCTTTTTTTGCTCTTTACCTTGTTTAATAAATAAGTTTTACAAATAAGTCAAATTTGTTTTGCTTCTAACCCTTCCTTTGCCTGATTTTGCATTATCCTTAATTTATGGACATGAGTGTATATGAAGCATAGAACTCTTAATGTATTTATATGCACAACCCTCAGAAGGAATTGCAATATCTAGCCCCCCCCCAAAAAAAAAAGTCTGCAGGACAAAAAATATTTTCTGTTTGGCTGGAATAAAATCAGCATCGCCCTACAGAAATAAAGTCAGTTGAGTGTGTGGGTATAATGAATCATTATCTTAATTTCCTGAAAGGATTAGCACTTCTCGGAAGACTATTATACAGCGTGGTTATAAAATAACTTTCCCTATTTGAACGCATCTACAACTAAAACTAATAAACGGAATGTAAGCAAATTTCTATATAAACTGTGGGAAGAGGAATTCCTGGAAAAAAAATAGTACATAAAGTCACTGATAAGAGAAATTTCGGCCCTGCTATCACGTAGGGACAAGGAAGTTTGCGTAGTCTATGTAGATTATGCAAATTTCATAGTGCTTATGTGACAGCAGGGCAGCTTATTCCTTTTAAAAGAGCAGGAGCGAACGCTGAGTGAGCAGTTCTTTGAATGATTGTTGATTTGTGCATAATATTCATCCTAATTTATCAGTGTTTACTTTACCCATAATGCAGTTTTACACTACAGTCTCCAACACTACGGCGGCTTTTAGGGAATTTAAAAGGCTTCATAACGTGAATAAAAGTCCAACGTGTGTTGTAGTACTGAAACTTATTATTAAAATCTTCGAGGAAACTGGATGAAAAACAGTATCAGGTGATGCAGTAACATAAGTTTCCACTGTAGAGTGCGACGACACGGGGACTGTCAGTGGTCCAAGCCCTCATGTAGTAGCTCATCAAACCGATATGTCTTAAGCTGCTGCATACCTTCCCGTATAAGATCTGTCGCTTGCAAGAACTCAGAATGACACATTATGATAAGCACATGACATTTGCGCTAACGTTTCGTGCCCAAATGGAAACTGATAGTCATTGCCTTGGAAAATATTGTGGGGAGATGAGGCTCCTTTTTGTCTTTCTGCCAATACAGCTCCTGAATTTGGGCATCTGAAGGGCCCACGGTGATCCATCAAATACCTCTACATTCTACAAAAATTACCGTGTGATGTGCATTGCGGCCGATTTCATAATAGGACCAACTTTTTTATGAATATCACTCCTACAGGTCCCGTTACCTGCACCGTTACTGGTGAGAAATCTAGAACCATGTTAGAAACTTCTTTTGTTTCTGAATTGCAGCAAAGACAAGGCCTTGGACTCGGCAATTTTTATGCAAGATGGAGCTCTATCACATTTCCTCATTCAATTACTCCAGCATTTCGGTAATAAGAGAGTTTTTTTCCTCACAGAATGACCACCTTACGCCTCATGTGATTTTGTCTGTGAGGATACCTTAAATAAATTGTGTTTACGGTGGAGTTACAAACATGAGTTCTGTGAAACAAAATATAAAACCTTCTGTTACAAACATACATCCAGGCTGGCAATTTGCGCACAGCAGTAAAGAATGTAGTATACTGGATGCAATACCTTGTGCACAAGGAAGGTAAGCACATCAAAAATGCTGCACGTGGTCCAAAAGACCCTAATGTTGATTAATAAAAGATTATTATGTGTGAGTTTCATAGTGCTTGTCATTAATTTCTGTATCCTCATTTATTGCTGAAACATTAAGGGGACTCGTACACCTTAAACCTCTCATGATCTTCGAATATGTGACTGTTGCAAGAATTGAGATATTATATTTATTTTAAAAGCAATTACTTCCAACTTTTTACAGCTGACTACATAATATAGCTGTTTTGGAAACTAGTAACCATAAAGTTTGTGTTGCCACAAATATTTTTGTAATTTAATCCTCTTTGTGACAAAATATTTTGCCGTGTTTCCAACTTGCGCGCATGATATTTTAAAAATGGCTAATGGTACATATTTGAAATTTGATAGAATTCTTTATATGGGCACTATTTTCTAACTGAACCAACAATCTTATGAATATTTTAATATTGAAGAGTTTTATGGGCGAAAACATTAAAATTTTTTAATAAAATGCATTTTATAAACTCAACTCAAAATAAAATAAAAATTTAACATTAAATTTTTAGAATTTTAGGTTCACAGTCGTTTCCAAATGTTTTAAAAGCTATATATTAAATATAGAATCAAATTATGAAACAGAATGTTTTAAACTGTGCGCGCAAGTTGGAAACATGACGAAAAATGTTGTCACAAAGCGGATTAAATTATAAAAATATTTGTGGCAACACAAACTTTCTGATTACTATTTCAGATAGCAGCTATATTATGTAGACAGCTGTAAAACGTTGGTAGTAATTGCTTTTAAAATAAATAAGTTATCCCAATTCTCGCAACAGTCACCTATTCGAACATGTTATGGGTTTTAAGGTGTATGAGTCCCCTTAATGAAATTTAGCTTGTAGATAATTTTGGAAGAAATATCAAAATATTATTACTTCTATTGCATATAACATGTAAAATACAGCCATATATAAAAATTATAAATATGTAGACACCCCGCCTTTAAATACAGCACTTCATTCCTATCATTAAGAAAATAGAAATGCAAGTATTGCGTACTGCCATTTGCTTTAATAAATACCAAAGTCTTTCAATTTTTTCCGCCATAAATTTCAATAAAAATTAGATTTAACGAATAACAGTATGTAGAGTCATTAGGTACTTTTGATGCCAGGAAGCTGAAACATATGCAGTGCCCTCGCTGGGACTCGAACTTGGACCTCTCGTTTACGCGCCGAGTGTGCTAACGATTACACCATGAAAGCAAGCATGCTGGAAGGAGGGAAAAAATACCCAACGCGGTATTTCCTTATTAGGAATAAAAGTATTTAAAAAAAATGGGCAAATGATTATTATACTTGCTGATGATGATGAAGGATTATGCGATCTTTATAATTTTTTTATTGAAATTACCGTTAAGAAAGTGGCTGAATTTTACAATTTATTGAAAAAATTACAAATTACATACCAGAGTATTGTAATACAGTAAAAATCTTAAAACTGATGAATTCGCATTTTTATAGTCATAAACGCATTAATTTGGAACTAATTTTTCACTTCTTAAAGATGATAGATTTTAACAATAATAAAACATTTACTTTACTTTCTTTTGTTAGAAGAAAGTAATTTTATGAGCGTCATACTCATATCATTTACATATCGTCTAAAAATCTTTGAATAATATCCTCCAAAAGTAAGAAATACAACATGCAATTCGTTTACCGTATTAAAGATTTTACGTCTAGAAAAGGTATGTCTTATTAACTTTTTGAATGAACTGTACTATTATTAAACTTCAAATTCACGATTCCTGCTCACAGTTAGGTTGCTTACGCCTGGACAAGTACTGAGTAACTTCCACTTGAAGATGAGACTGATATCTGAAGAATACATCAAAGATGACATTGCAGTCAGACAACTTCCTTATGATACAGGTAAAACGCTTTCCAAGGAAAAATAGAGATACTACTCAAAAACTGATGATATATCTACTTGAGAAAAATTAAGAAGGAAAAGCCAGCAATAATGTAAACAATCTAGGCATTTATGTAAAGATAGAAAAAGTTCAAACCGAAGAAAAGTGGGCCAACCCAATGCTATAAATGCCAGAAGTTTTGCCTCATTCAACATCTGTGCTTCAATGCTACAAGATATGTAAAATGCAGTTTAAACCTCAGAACTGCTAATTGCTCTCTGAACAAAAAAGAAAATCCTACTTGTTGCTACAATTGAAAGCCCCATGTGAGGCAGTTATAGGGAATGTTCCTGAATCAAGAAACTTCCAAAACCCAGATAACAGAAGAAACAGATAGAAAGATTGAAATGACAGACGAAAATTTTCCCGTGCTCACCAAAAATTCTGAAAAAAAAAAAAAAATTAACCAGGCAGACCCAAAGGAAATATAGGTATGTGCTCAAGAACGGTATCTCAGATGTATCACAAGCTGATAAAAACATGCCACCAAACATGAATTTAGCTAATTATCATGAGAAAAATCTGATGTGTACACCACATGACTTCCTTGTACGGAATATTAAATTATACGCATTTTTTCTTGCATTTCATTTAAACTTATTGGATTGAATTAAATCTACTTCGCCGACAGCGCATAAACCACAATAAAATAACTGCATTCTTTAAAATTCACTCTAGTATTTGTTTACCATAGCGACAGTCTGGCGCTAGATTTACTTAACAGTGTTAATAATTATATAACAGTTAACTTATATAATAATTATATAACGGAAACTAAGTTAACTGTTTTATAATCCAATAATTATATAACAGTTAACTTATATAGTATTTCGTTCATATTATAACTCAAAATGCACAAAATTTATATCATTTAAAGAATAGAATTATCTAATCGTTGTCACATGCTCTATTCAAATACTGCAATAAAGCTAGAATGATGTATAAAAGAAATTAAGCAAACAAAACAAAAAGAAACAGTTTTTCACAGACGATTGAGTATTTCTCATTCAATTCGTTCAGTTCTCACTTCGCGAGAAGGCAAAAATACATAAAAACTCAAAATATCTATATTAAAAATTACGAAGTATATTTTAAACACTTATTTCCTCGAAAAAATTCCAGAAAGAATTAAGCATGATTTAATTTCCAATAATAAATGAATGCGTTATCTTGGTTGTCGCGAAGCTAAGTTTCTCTAGATTGGCAACAAATCCACTAGTCTCCTGTTTCAAATGTAAACACCAATCGCCGCCATAAAAAAAAGGCTTAGCGGCACTTAGACAACTTTAAAATTGTTGATAATTCTAAAAATATTGCGTACAGATTTACTAAAGGCATAAAACTTAACCGGAAGATAAAAACAACATAATACAATCATTTTTAAAGCAAAAAATGTACAATTTACAAACATATAAGAGTAAAGAAACTGAGATCACTGAGCCGGGTAACGGAGTGGATATATATATATAAATATATTTATATACGTTTGGTGCGGCCGATTGCAACCAAAATACGAGCTGCACATCTACATGTTTTTATAGCAGTCCTATATACAAAATTTCAACGTTCTGAGGCTACTACTCGTTTTTGAGTTATGCGAGATACGTACGTACGCACGTACGTACATACGTTCGTACAGACGCCACGAAAAATTCGATTCAGAATTAATTTTAAAGCAGTTTTATAATTTTTTTGAAGGAACAGAGTATTTTATTCTGTCCTTACGTACAGATATTACGCAAGAACATCGTTAAATTGCATTCGATAGCGGTCAAAATGGATATTTTCGTTGAAATATGTTTCCTGAAACTTTTTGCGATTACAATACTTCCTTTTTACTTCGTACAAGGAAGTAAAAATTATCTTTCTGCTAAAAGAACTAAGGAAAGGCAAATCATCGGCAGATATTCTAAACTTATCTTTAAAAGAAGCGGAAATATTTATATACTTTGAAGGAGAAGCATAAGTGCTGATTATTATGCTACCATCTTTGGAATCGGAAAGACTTCTTCTTTGTGCCGGTAGATGATGGCACATACTTCGCCAATTTTTTGGAGGCCTGCTTGCACATATAAAAAACTAATTAACTGCCACCACCTTAGGGCAATACTCCACAATATTGGTTAAAACTGAATCAACTAAATGCAGTTGTACCTTCAAGTTCCAAGGATATGACAAATAATTTGAGTTTATTAAGCAAATAATTTTCTGTGATCAATTAATTCTTTTACAATATAACGACATGTGTAGCGACCGGTTATCTAGTTCACTGAAAGGCTTTTTTAACTTTTATTATTTGATCTTTTATTTGGTAACAGTCACCAACTAAATAATAAATTCTTGAGTACTTATCGGTGTTAGCCATTTGTCGCACAATCATTTCTCAACATCACATATCCATCTGCAAGTCTATTTATTTTCCTTTCAATTTCTAGGTAGCAGCTTTATTGATTATCCTAATAAATATAACTTATTAGCTATCATATGTACTAAAAAATGTCGTCGATTATATTACACTCTGAGTTTAACTGATATCATACCACCGGCTCCCAAGCATCAGCCATTACCAAATAACCCAGCATAAGCAGTAACGCAGTAAAATAAATTTTAACTGAATAACTGTTTGGAAGTATAAATGGGAATTCTTTTAATGTACCAGTTATAAAACCTTTAGATTTCATTAAATAAGATATACTGGAATTGGTGTGAAACTTACATTAGTACCTTTTACGTGTATGAAATAATTTATGCACATATAGGTGTTTGAAATAAGTACAGTAAGACCCCGCTTAACGCGGGGGATACGTTCCATCGAAGTAGAGCGTAATGCGAAACAGCGCTAAACGAGGCTATCTTTACATGTAAATATTGGGGTTAGGGGAAGATGGCTAGGAAATTGGTTAGGTATTAAATTTAAAAAGTATGTTCTTTTAATAAAAATAAAACCAAACATTTATTTCTTAAAGCCCAAATTAATACCACATTATTATTTCTTGCAAAAATAAAACAAAATATAAATAACAAAACGAATATTCTTAAAAAAAAAAAAATAAATAAATAAATAAAAAAAAATTCTCAGTCATATTTAGTTAGCCTTCCGCGTTTTCAGTGTTCTGCTTTTTTGTGACAAAAGCATCTAATGTTGTTTGCCTTTTTCTTTTGCATTGTTCTCTTAAAAGTTCTTCATAAACGGATAGAGCATCTCTAACACCACGCCTTACTTTTCAGCTCCTGTCGAAATTCGGATCATTTTCAATGAATTGATCCATTATTTCCGTTATGGTAGACAAACTCCTTTTTACAAACGCCATCGAAAGTTCTTTTTGCTCTTCTTCTGAATCACTGCTGTCAACATTTTTTTCTTCTTGTGCAGTTAATTCCTTGAGCTCATCATTAGAAAGACTAGCCGTTGCTTCTTGAATTATTTCTTCGACATCTTCCACATTTACCCCTTCAAAATATGTCTGTACAATACCGCACCAAACAAGAAATACAAGTACACTCTTTCGGATATGTATTTGAAACCTATCGCTGCATAATATTTCGGGGAATCCCCGTATGCTGCGAGCGATTTCGTGGAATCCCCGGGTTGAAATAAAAGAGCGCTAAACCGAAACAGCGCTAAACGAAACAGCGTTAAGCGGGCTCTTACTGTAATTTAAAAACTTTAGATGATTAAATGACAGAAAGTTTAATAAAAGTTCAAATAAATGACGGCATCTTTTTCTTTTATAGCTATCACAGCAAACATTCTTGGGGTCTTAGGTATGTCATTCATCGGAACTTGTGTCTCACTTTACTGATTGCAAATTTAGTTTTGATCTTAGGAATAGACAAGACAGACAATCAAGTAAGTATTTCACACAGTTACATTTGAAAAAGTTACTACAGTTACAAATATTGTTTGCGTGTATTCACTTATTTAAAAACTAGAAAGCCCAGCGGTCATACGAAATGACCGCTGTTCTAGATATTATAAATTGTAATTAAAATGATTTGCGCAAAGGTGTCTGCTAATTCAAACTCAATTACCCAGGGCAGGCGGCGAGGACGGCCCTTTGCTTACTGCCCCACGGGGTTTCTCCCTTCTACTTGCTTAAAGTAGAGTGCAATAAAGGAAACCACTGGCAGTATATTTCTTAAGAGCCACCGCTATCTCAATAAATAAAGGTGATTTAAATAATAAAATGTTAATTCACATGTCAAAGATCTCTATGTACACAAAAAATGCCAACATGCTTAAGCGTTGGCCCTGAGACTTATTGATGGTCATAGCAAAGGCAAGTTTTACAGGAAAGTGTCTACATCTCAATTGAAACGGCGACCCTGTGCCGTGGCAACTTCACCCCATTGGCTAGTACAGTTACGCAAGCAACCAATAAACTATTGGCGACAAGCAGACACTTAAGCCGCAAATAATAAAGATATTTATTTATTTCATTTTATTTGTTTTTTCATCGTTGCCGGTTGCCTATTTCGGAATTCTATTATATATAGATTTTAAATTTATTTATTAAATGTTAAATGCACGTGCTCTTATATTTTGAATTTTTCCGGCTTAGCTTTCTCATAATATTAGTCCCGCGCTGCACTGCACGGGGAATAAAACAATTTACAGTTACGCAAGCAACCAACAAACTATCGGCGATAAACACTTAAGCCGCATATATATAAGAATCTGATGTGAACACCGCATTCCTTCCTTGTACGGCCTATTAACACAAATTTTGCTGCAATTTATTCAAACTTATTTCCTCAAATTTCGTTACAGATATAATTCTCAATCAATTAATTCAGTTCTCACTTCGCAGTAAAGCAAGAATACATAGAAACTCAGAACATCTTCCAAAAAAAAAAAAAAAAAAAAAAAATTGTAAAATACAGAAAAAGATAAAACACCGAACACAAATAAAAACAATTAAAAATACATAATTTTTGAAATTAAAATTAGAGTTTCTACGGGAAAACTAGCAATTCAGCCAACTAGCAGAATGACAAAATTTTAACTTTACTTTTGGTCCCACTTATCAAAAGACACTGAATTTAGTGCACAAACTGACTGAATTCACTATTCTATACTAAGAGTTTCAAATATAAACAAATTTCGGCCTCGTTATGCTTAGCAGCACTTAAAACAACTTTTAAATTCTTGATAATTCTACAACTATTGCATGTAGATAAACTAAAGGTATAACCCAGGCAGCATGCATTCGTAAATTGCACGAGAAAAATACGTGCAATTTACGAATGGCCTTTCGTATAAAAAAACGTTCAAGTTGAACGTAAAAATATCATAAAAAGTGTCCAGTGGCAATTACTAAATATTTACGTATATTTTTACGTTATACTATACGTAACTTTTACGTAAAATTTAGGTATATTTACGCAAGAGACTACTGTTCATTCGCTACTTTTACGTATAATATATGTAAATTTCAGGGATTTACGTATATTTTTAGTAAAAATTTACGTATATTTATCGCATATACGTAAATCTCAATTTTTTGCTTCACGTATGCGTATATATTTAGTAAAAATTTGCGTAAATTTCCCCGATTTTTTACTGTATATAAACGTATATATTAGGTAAAAATTAAGGTAGATATTCTTTCTCCGTATTTTTACGGTACAAAAACGTATATATTTGATAGAAATTAACGTATATATTTCCCGTAATTTACGGTACAAAAACGTATATATTTGATAGTAATTGACCTAAATCTTCCCTATGTTTTCTTTGCATATGCGAATGACTGGTAAAAATTTAATCCGATGTATTCTCCACTTTACTGTGTATAAATGCACATTTTTTGGTAAAAAATTTGCATAAATCTTTACCTTTCACTGCATTTTTCATAAAATGTACTTATTTTAATCTCATATTTTTTATATAAATCTATGCAAAAACTTTCTGTATGCTATGATTAAAAGGTAAAATAATTTTTATATCAAATTCTTACATATCTGCCTTTTAGTTATGTACAGCAATATGGAATATATATAACTGGAAAATTTAAATGCACTAGTAAATGAAAAAAAAAAATTCTATTAAAAAATTATGTAACACTTAAAGGCTGAAAATTACTTTTAATATTTCATTTCAAAGTGACTACAAAATATGCAATAAATTTTGTAAACATCAATTCTGTGTTTTAAATCAATTAATGCTATCATTCATTTGCATTTTTGTTTACTAAATTTATTTCATAAATTTAAATTTAGTAAACAACTGTAGCAAACAGTTGTTTACTAAATAACACTTTAAATAAATTATTTGCTTTTTTCCGAAGGACATTTTCTTATGCCATGTAAATGAACGATAGCATTAATTGATTTAAAAACATAGAACTCAGGTTTACAAAATTTATTGCATATATTGTAGTCACTTTTAAATGAAATATTAAAAGTGATTTTCAGCCTTTTAGTGTTATGTAATTTTTGAATAGAAATTAATTTTTTTGCATTTAAATTTTCCAGTTATATATATTCCACATTGCTGTACATACCTAAAAGGTGGATATGTAAAAATTTGATATTAAATTAATTTTATCTTTTAATCATAATATGCAGAACATTTTTGCATAGATTTATATAAAAAATAAGAGATTAAAATAAGCACATTTTACAAAAAATGCAGTAAATAGGTAATTGGAGATTTATGCAAATTTTTTACCAAAAATGTGCACTTTACACAGTAAAGAGGAGAAGACATCGGACTAAATTTTTACCAAAGTCATTCGTATATGCAAAGAAAACATAGAGAAGATTTAGGTCAATTATTATCAAATATATAAGTTTTTATACCATAAAATACAAGGAATATCTACGTTAATTTCAATCTAAAGTACAATATAGTTAATTAACAAATTCAGTAAACGAATGTAGCACAAAAGAAAACATCATACGTTTAGATTATTTGAATGAGTGTGTGCTAAATTTTAAATTGTTAAATATAGACCAGGAAATTGTATAAAACTTACCTTTTCCAATAGTTTACCAAGTTGACTTTGTTATTTTCCTTGAAGATGAATGTCTAATGTCACAAATATTTCATTCATATCTTCAGATAATACACAAATATATACATATTTATTTATTAAAATTCAGTTTATCTCAAACATGTTAAAGAAAATATTAATTTGCATGCAAGTTAATCGAGTAGCTTCTGTTTTAATTACACACATAATTATGATATGTAAAATTTTACATTTATCAGTCAATCTTGCAATGTATTTGTAATCTATTATTGTTGTCTTTTTCAGTTTAAAATCTTTTAAATATATTAGATCAGTACTAAAAGTTCACCTCTACAAAAGAAATGCTTTATTGAGGTATTTTTAAAAAGTTCCCTTTTACAAGGTAACTGTTAATTTCATAAATAAGTTCATAAAATTATGCAAATTCAAAATTACCTAAATATGTTCTTTATTTTATCTTATATACCAGATAAAATTTCAAAAAGTTAATTTGTTTAGGAATATTGAATTTTTTAATATTTATCTCATGTGACTTTTTCTATAACATCATTATAAATGTGCATGTTGATGTGGACATACCAATTATTTTTTTCATCAAATAGCTTTATGGTATTAAATGATTTAAAAAGAGGCAACTGGACAAAAGAAAGCAATTAGAAGTTGGCTAATTTTTTATTAATTTGTTGTCAAACGCTGTGCATTTTAGATTATGCTCATATGATGACAATGAGTTATTTAAATTATAAAATTATTATGAACATATCCCACATAAATTAACAAGTATAAAATTTCAAGTTGTTTGAAGTATTATGAACTGTAATACTTGCAAAAGAAATACACATGAAATTAATTTAAGAATTAGGTTTATTTTACAGGTATTCAAAAACTGCAATTACTGTTAAACAATAAAAATTAACATTAAATCTGAAGAGCATATTTTTTTCAATAATAAAATTCAACATAGACTTCATGCAGCTTCGCCATATTTGTTCTATAGTTCGCTGTCTTTAATATCCTGCTCGATTTTTGTAAAAGTGAATTCTTTGTCACCCAATGTTTTGAGAACAGCTCCTAAACAAGAAAAAGAAAAATTTGTAATAATTTCACACTTCAGATGTTTTCAGTTTTTAAATATAGTTGAAGTATTAAAAGATGCATATAAAATGCACTGAGTATTTCATATTTAAAAATTTACATTTAAGTAATTAAAAATTTAATTTCACACTATCACACAGTAAGCTTCAATTATATACCTTACACAATGCCTATAATTTCAAGTGAAAAATACTTAAGATTTGTTTAGAACTGCAAGGTTGAGAAAGTCTTTAATGGCTATGTTTGTATTTAAGTACATGAGAAAAAACTTAATTTTGTATTAATTATATTGCATTAGCCTTTTCAATTTTACTCCTACATATAGTAAAGAATATTCGCTTTCTTACAGATAACTTTTTCTTAAATAAAGAGTAAGCAGAAAACTAATCACAACACTATATACATATAACAGAATACTTCATAAACATATACATGTCATTAACATACGTATATGCATTAACAGGCTATTTTACACATTTCAATAAACAGAAACCAATACACAATCAAAAGTATTATCAGTAAATTCCTCCAAAATCAGAGCAAAAATCTTTAATTATGATAACAATGGCATCTCAGTTTGCAATATAAAATATTTCAAGTCTACATTCATGTGCATTCTAAGCAAACAGAATGCTGAATAACAATAAAATTATAAATACCATAAAAAAAGTTAAGAGCCACGTAGAATGATAGCAAGACTAAATAAGTCTTCCTTCAAAAATCAATTTAAATTCAAAAATTTGCCTTCCTGTTTAACATCTCAAAATAGGGTTACTGCTTTCACTAACTAAATTTCCTGTCTTGGCAAAATAAAATTTGTCACTTCTGTTGCAGGAATTATTTGCTGCAAACTTTGTATGCAAATAATCCAGTGAAAAAATTTTAATTGTGGCTTGAATATTTTCTTTATTAAATAAATGAAAAATTGCCACATAATATTAATTTATGATCCACATGAAGCTTTTTACCTCTACCATATCATGCAGCTATTTTAAAATATATACTCTCATATAAAAGCCACAGAATTTTTTTACCAATATTAATGTAGTATAAATCATTAATAAATCTTCTAAAAACAGCCCCAAATTTTCTGAATTTGATACCCAAAACATAATTCTACGTAACTGTTAATGTATGCATTTGCTTGCACATACTTAAAATGAATTATACACACAAAAACTTAACATATTAACTTTAATAAATTCTTAATTAGCAGGATGACTCAATTAAGGCAAAATATGAAAGAAATCTACCTGATGGAATAGTTGTAAAAGATATATTTAAAAAAAGCTAATATTGTTTACCTTACACATAGCAGAAATTGAGTAAAATGTATGCAGCTGGATTATTTATTAGGAATAGAAGTTAGATCAAAGTACCAAAGTCACACTAGGGCTTTAACCATTTGGGTGCAAAGAAGCACCTGAATTTCAAAAAGAATAATTTAAAAAAGCTAATAGAATTATATAACTTTTACAATCTAGTACAAATATTAGACACATAAACAACACTAAATGCCATTATTTACTTGCATATTTTCCTTCTTTGTGTACTTTACTCCTTAATTTTTCAGGATATGATTTAGAAACAGAGTTATGGTAAAAATGTATACTGGTAAAAAAAATATTGCTGAAACTGATAAGTCCTTTAAATTATATACTATAGTGCAAAGAGGGATGGAATATGTGACTAAATATGATAAATTAGATTACAATAACATTAAACAAATAACATGAAAAACTGAAAAAAAGAAGTTTTATTTGAAATTATTTTTTAACTCATGGAAAGACAGACAGTATTTCCAACTTATTAAATTCAATTATACTTTACCTTCATCAAACCAATATTGGTAAGAGAGTTGTATTTAAAATCGGTGCTAAGCTAAAACTGCTTTCTTGCCTAATTTTATACTATTGAAAATACCGGTAATTGTCAAAGTTATTCGTACTCAATATGTGCAAGATTATTAATGAGTTGCCAAACCTCAGTTAACCATCTAATATACTACATTCAACATTATTATTTTTCTTTTTCAATGTCAGGTTTTCATTATTTCTGCCAATATATCTGTAACAGGACATAAAGATTGAGTTAATGTAGAATAGAAAATTACCTTGCAAGTTAGCACCTTTACCTTAGTGGCAGTACTTCATTCTCTAGAAAAAACATTTTAAATTATTATACTTAAACAAAAAATTCATATTTGTTACAGCAAAACATCATTAATACAATAAATTAGAGTTGAATGCAAATCTAGTTTAACTCCATTCTTGAAAACTAGTTTATTACTTTCAATTTAATTTAAAAATAATAAAAAATATGGTACGTATTATGATGACTACCTAGATATCTCGCCTAAACTGGCAATCCTTGTAGGTTATACAGGTTAACCCTAACATAGGTTATAGAGGGCACTAAGATAGAGAGTATTAATCCCACACTAGGGACTCTAACATTTGGTAGGAACAGTTTGAAAAGTGAAACAGATATTTATAGTGAACCAATGCAAAACAAAAACAATAGTTCTTTAGGGACAAAGCCCCTTTGGACTAATAAATCCGAGTAAATTAACAGCTTTTAGCTATTTTTTCTTCTTGTAAAAAATAGACATACATAATATTTTTAGAAAATAACAGTACTTTAAGCATGCAATTTCCACATATTTAACACAATAATTCATTCTAGCTCTGTTGCAATACTGGCAAAGGTACTCCTCTGTTATTAGGATGGGATTCAGAAATGTACAATGAAACCTCGAGATACGAGGAAAGTATGAGCAAAATACGAGATTAATTCGAGTAACGAGCAATGAGCCAGGCTGTTGGTATGGGTGGCGCCATTTCCCTATCCGGCTCAACTCGGGGAATCCCCTCGTCAGATCACTCAGTGTTCTTTTATATACGTGTTTGTGCACTTGCAAGTTAATTGTTTTGACATTTAACGTGAAAATAATTATTTCAAGATGCCTCGCAAGAAGATTGTTGCCTCAGATAGTGCTGCAAAGGAAAATAAGGAGGCCATGGCCGTCGATATCAAGAAAGAAATCGTAGATAAACATAAGCATGGTGACGGAATTGGCGAAGACTTGCGGCCTTTCAACATCGAAAATCTATACTATTCTGAAGAAGCAGGAAGAAATTAAGAAACCTGATGTAGCCAAAGGAATTATCGTTGCTTCCAAGCACCATAAAAGTACTCCTAGATGTTGAGAAGCTGTTGTTGGTGTGGATTAATGAGAATGAGTTAAAATGTTGGTAACAAAGTTAAACTATTGTTATATTATTTACCAGTGTTATTTATTAGGAAAAATTGACTCGATATTAAAATGTTGATATTTTTTGGGGTGTGGAACGGGTTAACTGAATTTCCATTATTTTCAATGGGGAAGCTTGTTTCTAGATACGAGAAATTCGCTATACCAGTTGAATGCTGGAACGAATTAAACTCGTATCTCGGGGTTCCACTGTAGATATGTAAGCATGTGTATATGCATGTATGCGCATATACACGTACATACATAAAGAATATACACATGCACACACGAGCACCTACATTTAAAAATGCATGCATATAAACACACATTTCTGAATCTCCTGATAACAGAAGAATACCTACATGAATCATAGGATTTACATTATTCAGTTTCATTAGAATTCTTAAATGCAGAGGATTTACATTAATCAGTTTTATTAGAATTCTTAAATGCAGAGGATTTACATTAATCAGTTTTATTAGAATTTTTAAATGCAGAGGATTTACATTAATCACTTCTATCAGAATTCTTAAATGAAATCTTCACTATCCGAAAATTCAGTTTCATTTCCAGCTGAAACTGTATCAGGACAATCTCATTTATATTATTTCCCTCTAACAACTGAACATTTTTGAAAACCTTTTCTATTCCATGGAAAACTAATGCTACATTAAACATACATTTTCTAAATCTGAAAATTTTAAGTTAGCTTAGAAACTGTAATCATTCTTAAAAAAGTTTGATTTATGCAGATGTTTGATCAATAAAATTACTTTCCTGTGAAAAAGTAATATGGCATTGAACAACACGATTTTACACATCAAGATATACTGAGTGAAAATTCCTGAAATGTTTTATTTCTTGGTATCTCTGCAAGAATTGTATAAATAAGACTACCTCCCTTTTATATAAAAAAAAAAAAATGTTTAGTACATATACTATGAAGAAAATTGGTTACATTATTTACAGTTCATAATTAATAGAAAATAAATCATTTCTTATCTTATCAGAATTTATTTTTATCACATTCATAAACAGTACTAATTTAAACAAACATACCATTATGATTTCAATAACTATGAAATAGAAAATCCAAATCTGCATCTTTGATGGTCTAGTAGATTGGACGTCTAGTTTACTACAATTCAGCAGGGTGCTGACTCCCCAGACTGTAATATATATATATATAATTAATTTACAAGGGAAAAAGCAACAAAATATAAACAATTTTCTTGGTTTTATATAAGCATTTCTGCACATTTACAATTTAAATTTTTTTAACTATCTAGTTATATCAAAATACATGATTTAGTAAAATATAATTCAAATAATTTAAGGTATTTTAGATCAAATACTAATTTTTCAATAAATTTTTTCATGCAAGCCTAATAATCAACATAACTATCAAGTTTTGACTTCGAAAATTATGTTTAGAGAAACTTGAAGCTGCAGTAAATAGTAATAAATTTATTCAAAACTGAAAGTAAAGCATTCTTACTTTATTTTCTTTCTTTAAACTATGGCAGATCTTTTAAAACAACAAAATCAACAAACAAAAAAGAAATGCATTCATGAAAGGACTTAGGACTTACTTATTATTCATGAAAGGATATATTTCAGTAATTACTAGTGCATAAAAATTCAGTATATATATAAAAAAATGAACACAGATTTGGAACAAAGTACCTGTGTTTCTATGGCATAAAGTTTCCTTTTTTAATAGCACAATATCTTTGAGTTAAAGATTATATATTAAAGCAAATTTATAAAACTAAATTCAAAAATAAGAAATTAAATTATTTTTAGGGAAAACACTAAGCAAATAAAGCTATTTCCTGCTTAATTACAGTATGCTTTAAGATAAATATTAAAACGTTTGAGTAAAAATAATATAACTATAAAAAGGTGAGACACATACAAAAAGGAGTGACACAAACAGTAAGAAAACTAGTGCAAAATTTTTCAATTTAGATTTGCAAAATGTTTAAACAGTACCAAATCCTGAAAATGAATCATTAGGCACGTACACAAAAGAACAACACATGGAAAATCACATTTCCTACACAGACGCTATTTATAAAATTTTATATAGGTGAAAAAAGTACGAGTATTAAACACTGAAAATATAAATATATTCACTTACTTTCTTCAAATAATTAGTAACTAACTTCGATGGATTCTGTCACAAACGCCAATCCACGAACAAACAGCATTCTTTGCGACTTTACCATTCTTTTCGACCGCCATTGCTGAGTGCTGACTTCACAAATATCCCGCCACAACCGGAAGTAGAAAGTGTCTGCTTTGCCATTGGTCAGTGAACAAGAATTGCAACGCTTTTTTTTTTTCTTTATAATTAAACATATTAAGAAAGCCTCTAAATTAGCATATGAAATAAACTTACTTTTGCATTATATAAATTTATATTCACAGCATCTCTGTATTAAGGTAATAATTAAATTTTTCTACGAAAAATAGAAATGTCTGTATATGCGCATGCTCAGTGTATAATCGTAAATCCGGTTAATTTTTATAGCGTAAAATTAACTATGCAAATTTTGAGTTCATTTAACTGGACCCTTGTACTTATTCTGTAGATCTCCATATTAAGAATGTCTTTAACTGTTTCAGGAAAAATATAAAATATAATATAATTATTTATTTACATTATTTATTAATTTTTTCCTCATATAAAAATTATTAAAATCGCTATATATCATTTTTTTTCCGTACATTAAAAAAATTTAAAAAAATTAGCCTCATATGATTTTTATAATAACAAGATTTAAGGAACTGAATATATGTAAAATATCAGGATTCAGCTTGCAATTTCGTAGAGTTATTATTATTATTATTAAATAAAAATATTAGTATATCTTTGATTATAATTAATGATCCTTTGGTGTACATTAAACTATTGTTCAAGAAGTTAAACGTTTTCGAGCATCTTCTGCTGTATTTATTATTCTATTCCTCGACATGAAAGATTTGCTAGTCTTATTCCAATTCAATTAATTGCCCACATTTGCTAAATAAAATAAGAAGAGTATTGTACCAAACTCAGTAAGTACACAAATTTAATATACAGCTTATTCCAGTTAAATGGGTAATAGGATTTTCATAAAAGAAATTAAATTGTGTAAATTAATATAAGTGTTGATATGAATAAAAATAACAAATTTGATATAAGAAAATAAATAAGTTATTTTGAAGATGTTTGAATTAAGAAAATATAATTTTTTGTAAAAATGCACGTAAAGATTTAGCTCACATGTTAAAATTTATAGAAAAATTTTAGCCTCATATATGAATGCCCCTTTTTTCATGTTCGTGGACAAGGAAAACAAAGTGAAATGCCAGAAAAACACTAAATATTTTGAATTAATAAACTTCATTTTCAATCTTTTTAGACTTCGTATAATATCCGTAAAAGTGACGAATGAAATATACCATAAAGGCAGTAGTTTCTTTCAGAACATTCGGATTCGTATAATATGCGTAAAAGTGACGAATAAAATATACCATCATGGTGGTAGTTTTATCAGTACATTCGGATTCGTATAATTTTCGTAAAAATAACGTGTGGAAAATAACGATCAAGAGTTAACAGTAACTTCAGCCTTTTTCATTCGTATAAATTTCGTAAAAGTAACGTGCAAAAAATACCATACCCTTATTTCACCAAAATTATACGTATATTTTTGGAGACGTGCTGCCTGGGAAAAACCTTAACACCTTAATCGGAACACAAGAACAACACAATTCAATCACTTTTAAATCAAAAACTGCACAATTTATTAACACATAAAAAATTTTAAAAAAGGATCTGTACATGAACAAACAGAGAATAAAGATAACAAGCAGAGAAGTGAGCAAATAGTAGAACCTCTGACTTCGAAAGCTTCCCATCACGAATAATTTATCTCAACAACTCGAATGATGAATGGTGTTTCGAACCGATTTTACGAACACTCAGTGGCGTAGTTAGGGTGGAACTACCGGGCGCAGCATCCCCGGGCGTAGCATCTTTCCCCAGGCTGTCCCCGAGGCAGCATCCAGGGGGCGCCAAATTGACGCTAAAATCTAAAAATTAGATGTTTTCCATTATTGGAACACAGAAAGGGGGGCAAAATCTTCACTTGTCCCCGGGCGCTGAATGAATTATGGCCAGATTGTGTTGCAAGCTAACATATTGAGGGATTAGACGCTGAGGATATTTTTATTATCTATCATTTTGTACTCAAGACGAAACCGTGGGCTAGGAAATTAGCGATCAAGACGCAGAGGTTCATAAAAATTAGTTCAAGAAGAAATATCTGAAAAGCATTCAGAAACAGTAGCAAAAAGTCATTTCAGATGAAGTGTCTTTAAAGAAAGAGAAAGGGGAAAAAGATGAATATAGTTCATTTATCCAGGAAACTGGTGCAAAGTTTCATGTAACCAGGGGTGACTGGGGTTGCCAGACCGGCAAACTTGCCTAAAGCTCCCAGAACCTTCTTGAAATATGTCTATTTTCGCCAAGATTACAAAGGTGATCTGGAAAAAAGGCAGAAATATTACGGCACCCATAATGAATTTCATTTCATAATATTACAGAACCAGAGAAGAAATGCAAGCCCATCTTGGCCAGGATTATGAGAAAGCCCAGAGGGAAGTTTCCTGTGCTGGGAGAGGGGAGAAGATTATAAATGAATCAAGCCTATTGCAATTTTTAAGGTCCTTTTGAAGAGATGAATTATACTAATTCCCCCTTTTCTAAATTTAAAATTTATTTAATAATAGTATGAGGTCCAGATCACAACCAACCAATTCCAATCTAATAATCTAAGATCAAAAAAGAGTAGCTGATATTTTCCACGAAAGTGATATTCTGTGCATCAAGACATCTTGATAAGGGGAATCTTGGACTTCTCTATCCATGAAGAAAACAAAATCCGATCAAAGGCAGACGGACAACCGAGTTTTCTACTTCCAGCAGCAGATTTTAAAAACTCGTACTAAACTGAATTAAAAATGATGAGACTATGGGCTGCATACAGAAAGGACGCAAACACTTTTAACTAATAAATTAGTTAATTTCCAGCATTACAGGTAATGGCGGTATTTATATATTAGTTTCAAAAACTTTTTTACGACATTGCAGGATTTGGATTGGACATTGGGACTAACTATTGGGGGAACAACATATCGCATGACGAACGCCATAAACAATTACTTTTTGTTATGCGGCGCCCCACTGTGCTCTAAACAAACCACTGTATCCATGACGCTAAATACCTTTCTGTATAGGTAACTGTACAGATTTCTGTACTTCTGTAACTGAAAGATTCGTTATAGCACTTAAATTAACTGAAAATTGATTTTATTACTTGCTTGCTTATTTAATTTTATTAAATAAAAAATCTGATGTGTACACCACATGACTTCCTTGTACGGAATATTAAATTATACGCATTTTTCTTGCATTTTATTTAAACTTATTAGATTGAATTAAACGTACTTCGCCGACAGCGCATAAACCACAATAGAATAAATGCATTCTTTAAAATTCACTTTGTTTACCATAGCGACACTCTGGCGCTAGGTTTACTTAACAATATTATATTTCATTCATATTATAACTCAGAATGCACAAAATGTATATCATTTAAAGAATTATCTAATCGTTGCCACATGTTCTACTCAAATACTATATTAAAGCTAGCACTGTGTATAAAATAAATTAAGCAAACAAAACAAAAAGAAACAGTTTTTCACAGACGATTGAGTATTTCTCATTTCATTAATTCAGTTCACACTTCGTGAGAAGGCAAAAATACATAAAAACTCAAAATATCTATATTAATAATTACGAAGTAAATTTCAAACGCTTATTTCCTCGAAAAAATTCCAGAAAGAATTAAGCATGATTTAATTGGCAATAACAAATGAATGCGTTATCTTTGTTGTTGCGAAGCTAAGTTTCTCCAGATTGGCAACAAATCCAATAGTCTCCTGTTTCAAATGTAAACATCAATGGCCGCCATTAAAAACAGGCTTAGCGGCAATTAAACAACTTTAAAATTGCTGATAATTCTAAAAATATTGCACACAGATTTACTAAAGGCATAAAATCCTTAACAGGAAGATAAAAACAACATAATTCAATCATTTTTAAAGCAAAAAATGTACAATTTACAAACATATAAGAGTAAAGAAACTGAGATCACTGAGCCGGGTAATAGAGTGGATATATATATATAAATATATTTATATACGTTTGGTGCGGCCGATTGCAACCAAAATACGAGGTGCACATCTACATGTTATAGCAGTCCTATATACAAAATTTCAATGTTCTGAGGCTACTCGTTTTGAGTTATGCGAGATACGTACGTACGTACGCACGCACGTACGTACATACGTTCGTACAGACGCCACGAAATATTCTCTTCAGAATTAATTTTAAAGCAGTTTCATAATTTTTTTGAAGGAAAAGAGTATTTTATTCTGTCCTTACGTACAGATATCACGCAAAAACATCGTTAAATTGCATTCGATAGCGGTCAAAATGGATATTTTCGTTGAAATATGCTGCCTGAAACTTTTCGCGATTACAATACTTCCTTTTTACTTCGTACAAGGAAGTAAAAATTGATTTCCTTTTATTAAATTAAGTTTTTAATTAACTGTAACTCACTTTTCAATTTCTTGGCCAATTTAATTAAACGAAATCTCGGGACTTAACAATGAGCTAATTGTGATTGCAGAGTCATCAAGTGCCCTCAAGATAGGTACAGTGAATGTCTCTGTATGTATTTTGACAAGCAGGAAAAATTATATTTCATGAAATTAAGCTACAAATGAAAGATAAAAATCTAAGATATATTATTTACAACAGGATTTCTGAAAAGTAATGTCTTTATTAGAAATAAAGTTTCCGCATTCTTTAGACATGGCAACCGTCTGATGAAATGCTTCCGCTAATCTTCAAAATTTGGAAATAACTTGCATAACCAGTATATCAGTATTAATAAAAACTATTCGTTTCTTTTTATATCATTTTCCTGTTGATTTGCGTTATATTGGAATATGTTATTGCCTATTAGTTGACTGACGATGAAATCACAGCGGAAAAAACAAACATCGGGTAGAAAACAAGGCAAGACATCTACTGAGAAAACACAAGAAGAAGAGAACATCTCAAATCTGAATATTCGTGGCATAAAATGTCGTCATAGAAAACAAAGCGCTTCAAAAACTTGGCAGTTTAAAAAAATACAAAACAGCGTGGTAAAAAAAATGTACCAGGAAATCATCTCCAGATGATAACGTCGCAAACATGTTTTTTTAGACAAAAACATTTTTAACACGTATTAGCTTTTTTTTTTTTTTTTTTTTTTTTTTTTTTTTTTTTTTTGTGAGCTCAAGAAGAAATAAGGAGTATTTTCCCCTTTACTTCATATTTTTGAAAGAAATAATAAACTTTTACTAAAAATGCGAAAAGGAAACTTGAGCATTCGAAATCCGAAAATGATTAAAAAGCACACTGTACATGAAAATATTAATGACTATCATAAGAAGGAGAATAAACTGAAACGAAACTTTTTTCACTAAGATAAAATCAAATGTGAAAGAAAATAATTAAAAAAATTTTATAATAAACTAAACAATTTTACACTCATGTCCATAAATTAAGGAGTATGCAAAATCAGACAAAGGAAGAGTTAGAAGCAAAACAAATTTGACTTATTTGTAAAGCTTATTTATTAAACAAAAGGTAAAGAGCAAAAAAGTTGCTATATGTTTGATATTATTAAAAAAATTAGCGATTTTTTCTCCCTGGAGCAAATTGTAAAAAAAACCCCTACTTACAAAAAACCAATATTACATGGTTGGTATGATTTTTAATACATTGTATGTCTCTCAGACGATGCAATACAGGCCGTACAACGCCTAGGCATGCTATCAAATTATCGATCTGATCTTGCCGGATATTACACCACTCAAAAAGCAATGCTCTCCGAAGTTCCGGTAGACATGTAGGAGGAGGTTGAAGGGCTGCAACACGTCGGCCAAGCATGTCCCACACGTGCTCTACTGGATTCAAGTCCGGTGAAATGCTGGCCAGTCCATACGGGTGATATCCTCCGATTGAAGGCATTCGCTTACGATGCTTTTTTTCACGGTGAGGACGGGCGTTGTCATCCATAAACACAAATTGTGTGCCCATGGCGCCCGAAACAAACGTACATGTTGTTCCAGAATGACGTCCCGATAGATTTGGCTTGTCATGGTTCCAATTTGAACATGCAGGTGAGTTCTGGAACCCAGAATAATTCCACAACAAACGAGCACTCCTGCACCACCGTAACGGTGTCGTTCAATGATGTTTTCTTGGTGGTAACGGGTACCTGGAGCTCTCCATATGGAATTCCGGCGAGAATCAGACTGCAATCTAAACCTGGACTCGTCGGAAAACATCACACAAGCCCACTGTTGCGGTGTCTACAATGCATGCTCTCTACTCCAGGCTAACCGCAGGTGACAGTGAGTTGCAGTAAGTGGAACGCATCTGACAGGTCTACGAGCATATAGACCAATCTGCCCTAAACGTCTGTACACGGTCTGCCTTGAAATTGTCGTGCCAGTAGCTGAAGAGAACTGATGAGGCAGGTCAGAGGCTGTGCTCCGCCTGGTTCTTCTGGCAGTAACTGACAAATACCGGTCCTCATTCGGCGTTTTAACTCTGGGGCGACCTGTGCTGTGTAACGTCTACTCACATTACCATCATCTTGGAATCAGTTGCCAAAACCTGGAGATGGCACTCTAGGCAATTCCAAGTTCGTCTGATACTTCCAGTTGGGTACGCCCACATTCCAGACGGACCCGTAAAAAATCATCCGAATGCGTCTTTTGTGTCAGAACTATACGGTTATTGCACTGAAATGCTTATAAAGAGCCTGCGAACAATTTTACTTCTTTGCCTGCATTCCTTATATATCACTGTCTTACACTCTCGTCATTGTGACGTACCATCGGTGTCATCTGGTTACTTCCCGAAATTTCCATATGATTCTTGAAGATGTGTGTAGTGATTTTACAGGTGACATATTTATTTTAGAGTTTGATTTCCGCGTGACTCCGAATTATCCTTAATTTATGGACATGAATGTAATATAGGCATTTTCATGCAATTATTTATCCTCTTTCTTTTTTCATTTTTCTCTTTCAGAGGTTATGTTCTGTCATCGCTGGCGTGCTGCATTATTTCTTCCTTTCGGCCTTCAGCTGGATGCTGTTAGAGGGTTTCCACATTTATCTTCTCTTAGTTGTCGTCTTTGCATCCAGAAGATCGCACAGTGAAAAATATTACATTTTTGGCTACGGTAATAATTTACTTCTTAAAACATCTGCATGTAAAAACTGAACTTGATAAGAGTATACTTTAGGATTTTGAATAGAGGATGTAATGAACTAAAATGATTAAACACTATGAGATTTAGGTTATTTGAATACGAAAGCACATAAGAGCTGTTCTCCTAAGAGGGGGGAGGCCTTCGTAAAGTATATTGTAAGGGAAACTGGCTCGTATTCATGTTACATAGGAAGAAACCTGCGACGACCAACCGTACAGATAGCCCATTCAGCTGTTTTAACCTTCCTGGATGCGATTTCCAGAAATTGAATGAGTATATGGCTTTCGCAGATTTCCTTAAAATTAACATTAATACGTTAGCAATTTTTCTTCAGCAATTTTTGCTCTAAGGCATCCATATATTCTTCGATATAGTTCATATAATCATCGATTAATTTGACATTAGAAGTATTCTAATCTAAATTTCGTAAATGTTAAAATTATTTTCTTTCTGAAGAGCTTCTCCTGTAAATCAAGTAAGGTACTTTCTGATAAGATCAATCCGCACCAAAAAAGTCACGGATTGGTTAGCGATTTTGGAGAGCATTCGAGAACACGTTGGCTACTTCCGAAAGAAATATTTGTTAGATTTAGAAATAAACATTTGCGTACCTTTAAATCTACTTCAACGAGGCATCGCCTACTTCAATGACGCATCTAGCGCCGTTTATATTTTTATATTCATTAAAAAAAATGAAATACTTAACTTTTTCTAAAGAAACCGTCTGTAAATTTTTTAAGCTCTTATTTTCCACATCTACACAGCTGTCTGTTTTCATTAAAATATTAAGATTGTGCAGTCAGAGAACTGCACAAACTCAACATCGCGGCCAACCTCGGCATTGTGCACCTGACACGATCACATTGGTCCAAGAATAGTTGAAATTTCAACATAATGAAAATAAAAGAAGACAGACTCGACAAGTACCATTATAATTCGTTGCGACTAAAACGAATGCATTCAGTGCAAAAGAGTGCTAATTCATGCGTATTTAAATACACGTGTACTACGCGTGCACATAGGTTGTCACACAAATATTTTTGATGACATCATGGGTTGCCACACAAATATCTTCGGAGACATAGTGCATTGCTTCTTCAGTATCTTTTCCGTGGACGTTTGCATAATCAGAAAGTACTCTCCGAAATTACTAATTTACTGTACAAATTTTTTGATTTTGAAATTTGCAAAGATTGTATAATTAGTGATTTTATGTATTTTAGATTTCCACCTTAGTTTTATTCATCTATTGATTAATGTTTCAGGGTTTCCTATGATTGTTGTTGCAATAACAGCTGCCACTCGGCCAATGTATTACGGAACTGATGGAGCGTAAGTTTATTTCAATATTCGCGAAAGAGTGAATTTTACAAAACTAGCATTTTGTCAATTGTAATGAAAAGATTTTTATTTGCATTCATAAGAAATGTTCAGTATGGCCTCATACACGTCTCATCCCCATCTCCTTTCTGTTTCAATAAAGTTGAAACTTTCCGCTTTCAGAATAGTTACAATGTACCTGGAAAGAAAAGTTCGAAGTCCACTTCTAATGTCAATAAAATCTAAATTAATTAGCGAAATGCAGGCTTATATGATTGTTAATTTAATGGAGTTATATATATTTTGAAGAGAAATCGTTTCTCCTTTAATAGAAAAAATTATTGTGAATAAGCAGTTACGACACAGAAATAGTTTGCGTCATCCATGCCAAAACCGTTTCGTTCTTTTTTACTGATACCTGCCAAAACATTCAAAGGATGTTTGTAATTCCCAAGAAGAAATATTTGTTAGATTTAGAAGAAGAAGTTTCCAGAAGTCCAGGAGTCCTTGTTGTTCCAGGAGTCCCTTTGACCTCCCTTTTAATCATTTCAGTGAACATCAGTGAAACACTTTAACTGACTTGTATTTCATATTTTGTTTCCAACTTGGATTTCTGTACCCAAGCCCGCATGCGAAGAATTGACATTAGAATGGCGTACAGTCCTCTTCAGCTGATGAGGTGAAATACAGGATAACAATGGACACATGGGCTTAAATTCGAAGAGTATAGTACTTGCATTGTGTTCATTGTTATTCTCTCCAATCCAGATCTCTTATGTTATATGTTGTTAAGGTCTTGCATCATTGTCGAAGAACGAGAACTGTCTTTTTTCAGTTGTAGTGTCAATCACCCACTGAACCTCCAGAAGAACCCATGTAGAATTGTAATGTTTTGTCCCTATCTCAAGCCTGCTTTCTTTGATCACCCATGTTCAAGGCGTTTTATTTGATGTTTATAAATAAAGAACTCGGCTGAATAGACATATCTCCTGAAATTCGATCTGGAAACATTTTGGGAAGATTTTGCACATTTTACTTGACTATTTTCAGAGTTTTAATTTCATTTATTTGGCAAAAGACTCCTTCCAGTAACAGCCACTGGCAAAGACTCCAGTTGGTTCATGGCTTATAGTTTAGAGTTTGTCTTCAGTTTCAAGCCTAAATTTATGATTACCTCCTCGATACTCAGTGATACTCCTGCCTCTGTCTTTGAAATGATAGAACTAAACTCTTAGGAAGCTCTCTATGCTATTATTCTGACCAGACATAAATGAATTAGATGGCTTTACATATCTACATCTTGGCTACATCTATGCTATTGTTATGACCAGACATAAATGAATTAGATGGCTTTACACATCTACATCTTGGCTACATCTATGCTATTATTCTGACCAGACGTAAATGAATTGGGACCAACTGCATTGTTGTCAGAGAAAGAGAAAAAAATGTCACAGATGAATTTCTGTTGCCAAAAGTATCTCAAGAAAAAAAAAATAATTTCATGCTGAAAAATGAGCACAAACTGATCCTTTTTCCCTCCTAGATTTACCCGAGTTGCCGTAGTAAAAATAGCAAGCGGATTGAGGCATAGCAACGAACTAACTGCCATGAGATATTTAATGAGCACTTGCGGGAGACGTTATTGCACATTTAAAAAATTATAAGGAACTATATGTTAATTAATCAGTTATTCATAATTTCAGCCTTTACTATAACTTTCCCCGCTAGAATGCATATGAGTAGCCAGTGTTTAAACTGAGGTTTTGGGATTTAAAAAAAAAATTTAATCATTATTTGACGATTGAATTATAACATTGGGAAACAAAAGTTTATGACTATATACCTGTTAAATCTTTTTGGATATTTGCTAGAGATATCCCTTTATTGCTAACATTGGATACGTACCATAGAATTCTAATTATCAGGACCGTAACGGAACTCCAAATATTCGGATCTTACTCTTTCTAGAGGACTGAAACTACAGTGTTTCTGGCATCGCGTGTGCGCTACACTTGTTAGTTTCCTGCTATCTCTGATAGTTGTAATGATTCGGTTGTTCGTTCTATCGCCGCGATACTTTAATTCTGATGCTCCGGTAGAGTAAAGAGCCAAATTTTAGTAATATTTAGTTGTGTAGTTCTTGATCAACGTTTGATTTAAATTTGACTGTTCTACTTAGTTGCATTACTACGAGGTTTTGGATTATATTGTAGCACAAGAGATTGCCTTTGTGTTCAAAGTTCTGTTTAACTGAAAAGTTTATTTTTAATCTTCTTACGACTTTGTTTCAGATATAGCAATAATTAGCTTCATGTCTGTTAGGGTTTTGGGACCCAAGTTGAATGCGTTTGATATAATATTTTTTTCTAAATTATAAACGTGATAAGTTTTTAAAAGTTTAAACTTTGCGAATTTTACAACACGGATACAACAAGCGTAGCAGTAGTATAATAAGTTTTGCAAAAATACAGAAACTACAGGCCTGAAAATACATATACAGTGTCTCAAAAAAGTGATGGGACACTTGTGCTTTACAAAAGAAAACTGCAATAAAATAAATTTAAAAAACATGTAAAATTTTTTGTGGGTGTGTTTCATACTTAAATTTAGTAACAATTATTACATAACATACATTTTCTCAAAATATTAAAATATTAATTTAATAAAAATACAATTGTTTAGAACGGAGCAGGAATTGGCTCACTTAAGTGATGGGACACTACTATGCAACAAAAATCGTCTGAAGTAAGCATTAAAAATATCTTTTGGGGTCTTTATTTTTACTCAAAAGCAATTGCCAATAATTTATAAAATCGTCTGCAGTATTTCTCTCCAGTTTGTTTTGGAATTTTTGTGTTTTTTAGTTCTGTGCAGCCATGAATGCTAAACGAAAAGAAACTTTGCCTGGAATTCGAAAATTAGTTATTAATTTGCATATTGAACGTAGAAAATCTATTATAGAAACTACTGAAACAGTTAACTTCAGTCATTCAACAGTTTTCAATATCATTAAACGATATAAAAAGAATCATATGATTCAGGATAAAAGAAGACCTGGCCGACCATCAAAGCTATCCAATGGAATAAAGCGAATTATCGTTCGAAATATTTAAAAAAAAAATCCTAAAGTTGCTGCTGATTTACAAGCATTATATGGAGTAATTGTTAATTCTGAGACTATTAGAAGAGTAATTCGATCTACTGGATATCACGGTAGAGCAGCTAGGAAAAAATTCTTCGTAAGTGAAAAGAATAAAAAACTCAGACTGGCTTTCGCAAAATCCGACATAAATAAGAATTCTGATTACTGGAATGAAGTTATATTTCCAGATGAGAGTAAATTTAATATATTTGGTTCTGACGGTAGAATCTTGGTGTGGAGAAAACCCAGAGAAGAATTTCGTAAACAGAACTTGGTGCCAACAGTAAAACATGGTGGAGGAGGAGTTATGGTATGGGGGTGTATGTCGTCCGCTGGAGTTGGTAATCTTGTTTTTATTGACAGTATAATGGATCAGTGCAAGTATATTGACATTTTAAATCAAAATTTGAAATCTTCAGCACGAAAACTGAACCTTCATAACGATTTTAAATTCTACCAGGACAATGACCCCAAGCACAGTGCTTTAAACGTTAGACTCTGGCTGCTGTATAACTGTCCTGAAATAATAAAAACACCCCCACAATCTCCACAATTAAATCCTATAGAGAATATTTGACAAGAATTGGAATCAAGAATTCGCAAACACACCATTTCTTCAAAACAACAATTAAAATCGGTGCTTCAAGAAGAATGGGGAAATCCAGAAATCACAAAAAAATTAGTCGAATCCATCCCAAGAAGATTAAATCATGTTTTAAAAGTAAAAGGAAATCCAACAAAATATTAAAACCTTTTAAAAAGTAAAATTTTTGGATAAATATTTGATGGAAAAGTAAGTGTCCCATCACTTAAGTGAGCCATTTTCTGCTCCGTTCTAAACAATTGTATTTTTATTAAATTAATATTTTAATATTTTGAGAAAATGTATGTTATGTAATAATTGTTACTAAATTTAAGTATGAAACACACCGACAAAAAATTTTACATGTTTTTTAAATTAATTTTATTGCAGTTTCCTTTTGTAAAGCACAAGTGTCTCATCACTTTTTTGAGACACTGTAGCTTTCATCTTTATTTTGGAAGCACTCTACGTTTTGAAAACTAAAAGAAACTATCTGCAAATATGTATTAAAGTTCTAAATTAAAAAAAAAAAAAAAAAAAAAGGCTTCACTTACCATTTTTCTTTCAAAGGTTCTAATCCGAGCCAAGCTTGCCTTGTCAAAATTTCAACGAAATATACTTGAAATTTATATTCCAAGAAAAAAACTTTTATTTCAAAAAAGTCTTACACGTCGAACGCAAAAGGAACCGTCACAAAACAGACGATCGAAAACGATTACAGCTGACACCTTGCATCTTTTTCCTTTCTTTTTTTTTTTTTTTTTTTTTTTATTTTGAGCTCTTGTTGCTAACTTTAAATGATGTATAATTTAAAGAAAACATAAAATAATAATAATAAACATACCATTTGTTGCCGCATTAATCTGATGAAAAAGGAATTGTCTATTTTTGTCTTTGGAGGCCGTTTTCGACAATACGGTGCGTCATAATCAGGCAAGGCAATATTTTCTATTTACATTCAAAACACTTATTTTCTACTATTAAACATTTATATTATTTACAATTAAAAACATTTACAATAAATGAAATATGCTTTATTGCTGTGTACTGTTAAATAAATACGGAAAAACTAGAAAACAGTTTTTGCATGCTATATTACATGTACAGGATAATTTCTGCAAATATCTGAATGTATTTTAATAAGAATAAATTGAATTTAATTAAAAAAAATTAAATTTAAATACAAATTTAATTAAATATTCTTTGCACCATTGCTGCAAGGAATGAAATTTAAATTTAAACAAATTTAAATTTAAATTATAACAAACACGTATAAAAGTAAAAAAGCAAATTTAAAGCCTAAAAAAAGAAAAAAAGCCAAAATAATTTTTAAAAAATGTGCAAACATATAAAAGATGTAATTCTCGAACTAATCTACAGTATCATTTAAATTCAGAAGCATAAGCAAATCAAGTGCAAAACTAATCCATGAAAATAAATTCACTAATTTAGCAAATTAAAATTAAACTAAACAATTTTTTTAAAAATGCATAAGTGAATGACTGTTGAGTAGGCAGGAGACAGACTTATCAAGGGGAAGTTGCCTCCAACCTAACTCTCCAATCATTCAATTCGTGTTTCGTCATTCATGTAGGCAAGGTAAAAGTGAAAACCAAAAGTAAAAAGAAATACCAATAAAGTGGTATCCTTAGAAATTAACATTTAAGAATTAAATTTAAGAATAAAGTTTTAAAAGGAAAATACTAATGAAGTCTTATGAGAAACAAGCAAGTTAAGTTAAGTATTAAATTAAACTTTTTTTAAAAAAATTAAATTTTAAAAAAAAAATAATTTTTTATAAAAAATAAAAAATAATCTAGAAACCAATGTATTTTAGAAACCCTTGTCTACAGAAACCTCCCCGACACGAATATGCATATCAATAAAAAGAAAACTAAAAAAAGAACTAGACATAATTCATATAAACCAATAAGAAACAAAAAAAAACTAATTCACAATTTTTAAGAAAACAAATATATATTTAAAAATATAAAATTTCATACTTAGAAAATACTTAAATACTAGATAATTTTTTTTAAAAAAAAAATACTTAAAGCAAAGTAAATAGTAAGTTTTAATTCTAACCTACCTACTATAGGAGTGTTGGGGTCTGCAAAAGTGTTGTTAAAGAGAAGTAAGTGTGTTCTTCAAATTATATAGATGGCACTTATGTAGGTAAAGTTGAGTGTCAAGCTGCTATCTTTGTTATATTAAAAATTTTGTTGTAAACATTAATATTAAAAAAATTAAAAATCCTAAAAGTAGTAATTATCAATTATTTAGGGAGTTAAGTAGCTGAGCCAATCAAGATATGTAAAGTTTGCTTGAAGGAAAATAAAGTTAAGTGGTATTGTGAATAAAAAATGTAAATTGTTTGTAATGTGAAATGTGTGTTCTATTGAAAAATTGTGTAAAAATTGTAAAAAACGTTAAGTGAAAAATTTTTTTGTGTATTTTAATATATTTATATATCCATATATATGTATTTTAATATATTCTCCATTTCAGATGCTGGTTATCTGTTGAAAAAGGAACAATATGGGCATTTATGGGACCAGTGGCTTGCATTTTATTGGTTAGATATAAATTTATTGCTTTTTTGGGGGGGAGGGGGTCCAGTATATCCTTAATACGTCTTTTGATCATATTGCATCTGCTGAAGTATAAATGAGATAAAATTTACTTTAACTAACAGCATTATTGTCAATTTAAGTCGAGATTTTCACATTTAAAGCTATTAAAAATAAATTTGGCTAAACTTTCTTAGTCGGAGATTTCAGCTAACAATTTCACGAAAATTTACGCATTCAAGGATTTGTATTAACATTTCAAGAGGGATGTATATCAGAAACAAAGCCTTGACACAAATAACTAGTACGAAACTAAATAAAAATTAATTGTGCATCTTTAACAGTTGTATATCTTTTTATTTATTTATTTATTTTATTTAGATTTACAAGCCAATTCGGGAAAACGAATTTCTGAAAATAAATTCAGTACATTTATTTTAAAAAAAGATTTCTAGTTAATTGGACTGCCTTTTAATATATGACATTGTTCATACAAATATTTCTTTATTAAATAGCCCCCCCCCCCCCGAAAAAAAGTGTTCGTTTACTTTGACAGCAACGAAAGGCAGCTATATGTAATTTCGGAAAACGACCTATATCGTATTCCAGAAGTAGTGAGATAATTAATACTCGGGGAAATTCAAAGTTCAATACTTTTGTTTAAATTTTCGAACACGATTTCTTTGTGATGCATTTTTGAGAAAATTCTAACGAAAATAGAATAAAAATTATTTAAATATAAGAAATGTTCTAACAACTACAATAAAAATTAAATATTTACGGAAAACGCTCGAAATTAGCCTTATTGGTCATTCTCGGAAATATTTAATTTCGCGAAATAAAAGAAGACTAAGAAATATTACTCCAAAAGGGGCATTTTTTTCATTTACATACACATACATGTTTCGAGAGCATTTGGGTTAATGTTGCTTTGGGACAAAAATATACGTTTTATGCGTTAACTTTATCTCTTAAATATTACGTTTCACGCTACATTTAATAGCCTATAAAATTCAATTCAACAGCAAAATCACAAAACATTTTTAAAACAGCCTATTTTTAGAATTTCCGATAGACAGTCTCGCGCGCTGGAGATAAAAATGTTTTTCTTGTACCGTGTTGCCACTGCTTGCTTTGAAATCGTTGAGTTTGTTAATCAAAAATCCGTTAAAGTACATTTAATTTCTTTAAATGTAGTACAGGACGATAATATTTGGTGGCGACAATTTAAAAAGTGATTCCCCGTTTATAGTGATACGCCACAAAATGCCGTTTTGAGACTAATAGCCCTTTTGGGCTACCGCCTCTTTGGGATAATAATAAAAACTAAATAAAATGTAAATAAAGAAAAATCAATAAATTAAATTGTAGATAAATAGTTAAATAAATTAAAATACTAGAGCTGACCTTATTTAGGGTTCCGATTAGAGTCAAGATTTTGTCCTAGTGCCGAAGCCTTGATGGATATTAATATTTTTTGTTTACTTTGATGAAAATTTTCCATTTACATTAAAATGAAATAATAAATACCTGAAAATAACGTTTATTAAAGTGGCTAAATAATGTAATAACTAAGCTTTTGCTTTACATCTATTTTCATTTTTTTGCTTAGTTTTTTTTTTTTTTTTTTTAATTATTTGCTTTATCAGATGTGTAATCATTAGAGAAATAAGGCGCTGGAATAAAATATTATTTTCAGGCTTCTAGCTATGACTTACGCATAATTCGATTCAGTAAAGTCGGGCAAATTACATGCGCTTGGCATCCAGTCATCCCCACCGTTTGGCAACCGGCAACAATTTCTTGCGAACAATAGGCGTCAGGTTTATACAATAATCAGTAGAGAAAATTGTTGCGACAAAAGCACGTTAATTGAAACGTGACAGAAGCATGTCTTGGACACGAGTTCGAGATGAAATTCGGAAATCTTGCATGCTTGTGGCTGCTGCACATGCAATTAATATATGGATTAAAAGTGCGATAATGTGATCGATGGCAGACAAAGGAAACTCGATGTTATTCTCTCGAGCGCTTTCGATTAAAATTAAATCTGATATTTAATTGTATCTGGTGCTTGTATTTCTTATTCTGTGGTACCGATCGGCTACACGTACTCTGATTTGCTTTCGTTCATTTTAAGAATGGTTTCACAGGCTTCTTGCAAAGACGCGTTGTCTTACGTAATAGGGTCTTAAATAGCTTTTATTACAATTGGAAAGCACAGAACATTTTTTTTTAATATAAAAGGATGCACATACAGAGGCTGTTCGCACATATTTTATACGATTTTGGTAAGCGGTAATAAAAAATTGTTTGCCGCAAAAGAGTAATTGCAATTGTACTATGTTTTTAAAAGTCAAAATTATCCTTTGGGGCTTGAAAGGTTTCTTTTTATTCAAAATGGCAAATTTAACAAAGCAGTGGCTCGAAGGCTACATTTACGCTCTTTCCGAAGAGAAATATGCATACTCCATTATCCAAAAATGATGTGAGAGTCATGGTTTTGTGATATCTAAAGCGTCGATAGGTAATATCATCAACAAGAAAGGAAAAAAAAAAAAACAACTTCAAATTGGAGCCTCAAGTGGGAAAAAATTCCAAACAAGTATCCAAGGAAAAAACGAACATCTTCGACTATGGCAAAGGTACGTTGTTTAATGTTAAAAGAAAATCCCCCTAGTCAAAGGACAGTTGCAAAATCGTTAAAATGCTCGGTGTCCACTGTAAACAAAATGATAAACGTTGATTTAAATCTTAAGAAAGCGAAAAACGCAATGTGCATCGTCTTCTTCCAAAGCATATCGCTCAACGCAGGACACGCTGCAAAATTCTATATGAGAAACACTTATCCAAAGAAAAATGGAAAACAATTGTCACAATAGATGAAGCATGGGTGTATTTAAATGACTGTAACAAAAAAAGAGCCATTTATTATCATAAAACGGGAGAAAAAAAAATTTAAGTACATGGTTCAAAGAATCGAAAGAAAGTTTTTCTAAGGGATTCATGATTGTTACTGGTTTTTCTTATAATGGCAAGTTAAAAACAAAAAGAGTGTAGAAAAATGTCAAGATTAACTCCAAATACTATCAGGAACATATTTTATCGCCAATTTTTCTGAATGAAATATCATCGCTTTACCTACAGTGTCATCAATCTGTGAGACTCCATCAGAACAAAGCTAGCAGTCACACATCAAAATCCACTGTAAATTTCCTAAAAGAAATGGAACAAAAAACTGGTATCAAGGCCTGATATCCCTACTAAATCTCCCGATGTGTCACCTATGGATTTTTGTGCTTTCGGACTTTTAAAACTGCATTATCCAAACGTTGTCCCAAAACCCTAACAGGACTATGGAAAGCTGTTCGGGAGGAATGGGATAGAATACCTCTTCTGCCACTTCAAAAGGCATTATTATCCTGGAAATTGCGGTCGATAGTTCAGAATAAGGGATGTCAAATAGAACATTTAAAACACAAGAATTTTATGTAATTTAGTTTTGTGAATACAATATACATCGTCTAAAAAATGTGTGAACAGCCTCTGTAATTATTGTTTTGTTTTTTTATTTCACAGGTGAATACAGCTGCGCTGATTTTAGCACAATGGAAAGCAAGTCACATTTCGATAAAAGATGATCATACCGCTTTAGTGATGTAAGTTTGTAATCTACATAATAAGTTGAATAAAATGCATACCAAAATGTTTAATGTTGAGAAAATGTATTCCTTTTGTTTACGTAGGAGATGGTTGCGTGTTACCCTCATTCTGTTTCCAGTTCTAGGACTGACATGGGTATTTGGATTTTTGTATGTAGGACAGCATTTTGAAGTTGCAGGATATTTATTTGCCATATTCAACTCACTGCAGGTATGTAAAGCGAATGAAAATATACTTGTTATCCCTGTTCAGCGAATATTTTGTTAAACAGAAAATCAGGGCAAATGAAACTATTCATATAGTGTTAAATTTCTTTCTAGGGATTTTGTATTTTTATTTTTCATTGTGTGATGGATAAGAAGGCCAGAAACATGGTCGTATCATCTTTCAAGAAGGTAAATTGTTTTTTTCTTTGAATTTTGAACACAAATTTACGATATTATTCAGAATATTGCAATTCTATGCAAAAAATAAACACTTATGTGTCAGTTAATGTTGGAAGTGAAGAATCTTAAGAACTGATAAGCGAATAATCGCTTAAGTTCGTGTAACAAGAAACAACAATATAGAAGGGTAACTAACCCTTTATTATTCCAATAAGATTTAACAAAAACTCCGCCTGGGAGTGTACAAACAAAGCCGACACTTGGGCTTGAACTTAAGAGACTAAGAATTAAACTAAAACTAAGATTAACTAAAGAAATATATCCGAAGCTGTCAAGATTCAGATCGAGTTGGCCCCTTAACTTATTTGACTACGAAGCTTAGCAAGGGCCTGAGTACGGCCGAGCGTAATAACAGCTTTTAGAGAGAGAGTGGCCAAAAAGGCAGACGCGTGTAAATCAGAAACTCTGATTCTGTAAGTAACTTCGTGGTTTAAATACCGCTCCTCCTCATTAAATATTCAGCAAGATTCGAAAACTACGTTCTGGCCGGAAGTAGTAAGTTGAAGTTAAGAATTTGACAGGAAAGGAACTTAAAATTTAACTGTTAATAAAATTAACATAATCCTTACAATGTAAATCGCCTATATATAGCATTAAGAATTATGTACTGCTATGTCGCAATTTGATTAATAGTTATTGATGACAATCGCAACTCTGACATTTAAGTCGTAGTGTGGCAAAACTTCATTTGTTGGCAATGATTTCGCTTTATGGCTATGACAGAAAGTTTAAAATTTATAGCTGAAGTTTTCAGACTTATGCCAAGGTTGGCAGAACAGAGAAACTGACCAGTTACAGTGAACATACATGAGATAATTTTCGACGTTGGCGGAAATTGAGTATGGCATTTGGTATGATTGAGTATGGCAACGAAATGTTTCACTGAGCAGACATACTAGGATTAAAAATGAAGTATTGCATTTGAAAAAGAGATATTAAAATATTCAATGTTTTATTAACATCTCGAAGAGATATCATTGTTTTAGCCCCCCCTCCCCAGGCGGTATAGTGGTTAGGGAGGCCTGACTGCGATACCGAAGGGCCCGAGTTCGAATCCTGCAGAAGGCATGGATGTAAAAATTGTCTGACCTTTCATAGGAGGTAACGGAGACCGCCTATTATGTGCCTCCACAATAAAATGGCCACTACTTCTGGCCTTAGGAGTGGCCAAAACCGTTATAGGCAAGTGCCCGTCATTGAGGGGGGAATGTTGTTTTAGAAAGCTACAAATTGCATCTTTTTATATAAAAATCTAGTTGCGGAAAATTTACAGTTTTATATTTTATGAATCTATGCGTACATTACTTGAAAATGCTTCCGACATTTCTCAAACTATGCGACTTTTTTCTAGAATGATTTTATCTCCCAGTTGAGCACACGCACATGCTTTCAGCGTCATCATTTTTCAATGCCGTATTCGTTTGATATTTGGATGGGTATCTAATTTACGTAAGGTTACTCTTGTGACTGCATGTGACCCTAGGTGTCATGGATTATTTTGGTGAATGATTGGAAGCTTGATAAAGAAATTTCAACCATGGTTCTAGCTCTAATAGAAAACTCGGTTTCACATCTACCACATTCAAAAAACTTTGGGGGATTCTCGATTTAGAAAAGACGCACACCATTATTTTATATCTACAGTAAGAGAACATGGTGGAGAGGTTTAATCGTGTAGTTATTGAACCATCTCTTACTATTCGTAACCTAGAGTCAACAAAACTGGGACTAAAAAATGCCTTATTCCTGCTTATTCCAGTGCAGTTCACAAGAACACAAAATGTTCCCTTCTAACAGCGCCGGGCACACCTCTTTCATCTAAATAGTACCTGGAAGATCTGCACATCCATTTAAAATACATTTCTCGGTTCACACAGTGACTGAAAACATGAAAACTAGATCCGACGTCATCTCAACGGGGAAAGAATTCAAGGAAGGAAATTATATCTAGTTACAGAACCCAAGCTTTGGCAAGAACACCAAGCTACAGACATTCTGAAAGGGGCTTTCCGTGCCATAAAAAAAAAAAAAAAAAAAAAAAAAAAAAAAAAAGTTTAATGACGTAGTACAAAGTCTTGTACTGTACTATGGCAACAAGTGCTAGTTTTCCCTGATCTTGAGGATTGCACTGCCTGGTTTGTGCAGTTCTTAAGGAAGAAGTGATGTTCTAAATTTCTGCAAATATTTAAATCCTTTTCATTGCATTGTTGTGATATTGTTTTGCATTGTAAGGTAATTCTTTTTGGGGTTTACTTTGTACGTAACTGAATTTGCGGTCCATTTCTGGAGGCTATAATTCTCAAATTATTAGACTAATCACAGCGGTAAACTTAAAATTATTTAAAGTGTTAAATTAGACATAACATACAAAGACTGTACTGCAATTTTAAAAATATGTATTTGATTTTTATATATTTTAAATTCTTATACAATCTGTTGAAATTTTAATGGGAAAAATCTTCCGAGATATTACACTGTAAACAGCCTTTTTCAGAGCTCACTGCTTTTCCTTTTAAATTTAAATGGCTATTTTTAGTAAAAAGGTACCTGACAAGATCTGCAATTTGCTTAAAGTATGGGCGTGATTGGAATATATATAAACTTGCTCTTCTTGATTCATTGTGGCTTAGATCGCAAGTCCCAGATTATTTGCTAGTGTGAATGCTCCTATGAGGTTTTGAACTTAATATATGATATTAGTGACAATTATCTCATGATAAAATTGAAGCATCATTACTAGAAGTGTTGCAAACAGAACTTCTTTGCTAAACATCGAGTCCACATTATAGCAAAATCTTCAATAATTGTGGGGTAGCTTCTATGTAGTCATTTGTCAGTGTAAAAAGACACACTTCTCTCTCACCTTCAGAAATTTATCCAGTCAACATATGGAACTGACTTTATTCTATCTTTTACGTATGTCTCCAACAGAGTGAATATGTTGGAAATCATGCCTTAAAATTGCCAGACATCTTTGGTAATCTCTCAGATCACCCAAAGTTCTTATCCATAGCATGTCCAAACCATTTTTCGAGACAATGGGCCAGACACATACAGTTCAGCTTTTCTGGGACTATAATTATCCTGTACACATCTTTCTAAGCCAACCACACCATTTGACTGCTCTCTGATCATATGTTTCGATAGGAAGGCATGTTTAACGGCTATGTTAATTCAAGGTGTTGCTGAGATATATAGTTAGGTATAGTAACTGCTGTCCACTTTCTTAGCTATTTTATTAGAATAAGCCCCACCAGTCGGGGATTGTAACGATTTTTTTAAATCTTGATTAATATATAATAATTTTAATCATGTTTGGATAATTTCTTATAGTTTGTAAGAGTATGTATTTAGTTACTTTATTATTTTTACTTAGAGAACATATGTACCATTTTACATTTAAAAGCTCAGGACACAAACACTAAAAAAATGGCTGTGTTTGAGTTACAAATAATTCTTTTTTCCTTTTTTAGAAAAGTGCATCCGTCAACACAGGTAGCAGTGGAACACAAAGGAAACAAAAGGATCCTCATTTGCCTCTGAGTGACAAGAAAATCAATGGTATTACAAATGATGTACAAAACAATACCAGTGCAACCAACAAAAAATCGAGAATTTCATTTAGGGAGAAATACAGGAACAGATGGAGGGTGTGGCACAAACGCTGGTCATTCTGTTTTGATTTGCCAGCTTCAGACAATGAAAGCCAAGGAGGACAAAAGGAACATCAAGAAATACCGCCAAAACCAATAATAGTACACTGGAGTAATTTAACAGATCAAGCAACTTAAACATATAAAAACCTGAAATGATTTTACAACCTTTTTTTTTTTTTTTTTTTTTTTTTTTTAAACAATCAAGTACATTAACAAGCTCTTTCTACAAAAAGAATTCCAGTTCCTGTAAAATGTATTTGAAGACAAGAATTTTGTTCCTTTTCTTGAACAAGTTATTTTTATGAGAAATGTTATGTCACATCTGATTTATATCAGTTTCTCTTGTAAGACATACAGGCTTGGGTGAAGATTTGCTCTGCAACATGTTTCAAAGAACACATAAACTGTTAAGATAGTCAAACTGGTTTTATGTTGCATACTGAGGGGAAAGCAGAATGTTATGAAAACTAAATCAAAATAACATAAAAGAATGTCAATTTCATTTGCTTATGCATGTGTTCTGTATAATCTAGTCACAACAAAAAATTATATATATTTATTTTATTTGTTTAATAATTAAAAGGAATTAATATATTTAGTTTTATGAAATTTTTTTATATATTTGCATATTAGTATTAAACCACAAATAGCTTGCATTTATATTCCAACAATTTATATCTCAAATGAAAAAAAAAAAAAAAAAAAAAAAAAGATGAGTATTTTGAATGTTTTTTAAATGCATCTTCGTTGAAAATCACAAGAGGAATTTAACACAAAACTGAAAACTGACGCACAGAATGTCAAGGAAAATTTTATTAAGGAAAACAGAGAGGTGAAAGATTAGGGCATAAATTTTTATAAATTATGTGAGCAGTGAGTGGAGATGCACAGGAAAAAGGAAATAATTATCCCTAACTATATATAATGACGCTTTAATTACAGGAGCATATTTTCTAGATTATATGCAAAGCACGACTTAAAATATATATTAGATTTATATATAGCATTATTCTATCTATTCACAGGTATTTTGACACAAAATCGGACTTTTTCTGAAATAACAATTTTTTTCCCATATTTTGATTCTGCGACTCAAATTATGCCCAGATATTAAATTTTGTAATTTTTAGTGAGAAATTTAAAAATTTATCTTGGCGAATTTTTTTTCAGTTTGCCAAAGATGTCTGGCAATAATTCACTTGGCGGAATTCTTAATTTATAGTAACCTACTTACTTTCCTTATTTTTCATTGATGCACGAGAGGAGAAAAGGTCCATTGTTAATTCTTTCAAATACTTTTAACAAAGTGCGTAAACCACATTTTCGTTATTATCGTTTATATTAAATATGCCAAATTTCAAAACCCGCCAAAATGTAAATTCACGTATATCTTACAAAATTCTGAATAAAAAAAAACTAATTTTTTGCAGATATGCTTAGAAATACATCTGCTTTAAGATGTTAAAAATTTTATAGGTTATAATTCAAAATTTTTTTCGAAAAATTTATAAAAATCATTTAAAAAATACAAATTTTTAAAGTAAATAATAAAAAATGTGCAAATTATATTTGGATTAAGCCTAAATTTCAAATTTTCGAAGAAGTCATCAAGTAAATTTAATAAAAAAAAAGAGATATCAATGAATATATATCAAATTCAATTAACATTGAGGAGCTAAAATTTTGAGATTTAGTTTTTAAAAGACAACCATGCGATTTTCACAAAATTTGGCAGACTGGCATAATTTGAGTCGTAGAATTGAAATAGGGAAAAATCTTGGCATGTCATTCCAGACAAAGTCATGAAACATGCACATTGAATTTTGTCAATCAGCCTAGTAGAATGAGAGATATAGAACTGTCCTTCCCCTTTTTTTGCACAGTCTACAATAAAATGTTGCACACAATCATTATATTTATGAACATCAAACATTTATGTTGATGCAGAAATGGAATTTCTATATTTACATTCTTAACATGAATTAAATATTTATTTTTAAATCACTCAAACTTATTTTAATGAGAATATATATTTCATGCTGAATCTCTAGAAATTAATTAAAAAATTTTCTGAAATATTAGAGTAATTCGCAAAGTTTCTGGAGTCCCATACAAAACTTAATTTAGTATAAAAGAATTTGATTATTAATGATGAGATTTAAGCAGCTTATTCTGAAATAGTTAATTGGTTGAGAAATATTTTAAAATGCATATATATTTGTAAAATGTTTTATTTTCATAAATTAATGTGATAAGCTTGTTTTTCCAACTATGTATATTAAAATATATGAAATCAATGGAATTTCTCCTTTTTAGAAAATTAAAAAAAAAAAAAAAAAAAAAAAACTATTCTTCTAGAAGCTTAATTTAAAGACTACAGTTAAATAATGATTGCACAAAAAATGAACAATCAAATAAAATATTGAATAATAATGGATACCATGTATGATACTTATCATCCATGTGATAAGAATATTTGTTCAATAAAATGCTATTCTAAGTCTGACGTTTGGCCATATAATGGCAGTTATAGTAACACCACTTATTTCATGCATCTAAATTTTCATATGATTGTCAACTTTAGTTTGTTTATATACACTCACGTTTGTGAAAATTGCAACACCAAGAAGGAATCGTCATAATTGAATGCAATTTAATACACAGTTGAGTGGTAGTGGTACAAATAAATGATTAAATGTTCAAAGCAAACAAACAAGAACAAGAGATCAGAATCAGTATTTTGTGTGGCCACCACGCGCCACAATAAGTGCTGCTACACGACGTGGCATGGAGTCAAACAAAGTTTGAATGTCTGACTGAGGAAGAGCATTCCATAACGTTTGTACGCGTACCCAAAGTTCGTCTGCAGACGCAACAGGACGAGGATCACGAGCAAGACGCCGACCAATGACATCCCACACATGTTCAATTGGCGACATATCCGGGGAACATGCAGGCCAAGGAAGAAGCTGTACCTGCTGCGCTGCAAAGAAGGATTTAACAATCCGAGCAGTATGAGGGCGGGCATTGTCCTGTTGAAATACAGCGCCTGGCAAGCTTTGAAGGAAGGGAACAGCTTCGGGCTGTAGAACTTCACGGATATACCGGTTGCTGTTCAGATTGCCCACAATTCGTAGCAATTGAGATCGTCTATGATATGCTATGGCGCCCCAGACCATAACTCCGGGGTGTTCGTCCACTGTGGCGTTCGATAATGCACTCCGGAAGGTGGCGTTCACCGGCATAGCGTCTGACACGAATGCGGCCATCATGGTACCACAAATTAAAGCGGGATTCGTCAGAAAACACGACATGCTGCCAATCAGCACGCCAGTCTCTATGCTGATTGGCCCATTGTAGCCGCAGGCGGCGATGGTCGTGCGTTAGGGGGATCCTGTATAAAGGAGTCCGTGCGCGCAGTCCACACTGCAGCAGATGTCTACGAATTGAAGAAGCACACAATGAAACACCTGTAGCTATTGACCACAGTGCTGCCAATTGTCTAGAGGAAGCTGTACGGTCTGTCTGCGCCATGCGGACCAGGTGTCTATCATCGCGAGCTGACGTCACATTTCGGGGTCCACTCCCGGATTTCCGAGTTGTCCACTCGTCCGTCCACTGCTTCCAAACGCGCATCACTGTGCTGCTGTTACGCTGCACATGAGAGGCTACTGCACGATACGACAATCCAGCTTCACGAAGGCCGATGATTCTCCCTCGTTCAAACTCTGTAAGTTGTTCAAATCTCGCTCTCTTTCGTCGACGAGGCATAAGTACAGATTGAGTTAACGTTTACCACTAGCAGATAACCACCGATAACCATACACGCCTCGCTACAGCCGTCTATTTATTCGGATCCATCAGCCGTTCAGAGGGCGCTGCTCAGCATACGCATTTGCAATTCTAATCATTTGCATATCATGCGCTACTTTGCATTTCCTGAAAATTTCAGCTCACTCGCGGAAGTCCTTCATGGTGTTGCAATTTTCACAAACGTGAGTTTATTTTGATAAATCTAGGAATGTCATAAATGACTAAAGCTCTTTTCCTTCAACTAACATTCAGCATTACAGATATATTATATTAATACTGTTAAATCTGCAAAATGCAGCAATATTTTCAATTAACAATATAACTGCAAATAAAATTTTCCCCAATTATGAAAATAGGAAATTTTATTTTTTATTGTACTTCAAAAAGAACAATAAATGCAAAAACACAATTCACATTTTCAAATCACATAACACTTAAAAAAATAGTGAAAAATGAGCACTAGTATTTATTGAGATTCAAAGCTCTATGGTCTTACAAGCTCATATTAAAGCTCAAATATTAATTTTTAGATTCAGCAATACATGCCTGTTGAGATTGTTCTTAAAATGCATATAAATTCATCTCACTTTGATACAAAAGATAACTATTTGCATTCAAAATTGTTTTTCTAATACATTCCTACAGATCAAGGCTTTTTCTTTTTACAAAATGATTGTACAAAGTTGCTTTTTTGCAGCACAAAACATTTGAAAAATTAACTACAAAATATTAAGTTAAAAATATAAGTTAAAAAAATGTAAAACTTAACAGATGATAAAAAATATTAAAATCTTTTCACAAACAATGTACAGGAAAATAACTTTTATTAACTTTAAGAAATAGCTAACAGAAAAGAAAATTAATTTCTAATGGGCATGATTTAAAATAATCAATATTCAAAACTGGAATTTTTCACCAAATTAAATTTTTTGCTACTATGGCAAAAGTTTCTAATGTCTAGAATTTAGTTTTACAGAAGCTGTTAACACATTTTTTAGATGATTTTGCTTTGCTATTAAAAAAATCTTCTGCTTGGAGTTTTTTTTTTAACTGCAACAATATTTTTGAAAGCATAAATTATCACTTACTATTTGACTCTGTTCTCATGAAAAATGGCACTTTTAAAGAAGCAATGGATGGAAGCTTATGCTTGTGTTCTTTACAAGAAAATGATTCGTATCTAGATATTAAAATATGTTGTGCAAGTCGTGGTTTTTCAATCTAAAGCTACGATAGATAATATTTTCAACAAGAAGGAGAAAAATATCAAAGTTTGGCTTCAAGTGGAAAAATTGTTTCAAATACCAAGGAACGAAATGTAACATTTTTAGCACTGCAACGATAAGATCTCTAATGTAAAAAAAAATTTACCAAGTCAAAAGACAGTTGCAAAGTCATTAAAATGCTCAGTGTGAACTGTAAACAATGTGATTAATGCTAATTTGAAATTTAAAAAGGTGAAAAATCATAATGTGCTTTTTAACCTTTTTAAATAGTCTTTCTCACGACATACTGCTGAATACAGAAAGCGCTATATATAGAATTCTTTATGAGAAACATTTAGCTGGACAAAAATGAAAACATGTAGTTACAATAGATTAAATCTTGAGTGTACTTAAATGACAGCAATAAAAAGAGATGCATTTATTATCACCAAAGGTAGTAAAAAAATCTGAAACATGATTCGAAGAATTTAAAAGTTTTTCATTGGGATTTATGATTGTTGCTGATTTTTCATATAACAGCAAAATTAAAAATTAAGAGAGTGGAGAAAAATGTTAAGGTCAATTCCACATATTATCAGGAATATATTTTATAACCAATTTTCTAATATCATAAACCTTTTCTTTACTCACAGTGACATTAATCAGTAGGACTGCATCAAGACAAAGCCAGCAGCCGCACATTAAAATCTGCTGTTCCTTTCCTGGAAAATCATATCCTTACTATATCTCCTGATACATCTCTCATACATTTTTGTGCTTTTAAAAAGCAGATTATCTGAACATGATCGTACAGCGAAAAGGGTTATCAAATAGAATTTTTTTTAAAACAAATTATCAAACAGATTATTTAAAACACAAAAATTTTAGTAAAAATATTTCTGTAAATACCATGAAAATAGTCCAAAAAATGAGTAAACAGCCTTTGTATGTAAAAATAATGCATTCTTGTAGCATAATCATTAAAAGACCAACTTTAAGCAAACATTTTCATTTCATACCCCAGCAATTTTACACAGATCTTCAGTAGAATGATGAAAATAGACAATAAAATAAAACATGGCTTAACTAGTAGTAACTTAAAAGTAGAGCTGCTTTCCCAACACATTTTCATAATATTTTAAAACAGTTAAATTTTTTTAAATCTATTTGCATTTTAAACAGTATATAAAATACTAATGTTGTGCATTACATGATCTTGATTTGCTACGAACATAATCTATAACAGCAAATTTATCTTTCTTTATATTTAGTTACCCTATATTAAAGATATTCTGAACATAAACATTATATACAGTATACCTATTATTAAGGTTTATAATGGATAACAAAATAAACAGGAAAATACAACAAACATGAGCCTTCTCTTTTTTACTTATGAATAAAACTTTCCAGTACAAACATACATATACACATTGAGAAATATATTTTTGTACAATTTTACTATGTAGTACCAGTTAACTATGAGCTTTAGAAATACTACAAAGGGAAAAAATAACTGTAAAAGAAAACATAAAATTAAGGCTAAAAACTGTTATAAAGAATGCACAGCAATAAAGAATTAATATATGTAAGAAAATTTATATCACATGATGCAAATGTAAAATATTTCAAATAATAAATGCTTTTAGGTAACTTTTTCCTTATCTATATTGAACTAGAAAAAATATGCAAAAATGTGTAGAATTATTTCACACAGCAAATGTTACAGCCACATAATTATTTTGTACTACTCCAGCACCAAATTTTGAAATAGCATTGTAAATAACTTTAAATGGAAAATATATAATTCTTTATAATTTATACGAGATTTCTACCCAAAACAGCTTCTGTTTTACTAGCTGCAAAGAAAACAAAACAAAATAGTTTTTGAGTTTGGTACAAAAAGTTGTGTAAATATATAACAAAATAAAACTTTTTTATTCAAAGCTCCTATAAACAGACAGATCTGTAAGTTCCATTAACACACAATGCAATAAACTTAAAATATTTTCACCATTTATAACACTGAGCATTGATTGACAAACTGGAAAAATAGTTTCAACTTGCAGATTTTGTTAATTTATTGCCTGATTTTTAAATCAAATGCTTGTCATAAAAATAAGTGTAAGATACTTTAAATAGATAAATCATATTGAGACTTTTATATATTATCTCATGATAAAAAAAGTGATTAAATTGTAATATAAAATAGTAACAAGTTCTTCTCTACATGAAAAATATAACACACATGCTATATCAGATCTTAACAACATGATGTGAGATTCATAGTAACAATAATAATATAATCTATATATGGCATGGCACATTTTAATATGCATCCTGTTTTACCACTCTATTTAGGAACATTATACAGCATATAACTTAGTATTATTGATATAATCTGCAAATAAATTCGAGATATTTGTTCACATTTTTTATATAAATTTAAATAAACCAACATGAATTAAAATCTTTAACATCTTCTTAGTTTTAAAGTGGATATTTATATTTCTAAGTTTAAAGTGGATTATTTCTATTCAAGTTCAATGATTATCTGCTCTTCTTCAACAGCATCCCCTTCTTTGCAGTGAACCATCTTAACTTTTCCTGTAGTGCCAACAGCTAAACTGTTTTGCATTTTCATTGCTTCTATTACACATACCTCTTGACCTTCAGCAACCTATAATAAAATATGCTACTAAATACAAAGTCAAAATTTTGTCGCAGTTTACACATATTTAAGCATTAAAAATATTCAATAACTGAAGCAAACATGTAGTAAGTAATACAAATATATTTTCTTATTGTCATTCAAAAAGGTAACAAGAGCACCAAAACAACACCTATTTCAATGACATAGTATTAACAATATTATATCTCTAAAAACTAGAAATGCACCCTTTAGACACATAAATTTGATTTTACTATATACTTCAAGATTTGACCATATTTCTATAGAAGTGTAACATGATGTAACTGATTCTGGAAGCGAATAACTGACATGAGTAATATGGTAACTTATGAGTAAAAAAGTTATCAATTATAAATTAGTAATTTAAGATGATGTAAAGAATGTACATGTGAAAGGTCTTATTGCTTTACTTACTGAATTACCTATATATTAACAAACCTTCAAAACATTAGAAATACATTAAGCTCAAAAGCTAAATCTTTCCAATGACAAAACTTTATCAGAGAGCTGTTTCCTACCAACACAGCCATCACTGTGATTCACTGTACCAAAAACTAAAGTTTGTTCACGTAAAGCTTTCTATCAGTTTCAAGTAACAGTTCTGACAACTTTTTTTTTATCAGCTACACATGGAGAATCCATGCTCAAATAATCAAGTGTTCAGTATGTTTTTCAAATGGCACTCTTCTGACTTATATATGCTGATGGCTGAATGCAATATAATATATATATATATAATCTGGGCATTTTGTCATAATTTATTTCACACACTAAGTTTAGACGATATAGTCCAACATAATAAAAATGAAATAAATTTAATTGCAAACTCAATTTATGCACTTAAAAAACATACACTTATAAAAGAATCTAATTCTGAGTAGGCATTTAAATAAGTAACCACAGCAATGGGCATACTGTATTTGAGTAACTTACTTCATCACCAACTTTACAAGCTATAGATTTCAGCAAACCTGGCATAGGAGCTGTTACAATTTTAGATACATCTTTCTATAAGTAAAATAACAATAAAATATTAATTAATTATCAATTCACATTCAGTTAAATAAAACATTCATCTTACTTTTAGTTAATCTATGGTTAATTTTTAAGAGAAACTAAATGAAATAAATACCTCTGGTTTTTTCGGCATAATACGTTCATACTCAGCAGCAATTTCAGTTAATACTCGAACAATAAACTGAAAAGTATTTTAATGTGTTATTATAAATAAGCTATATAGTTGCAAAATTTGTTTATAAATTACATAAATAAAATATTAAAATAATGTAATAAATTGGTTGCTTTATTCTTTCCCTATTCACATTAACGCACAAGCTAAAGAGGAATTTATCAGCTAAACTAATATTTATTCAATAACCTAAAATGAGTTATGCATTGTTTTTCTATGTAGTCCTCTGCCATTGCAATACACTTGTTCCAGTGCTCATGAAGTTTCTTAATTCCCTAAAAATAAATGTCTTTTGAAATTTCATGCTGAATCATTTTTTGCACAGTGCCTATAATCTGTACATTAAATTTGAATGTTTTCTCTCCAAAAATGTTTTTAAAGTACATGGAAAAGATGAAAGTACAATTATAATAAATCTGTACTATATAAGTGATGAGTGAAGACATCCTACTTCATTTCCTGATTTGTTTTCATCACAAAAGCAGCAGTGTAAATGTGAGCATGCTGCAATCAAAACAAACTGAATCCTGAGCAACTCTCCACTTTGAACAAATTGCTGGTTTCACTTTTTCCTTTAAAATTATAATATAGTACTCAGCAGTTATAGTTATTTGTTCTGTGAGAATATTCCTTTTGAACCCCAAGAGAAACTGGTAATAATTTTTTCAGGTGAAAATGTCTTTTTTGACTAGTGGTATATTTGGTAGTGTATATTAATAGTGGTATATTTGAATGTTACTATTGCCTGCTTGTTCACATTATGATGATTATGTCATGTCCATTTCATATTTTGATTATGGAATGAAGTAGTGCACTTATATTTCATTGTTGCTTAATAAGTAAATCATAGGTTCGAAAATCTGGACACTTTTTAAAAACACCAACATTTATTTTTCACGCCATTTCTTATTCTACAAAATCTTAAATGCAATTAACTATCAAACAGAAAAGCAGACGTAGACGTAATGACGCATCTGGGCACGTAATCCTCGTGACAGACGAATTCTTTAGGGTTGCCACAGAAAGGTAGTGTGTCGCCACATTCATCATAAATTACTATTCATTCTATCCTTTTCATTAACACTGCAGAAGTGTGTGACTGTAATCAACTTGTGTTCTGTGTGTTCTGGCATTACCAGATACAGAACCCACTTGATTCTGGTATTTAAAACAATCTTTAACTAATGTTTCCACTCTATCAAAACTTATTTTAACTTTCCTGAACAGCTTTTCTGACAGTGATTCACCAATAGTCTAAAATCATCAATGGCAATTGCCTTGTTATTGCCAGCTGAGGTTCTTAGCAGATGAGCAAGTGGTTCACTTTCAACTAACACTAGGTTTTTTTAAAAGACTTGCACCACTCATACACTCCAGACTGAGAGACTCTCTCCACCAAAATGATTTTTAAGTCTTGAATGATAGCTTAATTAATCAATAATTTAATCACAATTTGCAGTATAAAACTTTTACAAGACATTCAACATGTATGTTCAAACATTATGTGTTTCCCTAATGAATCATGGTTATGCTAAACTCTTTACAAGAACACAGCATGAAAATTCCTCATAATGACTTTCTTCAAACTCTAAATGACTGATAAATCTTCAACATGGTATTTAAATCTAAAGAGATAAATTCTCCAGTTTATTAGTTTAAATTTTGTGACAGCTAAATATTCCACACAGTTAGATTCATGATATTTTGCAGATTTCAGTCGATAGCAAAACACCACCAATTTACAGAAGATTGCTAACATTTTGGCAGTATGAGTTCAAGAAGTCATAGAAGTACACCCTTGGGTTTCAAGCCTGAGATGTTCAACTTAAATAAATACAAACAGTAAATCATAAGCAACTGTAATAGTTTCAGTTCAATTTATGCCTAAGATTAAAAAACAACAACATATATTTGATCATAACATGACTTTACATTTTGTTAGTTTCAATTTAAAAAATTCTTTTTTTTACTATACAGAAGATCTTCCTTTAAAAACATATAAAATGGATATTGTTTTACTCCCTAACTTTATTTCTGGCCACATTAATTTCATATTACAGTTCAAGACAGTATAATAGGCAAATATATGCTATGCTAACACATAGATATTTAAAAATGAAATAAAAAAAGGTACTTTAAAAATAAGTGATGAGTCATTTTTATAAAACTCTATAAATAACAAAATAAATGTTTAGGTTTTTGTAAACCACTATAAAAAAATAATAAATCAGGCAAAAAAAGTATTTAGGTTCTTCAAAAATTAGAAGAATAAAATGAGAAACAAAATTTTATATGAAAAATAAATTTAGCAATGTTTTAATAAAATATAACTTCAATTCTATGTCATAAATAGAAATATATTCTAATATAATAATGAAAAAGAAAAAATAAACTTACTGGTGTGCCAAGAAAGCGAATTCGTAAATTTCCAGCTCCATCATGTTTAAGAAGTTGACATACATATTTTTCACCTTCAATTAGTACTTCAAGGACAGGTGCAGAAAGTAATATATCACCAGATACTACAACATCTCTACCATTTACAGAAATCTGAAGCAAGAGTAATAAGAAAAAATTATAAATGATCTATTGTTGTGTGAATTTTTTTTTTTTAAAGGAATAAACATAAATCATTCTTAGATATGATACACACTTCATTTTGTAGATGATTGTCCCTGATGCACTTAGTGACTGACTTGAGCGCACCTGAGATAACCACTGACCTAACTTTGTTGTAAAAGTCTTACAATATTATTGGTCATCCTGGCAGAATGGTATTATTTCTTCCATATAAAAATATAAATATTAAAAGGGCATACAAGGCCTGTGTATAAGCACAGATATGTTAAATACAGACATTGTCTTGCACAAGTTACATGAGATAGATATAATCATGACAGTTATGTGCACATTTACTGAGATAAGCACATTTAAGCATTATCTGAATTCATATTTACAATACATTTACTGAGATAATCAAAGAAAAGTTGTAATTCAGTTACACATTGACTGGATTTTCTATGTCATTTTTAACTACTTTACAACATTATTTTTAACAAATACATACAAAATGGATAGTAATAAGCTTGCATTACAATAGTTTTTGCTTTTACAGTCCTGTTACTATTCTATGGGGTGAACTATTTTTCTAATGTTGATTTTCAGTTGTAGTACTATCTGGCTTAAACTGGGTAGGGAGTTATGTGACTTACTCTTCTGGTATGTTAGCTGAATTGCTTGGAAAATTTGCAACTGCTGTTAAAGTTATAGTACCTATCAAGGGACTGACTATCTTTGTTACTGTTCAGTTACTTGGATATTACTGCAAAAGTCAACTACACTAATCTGCTGCTCCGGTATCTGCGAGTAGTCAGCTCAATTAACTCCACTTTTGTAAGGCCTCTCTTCACCATTTTAATTTGCTATTGCAATTAAGCTGCAAAGATACAATTTTCAAGGTGGGGGAGGAATTTCTTACCACCTTGTTGAGCATAGCCTGTTCACCTCCTTTATCTTAGTTTTCGCCTGCTCTTTGCTGCAGGTATTCTCCGCCCACTGCTGTCAGTATTCACTGCTTGGTATTTTTAAACGCAATTTATCGATTTGGTGGGCAGTTGAAGAGGTAGTGATCTGCATCACCTACACCACATTCACACAATTCTGAGACTCGTTTGCACCGTTGTATGTTTTAATTGAGCATGTGTTACGTAGGAAAAAATTTAATTAATTAAATTACCTTTTACATTTAACTCTTTTAAACTGACTTCTCGGTGCCGGGGGAAAAAAAAAAAACTAAACTAAGTACTTAGTACTTACTTCTCTCAGATTCAAAATCTTAACACTTTAAAATAAAAGAGAAATCAAATGAAAATATACTACCTGGTGTTTTGGTAAAACAAACGAATATTTATCAAAACAAAATTCGAAAATGGCATTTCCACAACAAAATCTTTAACACACTATCTCTCACTAAAATATAATTAATTCAGATCTCCAACCTGAAAACATACAAATTTCAACACAAATCTAGAGATAGCCCTAAAACCCTTAACATTTAAAATATCATTCAGATCTCTTCAAAACACCAGGGAAAGATACATCTCACACTTGAGAAGTCTACTCACAAAACCAAAATAAATTAACCGATCGTATAGTCACAACTCTTAAAACTGATTTTTCTACTACCGCAATATGGTTACCCAGGTTCGATAAAATAACCATGTTTCCATAAGGATCACACAGGTGACCTACAGTAGACCACAATTTAACTCAAAGAAACATACAATAATAAAAATAATAAACACATTTATTAAATAATTCAAATATAATTTAAGATAGCTGGCCAGACTACCTTTACCAAACATAATCTAAACCTTTTCTCAATAATATCTCATTTGTTCACTTATCTCGAGTACGAGTGTGAATACTACAAATCATTAATTAATAATTTCACATTTAGAAAAGAGAACATTTTATCTTCTAACATTCAGTAAATATTAAATTATTTGATATAATACTGCAATCACCATTACTTCAGTGAAAATTTCTTTTCAGAAATATGTATTTTAAGACATAACGAAATTAATAAACATGATCATTAAACATTAAAAAATTACAATTAAATCCCTCTATTTAGACAAAAATAGTAAAAAATAACAAAATTAGAGGAAACAAAAATTAACTCACTAAACCCGTGTATTGAAGTCAGAGGGGCTCGGGGAGCAGCCCAGATTCCATCCCAATTCGTCGAAACAAAAACGGCCAAAACTTCATCGTTGTCAGGATACTGATACTGAAATCTGTGCCAGACACAACGGGAATATTCTCATATTCCCCTTCATTGTTGTCAGGAAAACTGATTATGAGGTCTGTTCATAGCACAAAGGGAATTTTCTCATAGTTAGACTTCATCATTGTCAGGGAAACTGATACAGATGTCCTTTCCTAGTACAACGGGAATTTTCTCATAGTTCCACTTCCTCATTGTCATTGAAACCAACACTGGAGTTTGTTCAAAGCACCACAGTGCGAAATCTTTTTAATTTTACTTGAAAAGAAGCCACTCCCTTTATTCAATATTATCATTACCAAATCTGTATCTTCGGCGCGAGCAATTCGGGATTATAACGGAAAGGAAGACACACCTTTATTCCATACTCCATTCAATCAGAAAAATCTGTCGGTTTCTACTAAAAACCACAATGTTAAAACCTATCCTATTGTGCTGCAGGACAGGGGAAACACTTCGCCGCCGTCTATCACGAAGAGAGTCCGCACAGGCTCGGACAGGCCTTCGCAGCCAGAACAAAGGGAACACGGTAATATCTCTTAGCTGCAACCCACGGTTGACCCCCAAAGGGTTGCCGCATTTCTCTCTCTTTTTTTTTTCCTCCTAAAATCTCTTTTTTCAGTCCAAAAATCTGCTCCTGCCTCCCGTGCAACGGCTTAAGAAACTCGGTTGACACTCACCAAGAAACACCTCAAAATCACCATTAGCTCAAACCACACTAAAATTAAAATTTAACCAATCTTAAAGAAACCTGGATCCCCTCTAGCCAACTACAACCACGTGATAAACCATTACGAAATTTTCAAGAAAATTCAGAACTCTCAGCAAGATGACAGACCCTATCTTTCTCACGCAAAGAGGAATGTTTCCAACCTATAACTCTGTCAAATAATCACCGCCCCTTATAACTATTCGCCTCTGAACAAGCAAAACATGTGTTTTCAACCCCCACAAAAAGAGGAAAATGCAGCTGGCCGCAACTGACTGCTTTGTGAGAAACGGCTTTGCCCTCTTCCTGAATCCCACTCTTCAGCTAAACTTAAATGAGCTTTGCCGCAATTAAGTTAAACAATACTAAATACTATACATTAATTTTTAAATAAGAACAATACAAATTTATTAATCACAATAAAATAATACAATAATTTTACACAACAAAATAATGCATAACCAAATCATAACAAATTCCCCACAGTATAATTATATATAAATAATAATATAATAATTTTACACATAATAATTAATAATTTTACACAACAAAATAATGCATAACCAAATCATAACACATGTAACTTTCGGAAAGATCTTGTAGGTTCTCCTCCCTGTGCTTTCCCTTTCCCATCTTTTCTGCCATTCTTGTAAAAGGCAACTGAGAATGATTTTTTAAAATAAGACCTGCTGCACATTTACTGCGTTTTCTACTAGGAGTCATTGGCTGCAGATTTTGCAAGCAAGTCTGCCACTTCGTTGCCAGTAATACCCACATGAGCTGGAATTCAGATCAGGTTAGGTCCGCCATCTGGTGGGATCCTTGGAAGAATTTTCTGTGTATCTTGCACCAAAGGACTCCTTGTTTTATGCCCTTGGATGGACTCCAAACTTGAGGCAGAGTGTCCATATATATTGACCTCTGTTCCTAATTGATATTTTCCCAAACTGATGGCTGCTTTTGATGCAAGAAGCTCCGCCTGAGATGGTATTTTTGTCTTCCAGTCATCTTCCCAAAGTTTTAACCACTTCTTATTGGAGTACACAGTAGGCACAGCCTATCCCCTTCTCCGTCTTTGAGCCATCTGTATATATAGCTAATGCTTTTTCATCTGGCGGGGTGTTTTGCAGGTGTAGTGTGTACGATAAGTCCGTATCTGCAGGGTGTCTTGCGCTTCTGTGTGACAGAATGTCTTTTACCATCAGAGAGACATTATTTTCCAGGTGCAATGTCCTTACTAATAATGATTCTCTCTATACTAGAAGGTCCAGTGGAGGAATACCCGGCAGCACTTGCAGATGTTCTGTAACCTTTGCATATTATTAATAGTTACATTTTTTGGACGATACTTTGGTACACAAGTAATTATACAGGCGTTCTACTGCTTTTGCTGTACTTCCTGTTAAAAATGAGATAAGTCCACAATGGGCATGGTGATGATGGATCCTGAATGAGTTCCTTGGAGGGAGAAGGTAGAAGAAAAAGTCATCTCTTAACTCTTTAAAACTGGCGAGGGAGTTGTCAAAGTTTTAAAGACCAGAGGCCGGTCGAGCAGGTGGCACCATCTATTGTCAAAATGAGCAGCGTGGTAACAGGGGAGAGAATTTCAGGCAAGGCTAATGTTGAGGTATATGAGACTCGTTGATGAATCGGGAGCAGTATTTTGGAGTGAATACTTCGGACCTGGGAGAGTTGCCACCATCTTGAACATTATTAGCATTTGAATTATCTACTAATGGAAAAGAAATACAGTCTAGGTTTACATGAGGCTGTAAACAAAATTATTTCCAAAATTTGATGCATTGTGTTGAATGTACAAAATTCTTGAGAAACTATGTTCATGACTGAAGAGCATGGGTGGCCAGAGGGATGCAACAGAGATACATTTTATTAAACCTTTAAAAATTTATAAATGGAGTATGAGTGGCAAGAGAAATGAAAATCAATGTCTCATAAATCCAGGGAAAACTGTAAAGATGTTTGCAGATGAAAAAGTGAGGAAAAGGATTAAGTTTGTTTAAAATGTCCATGTTGGCACGGCTGGGTTCCGAACCATTGATCTTCATATTTATAGCGCGGGACGATACTTCTAAGGCTGCTATCACACGTCAGTTTGTTTCAGAAGAACATCTGTTTGAACAATTTTTCTGCTTTGTCACAACTGCCAATCACCATAGATCGCTTTGGGGTTAACACAGGGAAAACTGGTTCCCCATTTCAAACAAGCTGATAACTGATTGGTTGAAAACGTGCAACTTGCAATTTTTTGGGAAAGGAAGGAAAAAGTCGTACGTCTTTCTTTCAACAGTAAACCAGGCAGAAAAAGTGTCTGAAACACTTGTTTGTGAGAAACTAACGGCGTATGATATCGGCCTAAGCCATCACAGTTGTGTGGAAAACAGGGAAAAAATTGAAGTTAAGCAAGTTGTAAACTTGGATCTTCTGCAGTTTAAACATTGTTTATGCAAAACATAAGGAATAGTAATTAGGAGTTTAATTCCAACATATTGATGGTGTGAGCAGTGAAGCCGATTGTAATAGTCATCTTCTATGATTTTGTAATTTAAAATATTTGAAAGGTCCCCTATGCGATTTTGATTTGCCTTTCTGTAGAAATTTTCATTGAGCTTGTTGAGGTAGGGTTTCACATATTCAATTTTTAAGTCGCAGTGCAAGTTTTTATTTCTGATGTAACATGGAGCTCCGGTAATAGTCCTGAGGAACTTGTTTTGGATAACTTGTAGTTTTTTAATGTCTTCAGTTTGGCATTTGCTCAGACTAAAGATGCATAAGAAAAATAGGTCTTATAATTGCCGTGTAAATTCTCTTTTTCCTATTTATGCTAAGACTTGAGGATTCAGCTAGGAGGTGAAAAGTTTGCACATGATTCCGAAAATTCCTCTGGTAATGTTTATGTGTGTTGACTAGGTGAAAGTCTGATTAAAGGTGATGCCGAGATATTTAGCTTGGGTTACGAGTGGAATTGATTTTCCAAATAAAGTCACTGTAGCGGAGATGTTATCCAGTTTCTTGTAGCATTGGATAAGTAGAATTTGGGATTTGTCTGGATTTATGTTCACTCTCTATTTTTTGCACCATTCTTCCACTTGTTGTATTTTATTTTGTAGTTGTGCGATAGCATTGTTAGGCTTCCTAGATTTTTGTATGAGCGCTGAGTCATCCGCGTAGCAGGCCAGTTGAAAGTTGTAATCTTCAGAGAAGGTTGGAAAATCATGAACATAAATTATATAGATTATAGGTCCTAAAATGCTACCCTCGGCAATCCCTCCCAGGAGGATATGCATTAGTATAATAAGCACCTTGTCTAACTGAGAAGGTATGATTTTCAAGGAATGACTTCAGGATGAGGGCAAGTTCTCTCGGGATATGGAGTTGTATGAGCTTATAGATGAGGCCTTCATGCCAGAAGCAGTCAAAAGCTTTGGCTATGTCTAGCATGACGAAGGCAATACCAAGTTTGTTTCTGAGAGTCGATCCTATGAATTCTGAAATACAAACCAATTTGATTAGTAGAAAGTCCTTTCCTGAACCCATGCTGTGCCTTCAAGATGAAATCATGGTGATTTTGCAGTCTATTATAAATAATTCGCACGAGAATTCTTACCAGTGTAAACAAGAGACTAATGGGTCTATAGCTAGCTAGTTTATCAGGTTATGGTTTCTTCGGTTTAGGAATTAGGAAAACTGAAGCTTGTTTCCAAACACTCGGAAAATAAGGGTTCGTGAAGCAGGCATTGTAAATGGATGTTGACTTGCAGAGGACACCAAGCAGGAGTTGCTTAAGGAGTTTATTTGAAATTTGATCTGGTCCGAAACACTTGTTTGTGAGAAACAAACGGCGTGTGATATCGGCCTAAGCCATCACAGTTGTGCGGAAAACAGGGAAAAAATTGAAGTTAAGCAAGTTGTAAACTTGGATCTTCTGCAGTTTAAACATTGTTTATGCAAAACATAAGGAATAGTAATTAGGAGTTTAATTCCAACATATTGATGGTGTGAGCAGTGAAGCCGATTGTAATAGTCATCTTCTATGATTTTGTAATTTAAAGTATTTGAAAGGTCCGCTATGCGATTTTGATTTGCCTTTCTGTAGAAACTTTCATTGAGCTTGTTGAGGTAGGGTTTCACATATTCAATTTTTAAGTCGCAGTGCAAGTTTTTATTTCTGATGTAATATGGAGCTCCGGTGATAGTCCTGAGGAACTTGTTTTGAATAACTTGTAGTTTTTTAATGTCTTCAGTTTCGCATTTGCTCAGACTGGAGATGCATAAGCTTTTCTATTATTTGAATGCTTGACAATATTTTTAACTTCACCCCATCTTCATGGGGACTTTAACCCAAGCTTCATGAGGAGGGCACTGTAATGAGTTTAACAGCGTTATGATCCGACAGTTCGAGAAGTGGTCAGTAATGGCAGCAAAGGTGGTTTGGTCTGCTGGGAAGTCACTAGGGTGTGAATTGCTGAGTCAGGTGATTGCTGAAAGCTGTAGCTTTTAAAAGCTGTTCAAAAGAAAAACAAAGGTGACAAATACTTAATTATGATCATCATATTCCCTCAGTCTAAAATACTTACACAGCTTTAATGTATTATTGTTTAATTCAGTACAAGGAGGGATGTATTCAATAAACATTATGTTATATACAGGTTCCTTTCCCCTCCTTTACAAAAGTAGAGCCTTCTATGAACTTTTTATAAGCTGAATTAAGAAAAAGCAAAGAAGCAATTGCTGTTAATTTTACAGAGAGGAAAGATTTTCAGCATTTTTAAATCTTCAAAGAAGTTCATCAAATAATATAAAACAACTCATAACTATAACAATACCAGCATTTTCTCAAAGCTGCATACATCTGATGAAGTTTTCTTATGGATGGCTGTATTACGGCATTTCTTAAAATATATTTTCCTCATTTTCAGGGTCACTATAATCATGCCCATTCTTAACACTGGCAGTCAAATATGCATCAATGAAAATTTCAACTCCACAAGAAATTATTGTTTCTGAAACTTTTCATTTTTCAATGTAAGTTGTACAAAATAAATGTTATATTAATATTATAATAATGTAATTATAATTATAGTATTATAATATTAATATAACATTTATTTAATATAATAATAATAATATTTTATAATCGTATTCATGTAAAAATAATCATAAACATATATACTAACTTCAAATTGATTTTTCTTTTCTGAGAGTAATAATTCAATATTTTTGCCATTAACTTCTGAAATAAGATTCCACTCTGTTGGTAAAGTACTTTCAAGTGGTGGTCTAAAACAAATAAATTCTTCAGAATAAAAAAGAAACAAAAATAAATTAATATTTCACACATAAAAATACTATTAAAATATTATTAAATAACTATTATTAAAACATTTATTTCTTACTGTGGCTGATTTAAGAAATGCCTAGATCTGGTTTCATGACGAACAAAAATACATCCACAGAGAGAAGCTAAATGTTCTCTTTCTTTTTCCGACAACTGCTTGCCTTTTGTGATCAATTCAAAAAAAAAAAAAAAAAAAAAAAAAAAAGCAATATTTTATAATATAAAAATATACAAAAAAATCACATATGTTTTATTTTACAAAAGCTATTTATGATAATAACATGATCATACAGAATCACAAATTGTTATTTTACAACAAAATTATCCTAATCTTTATTTTTCTGCAATATGCTGCTGAAAATTAATCAGTTATAGACAAAAAGTAAGAAATTTAGAACCAACTTCCAAAACACCCATAACAAACGAAATTCAAAACCAGCATATTTCGAAATTCTTTATAAATATGCAAATCAACTAAAAGTTACAAGAATTAAAGAATGTGGAATACAAAAACTACAAAAAGAGGATGGGTTGGTTTGGTTTATTTAACTAACACAAAGTCTCAAGGGCAATCTGCCTAAGGGGAGGGATGCCTTCGTGGAGGACTAAAAAAGGTTGGGTGTTTCTGCTGTTATTACAGCAACAAAGCAGTACACTTGAAAATCCTATACCATGGTGAATACATGACACACATTACTAGTCACGTGACTCTTAACACACAGCCCACTCATTTCAAAGATGATGTGTTAGGGCCAAGTGGGATTTTAGGTAGGGCAGTAAAGCACTTTTACTTGAACTTTTTTCTGAACCACTATGCAACTAACCACAATGTATGCACAAGAGCATTATAACACTCTGCAAAAAACTGCCTATATTCTTAAATGTTACCTCAGTATAACAACCATGTTAATATCTAAAATGTCCTGACACATGCCAATGTTCAATGACCATGATGAAAACTGAAGGCTAAAGTTCAAACTAAGGAAAACAATCACAATCCCTGATCTACTACCTCTAAATTTCATTGTCATAATGATCTATAGCAAATATTATTTATTAAGCATATGCTAAATCTGTGCACATGCCAGATTATATTTAATGTTCCATCATGCCCACTGATCCAGTGTTATGTAATCATTCTGTTTGCATTGAGATTAAAGAATTAGTGATTAAAACCAATGGCTTCCAATAATAGCAGAGTAAGTAAAACCAAGTGTTATCTCCAGGCAGACAGTCCTATTTCTAACCTCTATTCTTGATCTGTGTTAAACTACCAGTTATAAGGCTGTCAGGTGATTGCTTCACACAATACTCTTTTGTCTGTTTGCAAGTCTAGATTAGTTAGTTCCTTAGCTTTCCAGAACAATGGGTGGTTCCGTAATGTTTCCACTTCACCATAACATCATTAACAGTGAACTTATGCAAATTTAACTACTGAGAAATCTCTCTGATGAAATACCTGCATTTATGGGCTTCCAAATGATCTCTCAATTAAAAGCACACAGTTCTCTCCATTGACACATTGTGGTAACAATGACATCTAGCAAATTTATCAATTCCTTCACTTATATATTAAGAACTTATAAAGCAAGTATTGGGCAAGTTCACAAACAGTGCAATAACAGCCAGTGATTTTTGGCAGATAGAGCTATCTGAATTTTAGAAAGACATAAGATAATTGCAAATAATATTTCCCAATTCAAGCAAAAGCAGAGCCTTTAATTCAGATTCTGATAAAAATTCTATGATAGTAAAAACTTTAAAATAATGAACTGCCCTAATAGCAAAAGCCTATCCTGATAACATAGAAGTAAACTATACTAATAACATAGCATTAAAAGTGCGAAATCAGTAACATTAAATTACATGACATAGAATTTAAAAAAAAAAAAAAAAAAAAAAAAAAAATATTATTTAATACCTTTAAATCCTTCAGGATAAACTTGATAGAGATACTTTGTGCTAATATTTCCATCAATAAAGTTCTTTTCAGTCATAATATCTCTCAATAATGGAATGTTATGGCTGACACCTGAGAATGTAAAATAGGGGGAAAAAGTTTGCTTAAATTCAAAATTACTATGCAATAAAATTTTTAATTCCTATTAAAATTCATACTTAATAAATTTATTAGAATAACATTAATAAGTCATTTAATACTGAACTGAACTACATTCGTGCTCTTATTTGCATTAGATTTTTTTATTAATTAGATAAGAGAATGTATTAAAGTGACTAATTTTAGAACCTGCTGTTATAAACATGAATTCACTGGCAACTGTTACAGTTGAGTTAAAGTAAAATTTAAATTTATTGAATGCTGTAAGGTGTGTCTTTGAGTTTCAAACACTCAATCATTTGCTAAAGCAGCAAAACCTAAGGTTAAGATGACAGGTAGGAATTGAATTAAATACTCTTCAAAACAAAAATACAAGTATATTTTTAAAATGATCGTGAATACAGAGATTACCTTGCAAATATGTAAATCAAAAATATAAACTAGTAATAACTCCTTGATTCTTTATTTTAATCAGGATTTTTATATACGAGTAGCCTATATATGAAAAAAAAAATATTTACAAGAATTGCACGACATAAAACGTGAAAATCTTTTGAAACAATTATTATCAGAAAAATAGATAATTGAGTTTTTTATAAAATGATTTAATAACATTAACACCAACATTTTCATTCAAATTACTTAGGAATATTACAAGTAAAATATTTAGAATTTTCCTCTTTTTTAAAATATATTAATTTGTAGAATGGGCTATCATCTGAAGCTCTTAAATTTCATATAGAGCATTTAGCTAGGTAAGAGAAAAAGTTAGAATAATTAGTATATTTTTATTGTAACTAGGTTAACTTTGTTTGTGATTTTATTTTATACCTCATATGATTTAACGTAAATTCATTCATTACATATTCATAATATATTTCAGTTTTAAGTTGAAATAATATAAATAAGGAGTATGGATATATGATTATTCTTCACTCAGTATCAAGATTACTAATATTATAATAAAAACTATTATTTATGTTATATTGAAAAAACATACCCTCTATAGGTGCAGGTAGGAAAACCTCTCTCCTTTCACATTATACTTAAAGTAATCAAACTAACATAAAATCATAAACTCCACTTTATTAGAACTAGAATACTGATTACCAAAATAAGTTCTCCCCCCCTCCACTCATACACAGATCAGAGCTTGAATACTTAATTAATAAAAAAAAATGCTACAAAACTAATTAATTAAGAAAGAGATAAATAATTCTATATATTTTATATCTTTCTTTATGACATATATAGTTAAGATAAAAATATGTAAATCAAAATTATAACTTAAATTAGCAATAGCCCCTTTATTCCTATTATTTTTGGGGTATTTCCCCTTTTTGTTCAAAAATAGGAATTGTTAATAATAAACATTTCTGAACTGTGTCACTTCTAGATTAATCCATATCATATGATTTCTTCATAATGCTAGCGATGTAAATGGATTCGTAAAGTAAAACTCACAACAGCCAATAACAATTTTAGAGCTTTAAACTGAAACTAACCCACTCTGAATTAAGATTTCATCATGAACACAACACACTTTGCATATTATCGCTTGTTTCCTTCTTATCGCAATAATCTCAAAAGCGAAAATGTTATGCTGTGGAATGGGCATGCTAACAATTCATCATTCTGTCTATGTAATAAACCAATCTATTACATACATATACAGTCAAAAGTCGTTAATCCGGACTCGTCGATTACGGATTATCGATTTTTCCGGATTATAGATCATCAGTTTAAATCTCGTAAGATGGCATGCAGAAATTCTAAAATTAAAAATATGAAACCATAATTTATGAAATAAAGAACAATTATGACCTAAAGGGTATCAAAATTTACAAAAAAAAAAAAAGCTTAATATTTATTTGTTTACTTTATTAAACATTTCTTTCAATGTAAGTTGTTTTGTTTTATGTGATAATACTTTCTCTTTAATTCTATAAACAGACATAATTTCTTGTTTAGTTACAAAGTTCCGCTGTTCAAGTCCCGTTAATTGCTGTGCCGAGAATAACGACTAACTTGTCAATCGACATTTTTTCGTTTTCACTAACCTCTCTGTCACATTCTTCATGTCATTATCCATTTTTTGCAGCAATTCCACTTTTTGTTTGTTGGACATCGAAACACACTTTCGTTTTGTAGATCCTTTGGAAGTTCCAGCATCGGAAATTGTATTTGACATAATCAAAAGTTCAAGTTTACTTTTATAAAATTGCTCTTACAGTCTGCAAAAAATAATAAGCAGGATCCAATTCGAAGATTAAGGAACAACACAATCATTAACACTAACTGAAATAGATAATTAGATAATTTTAGCTTACACCGTCCGTTATACATTAAACGCGCAAGCGAAAACGTATTCTGCACTACCGCACATGCATATGCGCAGTAGTCAAGGTCTTACGCGCAAGCGTAAAACGCCTGTGCGCATGTGCCAACGCGGCGCATGCGCAGAAAGTTTTTAGCTTTGAGGTCCGGATTATAGATCATTCCGGATTATGGGTGTCCGAATTAACGACTTTTGACTGTATAAGGCAAAAATATGTAAAGAAAACTTCTACTTTTAACTGGCAATAATCGCTCTTATTCTTCACTTCAATTTGGCTTTTTTGCTTTCCTGCCCTAAAAATAGCAACTATTTATAACATATCAATCTAAACTGTGTCATTTCAAAATTAATCCGCATCATACGATCTTATGTAACACTGCAATGCAACTATGTTACAGTCAATCACATTTTTGAGAATTAAACCCTTTTGAATATTTCTCTCATACTTTCTTTTGAGTGCGTCACTTTTTGCTTTCTGTTTTGTTTTTGAAACTTGCCATCTTCAAAAATATATTTCGCAAGTTTACTGATAATCATATAAAAAATTCTTTAGGAACAAGGAGCTATAGGACCCATTTTACTTGTGCTGACTTCATGAAAAATGTGCGTTAACCATGACTAGAAAAGAAATAACTCCTTCTTGTTCTTTATGAATCTAGAATACAATCAATTTTTTCAATCAATTACATCGATTGCCAATTAAAATTAGAAGTTGGCATTACAGATTTTGATCTTACACATATTTTGATTTTCAATATATGCAGTTTTAGGATTTATAAAATCTACAGTAAAAATACTTATAATTTTCTTTTCTAAATTACATCAAAGCAATTCTCTGGACTAAACCACAAAGATAAAACAGTAACAGATAACTTTAGATGGCCAATAAAATTAATTTATGCAACCAGTGTGCAAAAACAATTTTTAAAAGCATATAAATGTTTAACAGATATTTAAAAAGTACAGTACAAAGTCCAAGATCTAGAATCATCTAGACTTCGGCAATTCCAGATTTTAGATCCTCAAATGTAGCAAGATGGCATGTAGGCATAGCAATGCTCGGATTTACTTAGTGTTTAGGTCAGGTAAAGGATGGGGGCCAGAGTAGGTGCAACTGGTGCTGCCATAACTGACTGCCAGAATTTAGCGAGCACAAATTTTAGGATTTAGAGGTGCACAGAGAAGCAAAAATTAGAGAATGGCTGAACTTAGGAGAGGCAATAGGCACTAGAATTTAGGGAGGGACCATAGCAGAACATAGGACCCAAAGAAATTGCACCAGATGACTGAAATGCATAGTGCCAACAACCACTGAAAGGACTAAAGTGTGATCAGGGTGAACATCAATACAGTGTCAATCAATGCATTGTTACTGGCCATGGTGTGACTCCCTAGCCAATAGGTGTTTAAAAGTGACATGCAGGAATCTCAGTACAGAGAAAGATCAAATTGCATTTATGGTACACCTGTCTCCTTTTGTTATATTGTCTGTTCCTAGACTTTGTAAAGTTTCTTTTTTTTTTTTCTTTTTTCTTTTTTCTTTTTTTTTTTAAAGTTGGTGTCTAAAGATTTAGATATTAGATCATTCCAAGATACTGGCCATCTGGATTTCGGACTTCATACTCTATTTATTTAGTTACCAGCATTAATTACAGCTGCTATAAAAATAGTATATTACATGAGAAAAATTAACAAAATGTACACAATGTAATGCTATATTATGGCTTTTATAAAAAATAGTATATTAATGAGAAAAATGAAAAAATCATATAAGAGATGCTATATGAAACAGCATCAAAGACTAAATCAGTAGAAGACATGCAATATAAATACACAACATATTAACAGGCTAAATAAAACAATTACAACTTCAGAGAATAAATTACCTACAGAAAATAAAGCTTAAAATATTGCATAAATTTTGAAAGCTCAGAGTATACTTGTGTATTATCCCATCAAATGTTAAACTGTTGCCAAACAGCACAACCTACCATCAATTATAGATAAGCATGATATAAAATATACTCCCATACTCACGACATCTGCACTTCTTTTTTTATATAACCCGATTGTTTATCTATAAGTAATTTTTTTATGAATAAGGATATAAATTAACTGTTACTGCTGAATTTTTCCCTCCCATTTTGAAAAAAATTATTAAAATTTAGAACCTGCCTTGCTAAACAGCACAACCTACCACCAATTTTGGATATGCATGACATAAAACCATAAAACATACTCATGACATCTGTGCTTTTATATATATATAACCCGATTGTTTCTCTATAAGTAACTTTTTCTTTTTATGAATAAGGATATAAATTAACTGTTACTTCTGAATTCTCTCATTTTGAAAAAATAATTAAAATTTAGGATTTGCCTTTTACAGAACAGCAAGGAGTGGAATGTTTTCAAAGTTATGGATTAAAAAAAAAAGGTACATTAATTGACATGATATTGTCAGCTAAATACGGCCAATAAAACAGTAATAGATTGAAAGAATTACCTGCAGGGTTCTAAATAAAACTTTCAATAAAAATGGAGGGTCTAACAAAGTAACAGAAATCAACAAAAGCTTTTTTATGAAATGCAAAAATGAAGCGGGTCAAATACTGATTGCTTATTAAAATAAAGAGGCATTGCTTATTAAAATAAAGGCATTGCTTATTAAAATAAAGAGGCATGAATTCTTCACAAATCTAGAGGAATGACTGGCACAACTTCAGCAGAATCTCCACCAATTTTCATGGTTCTGTGGTAGCCAACTTTCACGGTTGATGGGATGATACATAAGAGTCGCTCACAGGATACAAGTTATAAAAGATAGTTAATGCTAAATAAATAAATAAATAAAGAGAACAAATACAAATGCCCACTATTTAAATTAATAAAATATGATTGCATACTGCATAAAAATTTTACCTCTAATGACATATGAATCTAAAGCTTTAATCATTGTGTCAATAGCGGCTTTCCTGGAAGGTCCATAAGTGATCAGCTGTGAATGAATATAAATAACAATTAATTTTGAAGTTCCCCTAAAAAAGGCCTTACCATTCAACAACAACAACAAAAAAAAAAAAAAAAAAAAAAAAGTTAAAACTATTGAAAAAACAGTAAAATTTAATTTGAATTGTAACTTAAATGTCATTCAGTGACAAAAAGAAATCTCACCCGCTTATCATGATTGCCAGAAAAGATGCCTTAAAAATATTTGTCTGAGTAAACTAACCTCAAATAGATAACAATTAATACAATTTGACATGAAATATAATACATATTATGAAAATTAAAAAAAAGTACAACAAGAAAAATTCAAAATTGTAAAATTAATGTTTCATAAAGCATAAGTCCGATTCAAATAAAAGCAATCAAATTACTAATGACTACATGAATTTGTTATATTGTCTGTTCCTAGACTTTGTAAAGTTTTTTTTTTTTTTTTTTTTTTTTTTTAAGCTGGTGGTCCAAAGATTTAGATACTGACTGAGACAGAGAGATTTAGATACTGACTTAAGTAAAGATTTAGATTTAGACTGAGTTTAATTTTACACTAATAATCTCTGCCTAAATTAAGGAAAAAAAAATCCTTTCAGGTTTGATCTTAATATGAGGTTTGATGCAAATATGAGAAAACTCTATATAAATACCAATAACAACTGCATTATACTAGCAGAAATTAATTTTAAGTACAAACACTTACAAATAAAAATTTTAATATATACTTAATCACAGCATATATTTAACCTACCTTACATATCATAGGATCATAAAAAATACTAATTTCACTTCCCTCTTGAATTCCACTATCACATCGAACCTTAAAATGAAATAAAAGCATTAAACATAGATTAAAAAAAATTAAATCTTTATTATCTTATATAATCTTAAACTAAATCTTTGCCCACATTTACATGTAAATACAAAGAACTCACATTTGGAATATATGTAGGTTCAATATACTTATACAGACGACCAACAGATGGCAAACCGAAATTTTTATAAGGGTCTTCAGCATAAACTCTAGATTCTATAGCCCATCCATTAATACCAATGTCACTTTGCTTAATTCTTAAAGCATGACCTATAAAATAGAAAGCAAGGAAAATGTGATTAATAAAGTAATAACAAAAAATTACAGAAAAAAAGAACAAATAGTTAATAAAGCAATAATGAAAAATTACAGGAAAAAAAAATCTGATGTGTACACTACATGACTTCCATGTACAGAATATTAAATTTTACTCATTTTTTCTTGCATTTCATTTAACCTTAATGGATTGAATTAAATCTATTTTGTCAATAGTGCATAAACCACAAAAGAATAAATGCACTTTTTAAAATTCACTATATTTGTTAACCATAGTGACACTCTGGCGCTACGCTAAGTTCTCTTAACAGCGTTACATTTCATTCCTTTTATAACTCAGAATGCACAAAATTTATATTATCTGAAGAATTATTACTGAATCTGAAGAATCGTTGCCACATGTTCTAACCAAATATTATAATAAATGTAAAATGATGTATTTAAAAAATTAATCAACCCCCCAAAACGTTTTTCACAGACGATTCAGTATTTCTCATTCAATTAATTCAGTCCTCACTTCTCTACAAGGCTAAAACACATAAAAACTCAAAATATCTATATTAAAAATTACGAAGTAAATCTTAAACACTTATTTCCTCCAATGAATTCCACAATGGATTAAGCATGATTTAATTTGCAATCATAAAATAAGGTGTTATCTTTGTTGTTGCGAAGCATAGTTTCTTTAGGTATTATACAGATGCCACACCAAAACATCATTAAATTGCATTTGATAGCGGTAAAAATTGTTATTTTCGTTGAAATACGAGGCCTAAAACTTTTCGCGATTACAGTAATTCCTATACTTTTTAATATACTTTAAAAGAAATTAAGCAAACAAAACAAAAAAGAAACAGTTTTCCACAGACGATTGAGTATTTCTCATTCAATTAATTCATTCTCACTTCGCGAGAAGGCAAAAAAAATAAAACTTAAAATATCTAATTAAAATTATGAGTAAATCTTAAACACTTATTTCCTCGAAAAATTCCAGAAAGGATTAAGCATGATTTTAATTGGCAATAATATATGAAGGCATTATCTTTGTTGTTATGAAGCTAAGTTTCTCTAGATTGGCAACAAATCCACTAGTCTGCTGTTTCAAATGTAAACAATCAATGGCCATAAAAAAAAAAAAGACTTACCGGCACTTAAACAACTTTAAAATTGTTGATAATTCTAATTTTTTAGTTACACAAAATACGTATGTACGTACGCACAGATGCCACGAAAAATTCTCTTGAGAATTCATTTTAAACCAGTTTTATAATTTTTTTTGGGGGAAAAGTCATTCTGTCTTTACGTACAGATGCCACACCAAAACATCATTATATTGCATTTGATAGCGGTAAAATTGATATTTTCTTTGAAATATGATGCCCAAAACTTTTCGCGATTACAGTAATTCCTATACTTTTTAATACTGTACTTTTATACAATACTTTTTTTACTTTGTACAAGGAAGTTAAAAAAAAAAAAAAAAATGCTTATGCAGATAAGAAAACTTTAAAATAATAAATTTACAGACAGACAATGACAAATAAAAATTTCATGTCTGGACAAATAACATCAAAATTCATTTAAATCATTGTCTCAAAATTAAATTCATAAAAATTCTCTTGTTGAGCTCTTCTTTTGAGACAAAATTTAGACCTCAATATAAAAATCTCTAACATCTGGTCCCAGCTGTCATCAAAACCAACCAAGCACATAACTCAATAATATATTTCACTGGTCTATTTACTACATGAATACACTAGTTTCTTTCTGTTTTATTTGTTTGCAGCTGGCATGTTAGCCACTGTAGCACAGATGTTCACTTAGATGTAAGGATTTTTATATCGAAAATTAAACTAATGCAAAGTTCAAAATTAGTTCCTTATTTGCAAAGTAGTGTCCTAAAATGACTAATATTTACAGTTAGTGATCTTCAAATCTGTCTCCCCTCCTAATAATGCTTAAGATACTGTAGATAAAATAATTTATGGAAAGCTTTCATTTAAATTAATAGAAACCAAAAAACTACAATAAAATGATTTAATAATTTCATATCATAGAATAGTGTAGTATTATTTAAATGAAGAAATTAACTCACAGAGAAAAAAAGAGATTTTAAAATTTATTGTAAATTGTTGGGGAAGTGTACATTTAGAAATATTAAAACAAGCTTAAACAGATGTATGAATGAAGGATATACGGCCTACTTCACAAAAGTTATAAAAAAAAAAAAAAAAAAAAAGAAGCAGGAAAAAGTTTTTGAAAAATACAGGGTTCAAAGGATTAAGATAAATGTTAAGATATGCATTTACTACATAAGGATGACTAATTGGTTACATGTATGTAAGATTTTGAAAAGTACTATAATGAGGAGACTCTGAAATCTCTAAGTCTTATAATAACTCACAAGACAAATAACCATATATTTTTAAATTGCAGGTGCATAAAACCAGACTGGAAATGTTTAATAATTGAACTGAATCAATTCTTTTTTTATGACTCACTGCTCACTAACAATAGCCCTGATAAATAAGATTGGGAATGAGAAGTGAATCAAAAGCGGTGTGCAAGGATGGGGCGAACAGTAGAAAGAATCAAACAAGCAATAGAATAAATTAACTGAGCCCCCAACTCCTTGGATTGATTTTCTTTGAATTGTAATTTTGAGATTCTCTAAAACCTCCTTCCAACATAGAACTAAGGATAAAATTCTGCAATAAAAAACATGCTAAAATATTGGGAAACAATAAAAATTAATCTCACTTTTAACACATGAAGAGAAACATTCTTCTCTTCCTTAAAACAGGAACTGTCCTGAAAAACTCCCACTGAGCTCTCTGTGGATGAACTCTAAAGGAGTTCTCACTCCATTTTGCTGAGTCACCATTCACTCACTCAATTAAGTGAATCTGTTCACAATAAAGACTTCATACATAATAACTAAGATAGGTATACTTTTATGCCTAGTTATGATACAAGATTTCTATATAATAACTTTATTTAATACATTTTTTTTCATTTTTACAATCAAATGGCTCAATTTTTTTAAATTAAAAAGTCTTGTTTTTATATATCTAAATTATATTCTATCAGTTATAACAGCCTACAACAAGCAGAAAAAATTTATATTTCTGTTATTTTTATTTTTTACATAATTACATCATACAAAATTTAACTTTAATTAATTCTTTTGTAATAAAGTAATACGGGGGATATTTAGCAATTAAAAGTTGACTGAAAATTATGCAAATTTTTATATTAACACCAGATAGTTTCATTTTATTGAAAATCAAACTATAACTCCTCCAACAGTTTTTAATCGCTTTATTCACTCAGTTTACAAGTGAGTCAAAAACCATCCCCCCCCAAAAAAAAACTTCACCATTATTGTTTCCTTATTTTTGTTTTAGACACTGAAAATTGGGAAAAATACATGGAAACTTTTCATCAAACTCTAAACTCATTTCTAGATATTATTAAATCTAGTGAAAAAGAAAGCAATGAATAGAATTTTAATATAATTTGTTTATCAGATTAATGCTGTTATATTATCATTGATACATTACATTTCTCAATATCAATGACCTACAGAGCTCTAAAAGAACTAGAAGACAATGCAAGACTATTTTTTTAACTGCATGAAGTTTCATAAAAGCAGTTTTTTTTTTTTTTTTAAATCCCATTACAAAATTTGCTCATTGCTGACAATTTTGTAAATGCTTAAACAAGGGAAAACTTTAAAATTTAACTAAAAAAATCTGTTGTGTACACTACATGACTTCCTTGTACAAAATATTAAATTATACACATTTTTCTTCAATTCATTTAAGCTTATTAGATTGAATTAAATTTACTTCGTCGATAGCGCATAAACCCACAACAGAATAAATGTACTCTTCTAAAATTCACTCTAGTATTTGTTTAAAATAGCGACACTCTGGCCTTAGGTTCACTTAACAGCGTTACATATCATTCATTATTTTAACTCAGAATGTACAAAATTTATATCACCTTAAGAATACAATTATCTAATCATTGCCACATGTTCTATTCAAATACCATAATAAAGCTAGAATGATGTATAAAATAAATTAAGCAAACAAAACAAAAAAAGAAACAGTTTTCCACAGATGATTAATTATTTCTCATTCAATTAATTCAGTTCTCACTTCGCAAGAAGGCAAAAATACATAAAAACTCAAAATATCTATATTAAAAATTATGAAGTAAATCTTACACTTATTTCCTCGAAAAAATTCCAGAAAGGATTAAGCATGATTTAATTGGCAATAATAAATGAAAGCGTTATCTTTGTTGTTATGAAGCTAAGTTTCTCTAGATTGGCAACAAATCCACTAGTCTGCTGTTTCAAATGTAAACAATCAACGGCCGCCATAAAAAAAAAAAAAAAAAGACTTACCGGCACTTAATCAACTTTAAAATTGTTGATAATTCTAAAATATTGCATACAGATTTACTAAAGGCATAAAAACCTTAACCGGAAGATAAAAACACATAATTCATCATTTTTAAGCAAAAAATGTACAATTTACAATTATATGAGTAAAAAACTGAGATCACTGAGCCGGGTAACAGAAGTGGATATAATATATAAATATTTATATACGTTTTGTGTGACGATGCAACCAAATACGAGTGCACATCTACATGTTATAGCAGTCTTATATACAAAATTTCAACATTCTGAGGCTACGTTTTGAGTTATGCGAGATAACCTACGCACGTATGTTCGTACAGACCCACGAAAAATCTCTTCAGAATAATTTTAAAGCAGTTTACAATTTTGGAGGAAACGAGTCTTTATTTGTCCTTACATACAATATCATGCAAAAACATTGTTAAATGCTCATAGCGGTCAAAATGGATATTTTCGTTGAAATATGCTGCCTGAAACTTTTCGCGATTACAATACTTCCTTTTTACTTCGTACAAGGAAGTAAAAATTACATTTTTTGAATACTAAATAATGTTCAACATATCAAATCAAAGATATTGAGTGAACTTTTATACTAACGAGAAAACAATTTAAACCACATCAGAAGAAAGAGAAAATATTATTTTCTGGAAAAAGTATTTCCATTTATCTATTTCTAAAGACTTTTTAAAAAGAAGGGAAAAAAATTCTGATTTATACTTTTTTCTAAGAAAATTTATTTTACATTATTAATAATTTCATTAGCAATCTCTCATGATATTTACCAACTATTACATATAATGCCAATTAATTTCTGGTAATTAAAAAAATAATAAATGCCAACCTTTAGCTACTCTTATCATTTGTTGAACTAAATCGACACCAGCTATACATTCAGTGATAGGATGCTCCACCTGAAATGGTGAATGAAACTTTTTAATTACAACTTAAAAAAAAAAAAAAAAAAAAAAAAAAACTTTAACTACGACATACAATTACTTTCAGTATATTTATTTACAATACATATTACCAACATACCTGTAACCTGGTATTCATTTCTAAGAAATAAAAATTTTTCTTTGAATCCACAAGAAATTCTACAGTACCTGTAAGTCAGGAAGGGGGAAAAAATACACAGTTAATATGCTTTTCCAGTATTTCAGTGATGGCATAGACTTTACATATAATTTTCTGCATTTTCTATTTTAGACAGCAGGTTTTTTAAACTAATTTTACCCTTCCCAGTTTTGTGAATATTATCTCTAATTGCTAAGGTGATATTTTAAATGTTCTCAATGAATCTTGTTTACAATGGCAAATGAAGCAAAATTTGAAATATACACACCATAAACTGCTTTGTTTGTATTCAGAATTAATATTTCTAAAAAAATACTTGTAATATACTGCATTGCTTAAGAATGACAGGATTTATTGTTCAATTTCCCAAACTCACAAATTAAAGCATAAATTTTCACAATAAGCAGTTAAAATTACAATATTATCTCATTTCTAATCATTAAAACATATAAAGAGTTATTTTCAAAATCATGTTTAAAATAAAATTGCTAAGGGTATACATACACAAATACTGCAAACTTATGTTCCTAATTCTCTTTCTATTTTAAATATAAACAAATATATCTAACTGATGAAGTCTTATCTATTCCACAGCCAAATTAATAATATGGGCACTGCCATCACAGAAGTGAATAACTATGTCATTTAGCTCTCATTTATTCTACACATGTATGGATGAGAAACAATTGAAGGAATAATAATAATAAATAAAATTAGTACTTTTTCCTTAATGCAAATATTGGAAAAAGCAGATTTGGTTTTTTGGGGTAACAGTATACAATGCCATCCTGAGTTGAAGAATTTAAACACCTACATCAGTACCAAAAATACAAACACATTCATGATGCGGAGACTTTTATTCATTTAATAAAAAATTTAAACAAAATTAATTTAAAAAAAAAAAAACAAATATTTTAATGAGAAATAATATGATAATTATAAATAAAAGGCATTTGCCAGGGAATAAAAACAGAAAACAACTAATCAAATATAAGAGCAGTGTTTATAATATGCATACATAAAAATAAAAAAGCTACTGTTTTTCTTATTTTAATCAGTAGGCCGGCCCAAAACTTTTAATATCATTTAGAATATATTACTATGATAAATAAATTTAATATATGCTAAAAAGCCTGGCCCAAAACTTTTAATATCATTTAGAATATATTACTATGATAAATAAATTTAATATATGCTAAAAAGCCTGGCCCAAAACTTTTAATATCATTTAGAATATATTACTATGATAAATAAATTTAATATATGCTAAAAAGCCTGGCCCAAAACTTTTAATATCATTTAGAATTATTACTATGAAAATAAATTTAATACATGCTAAAAAGCCTGGCCCAAAACTTTTATAATCATTTAGAATATATTACTATGATAAATAAATTTAATACATGCTAAAAAGCCTGGCCCAAAACTTTTAATATCATTTAGAATATATTACTATGATAAATAAATTTAATATATGCTAAAAAGCCTGGCCCAAAACTTTTAATATCATTTAGAATATATTACTATGATAAATAAATTTAATATATGCTAAAAAGCCTGGCCCAAAACTTTTAATATCATTTAGAATATATTACTATGATAAATAAATTTAATATATGCTAAAAAGCTCAATTTTGATCATTCTAATTATGTTCTTTTATGAATATTACTTTTGCCATGAGATCCAAGAATCTTTGCACTACATTCTAATGCTGTTTGAAAAATATAACTTCATTTCATGATTTTTTTCACAATATGAATTAGTACGCAAAAGACACTTCCCTTGCAAAAATAGTATGGCTTATTTCTCTATAGTAGCCAAGTTCCAAATTCTTATTCTGATTAGCATATTGGAATAGTGGTAAAATAATCAAATGTTGGGTATTAGAAATTTATGCAGAAAATAGCAGGAAATTGTAACATAAATGATGAGATGGAAACAACCATTTGGTAATTTAATGCTAACACTTTAATGATTTTTTTGGCTAAAGGTAAAGCACCAGAATTTGTTTAGCAGAGAAATATATCAAGAATATTGTTTCATTACAGAATAAAAAATTGATTATTGGAAAAATTATGTTAGCTAATACCAGCTATTCAGAATCTTTATGAAAAAGAAGTTCCTGATTTAGAAAAATTGAGAAATGAGTTGAAAAGCTTTTGAAAAGGGGGGGGGACTTCTAACAATATAAAAGTTTTAGCACACGAAACATTCATACAACTGATAAGTTAGTTACCTGCAGAGTCATATCCAACAGCCTGCGCAAGAGCAACAGCCTGTTCTCCCATAGCTTTTCGAAGATCTTCATCAACAAAGGTGCTAATTAATAGAAGTTTTTCTTTAAAATCATATTAAGTTCACAAAAGAGTATGATCATATTAAATAACAATAAAGTAAATAAAGTACTCTTTGGATACAACGTAAGAAAGAGATGAACAATTTCTAAAAAATATATTGAGGTAAAAATTTACACCCTATAGAATCTACAGAAGAAATGGAATTAAATTACCAGGAAAATTAATATCCCAAGTAGACAGAGTCAGAGGCTGCAGTAAGATCAAAAATAAAAGAATTAGATAGTGAAGAAAATATAAATATTGTAGAGAAATAAAACGTTCAGAATAATCTAGTTTTAAAAGTAGAATTTTATTTTTCAATAGATCCACATATAAAATTAAGAAATGCAATTTACTTTTTCATTTGATATTGTAAAGCTCCAAAAAATAAATGTTTTTTTTTCAAAAATTTTTACTTATTACTACCAAGATTTTTATTTTGTTACATTACTATTATTGCATGTGAACTTACAGCTGCTGAAGAAGGAAATGCATTACTGTTGACATGCAAATGTTTCATAATATACTTAATTAATTGTCTTCAAGTAAATAAAAGAATTTACTTGAAGACTGCTTTATTGTTTACAAAATAGTTAAAGTACTTATTTTTTGATTGATTAAGTATATCAGAAATTATGATTCTGAATGAAATGTACTACTGGAGTCAAATGCAGACTAATGCTAATATGATGTTTAATACTACGAAATTTCAACAACCAAGATATATAAATATATAACACGAGTTTCACACTATTAGGTCTATATCTTCTATTAAGACGTCATCCCAGAAAGAATCTAAGCATAAAATACAGAAAGTACATTTGATGTTTTCTAATTAGTCTTATGGTGCAATTCCAGGCATTTATCCTCTTCTTTCACCACATTAAGGTGATATTGTGTCCACTTTAAATTTCAATTCTAGTTTGCATTTCTGCCTTGATTAAAAGTTAGGTGATAAGCTTACTTGAGATGGGCTATGATGGTTAGTAATTAAGTTATGTATTTTACTACCCAGTATTTAGAACAAGCCAAAATATTTTGAATTTGAGTCTAGGATCTTATGGCATTATTTTCTGCTTCAAGACAGAGTACAATGAAATCACCTGAATTCCTGCATAAGTATTGTCTCTAACCTCTTCAGTCTCAGACTATCATACGATGACCTTCAGTTTTCCTCCACAGGCTCACATCAAATATGATAGAGCCAAGTGTCACTAGCGGCCCGCTTTATCATATTTGATACACTGAAATGGAATGTTTGATTTCAAATTTTGAATGCTCATAAATAATGTCAGACTGTTACAATGCCTTATTGAATGGATTATCTTCAGTGTTAGTCTTGTTTTTATGAATACTACTTATTGTTTCATTCCACAAAAATAAAATGTGCAATGCTCCCAAAGTATGTTCAGAATTTAGAAACATTTCCTGCAGTGCAAGGGGCTTAAAAAAAAAAAAAAAAAAAAAAAAAAAGACAACAATAGGATATAATAAGCACTGACATTCAAATCTTTAATTTTTTGCTTCATTATTACATGGAAATAATTTAAATATGTAAATATAATCATTATTACTAATATTACACATTAACTTATTTAAAATTTTTATTATAACTAAGTATTAGGAAGTATTAGGAATTGTAAGTATTAGGTAAGTATTGTAAGTATTAAGAATTTTGTTTATATTGAAGATGTTGCAAAAATATTTGGCTTTAAAAAGCTAAACATTTTGAATAGTATTTTACCTTGGTGCTTCTTCAATAACTTTTTGATTTCGTCTTTGAATTGAGCACTCTCTTTCATTTAAATAAATACCATTCCCATGCTTATCACATAAAACCTAAAATAAAAATAAAATCCAGCAAGTTTTAATTTCTTTCAATGGCTTAAAATTTAAAGAAAAATATTCTTTAAGCTTAACCATAAAATGTTTTTAATAGCTACATTTCTGTTGTATACACTTGAAGTTAATTAATATTTATATATGAAATACCTGTGCTTAATATTTCATAATAAAATCTATTTCAATGAATCATAATATTAATCAAATATTATTTATAAATCATGAACTTTATCATTGTAAGTACCAGGGCTGTGGAGTTGGAGTCAGAGTCATGGAGTCGGAGTCGGGCAGATTTTGGGGTAAAAGGATTCAGGGCTGGAGTCGCTAAAAGCAGGTCGACTCCGACTCCAGTTTTTGTTGGACAGCTGAAATTTGAAATGAAATTAAAATGAATTGAAAAAAATTAATGACAAGCTGAGTTATTTTTATTTATGAACAGTATACAATAATAGATAGTTATTTTCTATTTTATTGACATATTAATAAATAAATATAAGGGAGGAGGATGGATGCGATATTTGCCATTAGTGATTAAACTGATTCATTTAGTTACAAATCTTACTGGTAAGCAGCAATAACTCCTAAAATTGATGCCATTCTTAGGACGCGAGCGGGAAAAGGAGCAATTATTGATCAAGCAACATGATAAGGAAGTACATATTTCATGATAAAGAGGTTTTTAGAATTAAGAACTTTTTTAGGAGCTGTAGATAACGATAATGTTTCACTAACAGAAAGACCATGGAATGATCTTGCAGAATTGGAAACTCTTCTTTCTATATCGTATATAGCCACAAAGCTGCAATCTGAAGAATTAACAGGAGGCGAGAATGGAAGAATGGGATGTTAGTTCTTTCTGAAATGGAGGGTTTATTGCAGAAGGAATCATTTCTTTGATGAAGAAAAGAGAAACTACTTTGCTAGACTACTTGCAATGAGATCTTGCTGCATTCAATATATGGAGATCCGAAACACCAAATGTTCTTAGATGATGAACAAATTAAGGCAAAGAAAGTCATCTATGAACTTTCATTAAGAACGAGGAGAATTTGAATCAGGACAGTCAAACTGCAGACATTGCAATTGAGTCTCTATCATCCTTTTCCAGTGATGAATTAGATTTTGAGAAATACTTTTGGATAATATTGAAAAGGCTAAGGCAAAGCAAATGAAAATAAAGAAACAAGAGCCTTTAGACATAAAAATGAAAAAATGCAAAGAAGATTTCTACATGGCCTTTGAAGAAATAGAGAAATATGATTGTGCTTGCAAGACACTCTTTTAGAACTTATAAAAATCTATCCTGAAAAGTTAAAAGAAGTAGCCCTAAGAGTAACAGCTCTTACTCAAGTTAGTAAGGAAAGACTCTTCTCAGCTCTGAAGTTTATCAAATCGGATCTATGGCCCTCCAACAAAGAAAATCTTGCCAAAGCTATAAGCTATATTGTTTCTTAAAAATAACTAATGCCAGTTTTTCCATTTCATAATAAATGCTAATTAATATAAATAATTTGCTATGCCATCAATTTTTTTTCTGTAGCATCTATTACTTTTTTTATATTAAAAAAAAAAATAAGCTTTAACCCATGTGTATGTGTATATGACTCACCTGTTTTATGGAACATTTGGAAAATACTTATAAATATGAAAATTAATTATATTGTCAATAACAAATTGTTTTTTTAAAGCAACTTATTTTTTTATTCCTATCTAAATGTATTCAGAAGTATTCCAGAACTTCTGAATATGCTTACTGTTTCACAGCGAGGCTGCCTGAAATGACCTTGCATTCAAACATCAGCAGGTTGCCTGAATGCCTGTGCCTATTTTCTACCTGGTGCTTTTTCCCCATCCTACTGGTGCATGGTTCATTGGTTTTGTGAGAGCTATATGATATGTCACTTGTTTTTTCTAAGTGACGAAAAGTAGCTCTTTTATTGAATGCACTTTCCCTCTTCTTTGTTTAGTGTTAATGATACTTGCAGTTTCAATCCTAAGGGGAAATGCATAAAGATCCCCAAGAGAGAAGGAATGGCTTTACTTAAATAAATCATTGTTAATGTTTCTACTGGGTGGATATCCTTTCCAACAAAAATTCGTATACACAGGCATTTCAGATGTTTGAGAGGAACAGATTTTGACCTCTGCTAATGTGAAAGAAAAGTAAAAGATATATATATATACGAGGGCCATCCAGGAAGTAGATTACGTTTCCGTCTGTGTCCGCTAGGGGCGGGGCTAGCGCGGCCATCTTGGGGTCAGAGCATTGCGCAGCTCAGTCTGCATCTAGCCGTGCTAGTGAGAGGTTCGTGCTGTGCTCCGTTCAGATACTGTGATGGTTTGAAATGTCTGCGTTAATTGAAAATCCCGCGAGCTGCGAGGTGCGCTCAGTAATAAGGTTTCTGACTGCAAAAAACTGTAAACCGATAGAAATCTATCGGCAGCTTCGTGAAGTGTATGGGGATAACATTATCACTGAAGGTGGAGTGCGTCAGTGGGTCATAAGATTTCAAAATGGCCGAACCAATGTTCACGACGAAGATCGAAGTGGGAGACCCAGCATAGTGACCGCCGAACTTCTCGAAAAAGTCGATGCTAAAGTCCGTGAAAATCGAAATTTCACAATAACGGAACTTTCTTTGAGTTTTCCACAAATTTCGCGAAGTTGTTGCACGAAAATCATCAGCGAAAAGCTTGGTTACCACAAGTTTTTGTGCAAGATGGATTCCAAAAATCTTGACAGAGGACCACAAAAATCAGCGAATGGCTGCAGCGTTGAACTTTTTGGACGCTTACCATAAGGATGGTGACTCTTTTACTCGATCGCATCATTACTGGTGACGAAACATGGGTGAAACATGTGAACTGTGAAACGAAATTGCAATCAATGCAGTGGGGGCACACAAGTTCTCCCCAAAAACCCAAGAAATGCATGCAAACAATGTCGGCAAGGAAGATGATGGCGACTGTTTTTTTGGGACAGAAAAGGTGTAATTTTGGTGGACTTCCTGGAAAGAGGCACTACAATAAACTCTCAAAGGTATTGCCAAACTCTCCAAAAACTCAGAAGAGCAATTCAAAACAAGCGCAGAGGAATGTTGAGCTCTAAGATCTTTTGTTGATTCACGACAACGCCCGGCCCCACACGGCAAATGTCACTCGTAAAGTTCTTGAATCTTTTAAGTGGGAGTTGTTTCCTCATCCGCCGTACAGTCCCGACCTGGCACCGAGCGACTTCCACCTATTCCCAGCAATGAAGAAGTGGCTGGCTATGCAACGTTTTGATGACGACGCACAGCTGCAAGAAGAGGTAACGAAGTGGTTGAAGGCGCAGGCGGCCGAATTTTTCGACGAAGGAATTTCCAAGCTCGTACATCGCTACGATAAATGCCTTAATTTGTATGGTGACTATGTAGAAAAGTAGTATTTGAGTGTGGCTTTCATCTGTATATAATAAAATTTGTTTCCTATACTTTGTTTATTTTTTTATTCCAAAACGTAATCTACTTTCTGGATAGCCCTCGTATATATATATGTAGTGCTGATCGCTTGGAGCTGTGATGAAAACCAGATGCCGTGACGTCATTCTCTCTACGAGCTGCGAAGGCGGCAAGCAAAAATTAGGGAATTACCGTTTTGAGATGATAGACGATCGACGTGGGAGCAGAGACGCTGCTTCTGTTCAAAAAGAACTTTGACGAATCATTACTTGTTTAATTCTCTTAAATGTTAAATTTATGTAATAATCGTTTGTCTAATTAAAATGTCTTTCGTTAATTAATTTGATCATCGTTTAAAATCCCACAAAAATTTTCTCAGAAGTGGGATAGCACTTCAGCACTCGAATGAACTGTAGTTTTACCTGCTTTCCTGGATTACTACCGGTTAAGATTTACTGTTGCTGTGCTGGACTATTTTACGATGTATAATCAACTATGTTTCGAACAAAAACCTCATCAAACTCCTAGGAATGTATGCTGATTTACCTGAACTGAAACTGCGTAATAGTGAGTAAATAGTGTGCGGCTCTATTAAAGACTGGAATTAATTTTAATAATACTGGATGTCAAGTGTCAAGACGTGAATTGTGGCCAAAAATCCATCGGACATAACCTGTTTCTACTCGCCTTTTGTCGACACCATTTGTGATCCATTCGATGGTATGGAAGTAATTTGTTTCGTTTCTGCTTCCGGATTATAGAGCCAAGAACATCGTGGATTACCATTATATGAAGTGAGTGATTTTCTCAATTTTATTAACTATGTTTCTAATTGATGTGCCGGGAATGGAAGATGTCCTGAAAAGTGAAAAAGCGCATAATATAAAATTATTACACAAAATAATATTTAACGATGTGGGCGACAGAAATAATAAAAAAAGGTTAAGACAATTGAGTGGTTTTTCTTTAGAAGAGAATAGTAAAGAACTTAATGAAAAACTCAAAAAAATCAAACAAGATTTTCAGGCTTATGAATTAATTTCCATTGCCAATGTTTTATGCATTGATAGCTCTGGCACACAAGATGACTTAGCAACCCGAATTGTTTCTTATCTGAATAATTTAGAATTGCTTAAAAATAATGTAATTTTAGAAGAAAGTGAAAACGAAAGTGATTTAGAGGGTGTGGATGGTGGGGATAAAAATGAAATAGATGATAATGTTCGAGATGAAACGAAACTAAGAAACAATTCTGGTGCCACAGTGAGACAACTTCCTCACTATGCTAATGAGCCACTTCACTGTTCACTGTGCTAATCATGTGCTAATGATAATATTTTTAGTAATGAAGACAGATTAAATACAACCTTATATCTCTTCTAACTAGTTGGATTTCCTGAACCAGTTTCATGAAGAAACGATAAATGTAAAAAACAAAAAATAAGATTCAAAAGGCAAAATAAAATGAAAAGCAAAAAACCGAGTCAAATATTTCATAATTGTAGTATAAATGTTACTATTGAAGACATCAAATCTTTTGTTGCTCAATTTGATGGC